GTGAGTCATGCCAGATTTTATTAGAGGATAAATAAAAAGTGTGCAATTTTTCATGTATTCTTAATTTTACTGCAACATTAAAATAAATATAGAATTATCTCACTTTAATTCTGTTATGATGTATCTTAGATTTAAAGAACAGAACAAACCAACTTCAATATTTTTTGAGAAGGGGTGCAAACACATTTTGCAAAAAGGGCTGTGGGCAGCAGTAAAGGTTAGTGACCACTGGTCTACACCACGAACTGGAATTTGAACAGCACACCTTAGCCATGGCTCAGTCAGCGAATGAAGGATGAGCAAGTGCAAGTTAGACCTGGCCTGGCCTGGCAGGACCACTAGAATGTGTGTGAACTCTGAATCTGGGGTGGTGGGATGGCAAAAGTCATGTCACAGTACTGAAGAAATGAGGTGGACACTGTCTAGGGTCAAACTCCCAAAGAGCCACATGAGATTAGTGCGACACCAACATATTTAAGCACTTTATTCACCTTGAATTTTATTCACACAATGCAAAATTACTCAACTTCGTGCTTAAAGACAAAGCCTTTGCCATTACATTTTGCAGTAATATGTAAAACAATATTTCTGATTAAAGTCATAAGGAAATACAAAGAAATTGGTACAAACTAGACATAATCAAACCAATGTACATCAGTAGCCAAGATGTAATATCTATTTCGCCTTCTGACCGCAGAAAATCTTGATTTAATTGAAAGCACACGTACAGAAGCTGCTTTGTACAAGACCGCACTGGAGAGCCGTGGTAAGGAACCGGGCATGCAGGATCCGTCGATCCAAGAATTAGTAACGTATCGGATGTCTCATAAACAAGTCAGCTGCTCAAGGATTTATTACACTGAAGCTATTCTCCAGGAGACTTCAAAAGGCTGCTGAATATATATTTTAGACTTCACAGCTGGAGAATTCGAGGATGAACACAGTTTCTTTAGCATCTGCAGGAATGGGAAAATCCCTGGTGAAGGGCAAATGTGATATGGAGGAGAGCACATGTCTTATAGTAGACAAGGCTCAGGGTTTACATTTCATTGACCTAGAAAAACCTGAGCAAAACACTGTTTGCCGTATATCTGACATTGTGAAACACAGCATATCTGACAATCCCAGACCTGTCTTGGATCTTTCAGCTGAAGTGTATTCAAATTTACCTCAAACATGATCCAGATATTTCATCATGTTATCTTCATCTTTTATTAAGACTTTCATCAGGGTCTAACTAAAGTATATACTGGCATACGAACCAAGCTCTGGGGCTCACTGCATCTGCGTTTTAACTCTCGGCATATGCCTTTATAAAAAAATATCATTATGAAAATAAGCTTTCTGGCAATTTGGACTGTACATTGACAATTTATTTTTTTTAGAAATGTAGTGACTTGTAGCTACTGTGTATCCACACCTACAGTAGTTTCCATCCTGTGGGATTCTGTGCCAACCTCCTCATATAGCCGGGATAAGAGCGTCCCTGTTCACTGGTCTCCGAGCCCCAGACGCCTTGTCATCCCACCAACGTTTAACAAAGGTAGAATCTGTGGAGGAGAGCATCCATGGCACAAGTGCTACATTGACAACCGACAAGAAAAGTGCAGGAAGAGGTCCATGAATTTGGTCGGTATAGCACTTTATGATCAGATCACCATCATTCACTAGGAGTGCAGGTGGGTAGCTGCGTCAGCATGCGTAGGCTGCAAAGGAACAAGTAATAGGTTTATTCCATGCTGAAAAAAAGAAGAAAGAGAACACAACGTTTCGGCCATGGAGCCTTCTTCAGGTGTGAGCTCACACCTGAAGAAGGCTCCACGGCCGAAACGTTGTGTTCTCTTTCTTCTTTTTTTCAGCATGGAATAAACCTATTACTTGTTTCTTCACTAGGAGTGGAGTTCTGTAGCAGCTAGACACCCCTGACCACACTGTCGGTGCAGGGTCATGACCTGTAGTCTTTCAGATCACAACATACAACCGACAGAAAGTTGTGGCTGTACAGTATGGTTTGGAGAATTTGAAACTGGCTTTGGACATCTGAGACAAAGAACGAGAGTGGACAGGGATACTGTATTTCAGCCTCCAATATGCCAGTGGCCTGAAGGCATTGTTCTCTCCATAAGTCAAGAATATTTGTTCCCCTTTTCAGTTTTTCTTTCTGAATTTTCACCAGGCTTGACATTCAACAAGATGAATCAGCTGTTACGAGTCCTAAGAGTCCTACAATATCCTGGGATATAAGGTGATTAAGTGTAGATGATACACTCAAAATCAATCAAATGTATCATGGAAAGTCATGAATGATCAATTAACCCAAATAGCACCAAAACTTGTTCCTCAATATCCAAAATCCATATACTTTTTCTAAAAACACACTTGGAATAAAATAAGTTACTTCTGATGCTTTCCAGGAACACCACTGCTTATTCTGTTCACAACATGAATGACTACGTGGAGGACATAAAATATTTCTTTCAGTGATTACTCACAGTAAAACATATTTTGTCTTCTGAAAAATTGGAAAACACTGTACAGGACCATTTGTCAAAATGTTAATTTAAAGAATTCCTGTGTCCATCTCTGGTTTCATAAACCATTTACGCATTAAAAGGTCCAGCACTTTGGAGCAAGAACAAAATTAAACTGTCTTAGAGTTATGATCTGCCAGGAATGAGGAAAAACAAACCCATGACAAAAGAACGATAAATGCTGCCAAGCCTATAATATATCAGACTGTTTGCAAACAAAGGCTGTGCCATTCCAAAGCCGAACCACTCCAACGTTCCCATTATGCACTTCAACAATACTTTTTTCAAGTGATGAGGACACTGGCGTGCACACTATACGGGTTCTAATAAATAGCCTTGAAGTACATAAAACACGTTTTGTTTGATTAAATTTATAACAATAGTAATCAAAGAGGGCACCATGACCCTGGCAAATCTGCTTAATCTTTTCTTATTTGGACAAATAATGTACCCGTTCCTATAAAAAAGGAACGGCATTACACAAACTTCCCTCTACTCCAAAAACATTCTCTCTATTGTTCAGAAGACTAACAAATTGATCAAAAAGGCTATACAGACACAGAAAGCTTAGCAAATGCCTCATTTAACTCCATTTGTGTTCATGGTGCAAGATTAACCAAATCAATAATGTTATATAAAAAAGCAATTTGCAAAGTGTCATTCTCATTTAAGGTGTTTATCTTATTTTGGTGCAGAATACTCAATTCACCTTACATAACACATTCTTTTTTGGATTAAAAAAGTATTTTTCTCTAGGAACTAAAAGAGGAAGCAACCAGTGACAATGTTTGTGCACGTTGACTAATCTTTGTCCTGTTTTAATATTAATGTCATACACTGAAAACTGGTTAAAGGAACAGACTTGAAATAAGGCGGTTTTAGAGAATAATACACTTCTGTATTATTCAAGTTCAAGCTGCTGTCATTTTCTTTTTAACTTTTGAATTATCTGGCAAAACTTCCCCTTTAACTGATATAACAAAAAGTTTTTAATATATTAAACAGAGAGCAAACTGCAAGCTTGGAGTTTCATTATGACATTGGTTCTCAAGATGGGAGTCTTTCCTGCGCAAGAGCTTCAATTCTCCCAAACAGTATGCAGTCATCAACCTGTTGAAATGTGGCTAAGATATACTGTACCCAAAATTGTCTTATAGCTCCAATGGATGAGACAATGTCTTAAACTAAGGAACAGAAAAACAAATTCTATATTTCCAGTCATCTGACTGACCCATTGGCAGTGACAAAAAAACGAACTACCCTACCCTCATATTTTGGAGCTGACAGGAGAGTAGTTTATCCCAGCCAAACTTCTTCACAGTACATCACAAGGCAGAATTGGAGTAAAATTAAAATGCTTTTGGTGCTCAGTGGCTCCTGGGAAATATATTAATACATACTTGGAGAAACTTCACTTTCAAGACAGAAAATGATAATTAAAATATCACCAGGCAAAACCCTTCTTGTTTACCATCTCAGTTTCAACCGAAATCTTCTTGACATTTGAACAAAACTACTGTACAAGAGAAAAGGCTTTCGATGAACTAAGCCTTCAGATCTCTGAAAATCAACTCGAATCAGTGCCAAAGAGTCTCCTTCACTGGACAGTGCTTACACAGCAGCCCTAAAGGGTAAGGCAGGCTGCAAGTGCTTCTTCACAAATCAGTTTGCAGTGATGATTTGCCTTGCAGTCATCAATGCAGTTTGGGGATTTAGGAAGTTGATTCCAAAATATCCTGGGAGAGGATAAGTAATTAGAATTAACATTTATTCTAAGACTGGCAACAAAAAGGCCTATACAGTACATCAGCTGTCATATGTTCATATTTACAGATATTTTACTTCTTTTGCTGCCCATACATCTCATATTTCATTCATGCTTCACCTAATCGTTAGCTAGTTGATGGTGGATTTGATTTAAATGGTACTCTTATTTCAGAGCTCAGAATGTTTCCGAAATAGCATGTTGAAATGGCAAACTTACCATGATTGGAGCTGTACTAAATCGAATTTTTCTGTTTGAAGCGACATCCTCTTCTTCTGGCAAGCCAGGAATTTCTACAATCTCCGAATCGGGCTCATAGTGGCTGTTCTCCTCACTGCAGGCTTGATCCTCGGGATCTGTACAGCTTTCTCCCCAACCCTGATAATACATAGCACTTTCAGAAGTGCCAATCGCCTTCTCACTCCCAGTATATCCTTCGCTGGGATCTTTAGCGTGCTCATCTGAAACCCAAGCAGAATCGGCCAGCACAGGGCCCTCAGCTTGTTCATTTAGCTGACTAGGTGGCATCTTTGGGATTTGTGTTCTGTGCTCATTGCCAGCTGAGGGCTCAGATACTGCTGAATCACTGTAAACTCCATCCACCTCTGACCCAGCCACAGCTCCCATCTGTCTCTGCACACCACAATCACTTGCAGCATCTGCACGGAAATCTTCGGCATTTCCTTGGTTGTACTCCATTTCCTTTTCATGTTCGTTCCTTTGCTGGCTCACAGAAGAAATCCCCTTGCCTTCGTCCGCCGTTTCGGACACAGGACTGGGGCTTAAAAGGTCCTCCGATGACGATGAAAGTGGGATCGCCTGCTTTTGGCCGTGGCGTTTATGTCTCCGGTGCGGTGGAGACTGCTGCCAGCTAACGTCATCTTCGCTGAGCTCAGTCTGTCTTTGAGAACCATCGGGGGAACACAGTCCTTTGCTTCCAGTCTTCTTCCAAGCCGCTGCGTTTTGTTGGTCGGCGTTCTCAAACACGGCGCTCAGCTGGCTCACCGTCGGAGACGAAGCCTCCGTTCTCGAACACAAACTATCCAGGGAGTCGGTGCTGCCCAGGTTAGAGCGCATGCCCTTCCACTCATCCAGGTGCTCATGGGATCCTTTCCGGTCTTTGCCGGAAGAGGAGCGCGAGGACTGAGAAGTCTCCCGGATAGTCTGCTCAAACATCTTCCTCGTTTCCGAAAACTTGGAGTGAGCAGTCCCATCCCGACTGGTGTCGAATCGGCTAACCCGTTCGCTTACAGTAGCCTGCAGTTTCACAGCCGATTCACCCGTTTTGTCCACAGACGGCTTAGGCCTGCGTATCTTTTGAGGGGAGGAACCTTCTTTCCCTTTGGTTTTGGAGGGAGGTCCAGTGTTCTCATTTGGTCCCATTCCCATTTGCATGAACATGTTTTTAATCCTGTTAACGTTGGAGCCATACTGCCTCCCTCTTGCTTGTGGAGGTTTCTCACAGGCTTCCTTTGGCTTTGGGTCTCCATCTCGCCTGGGCTGATCGAACGCGTTTTTCAGGGCCTGAAATTCTGTCCTGTAAGCATTGCGATGGGGAGAAGCACTTCGGAGGGTGGACCTTTCTCCCGAAGCCTCGGTTTTCATCATGTTTATTGTGGGCAAGGTGCTTCTTTCTGCATAGCTGGGATGTCAGATCACGTTTTCCAAGGATTGATTCTGATTTTAATCTTTGTTGTTAGACACATAATAGCTGAAAGGAGAAATAGAAAAAATGGTTACTGCACAAATAATAATGCATTAATTGCAAATCTGACTGATGTCGAAATTTTACCTTCAAGACCTATGCATAAAAATCCAAGATAACCCCAACACATTTTTAAATGTTTCAGTATTCTAACATATTATATTGCATGTTGTTAAAGTAGATATACAGTAAAATACTCCACTTTAGTTTAACTATTTATTAGCTGGACCTACCCCACAATTTCTAAAGGGGTGTGCCAGCAACTATTCAAGATACACATTATGTTCCAATAATTATGCAACTTCCTCTTACATACGAAGACCCATGCTTTCAAAATACACCCATAAAACACCTATCCCAACCGTTTTTCTATAACATAACATGAAAAAAAACTGTAAAAAACATAGCCAGACGTACAGTAGCTGATTTAATAGAAGGCATATAGCAAAAATTCAATGTACTGTGAATACACATAAATCAGGAACCATTTAAAAGTAAAGCCAACAATATATAGTCTACTTCACTTTTATGTTTTGAGTTATGATAAAATGTTAATTTTATTTCAAGAAAAATCAGAAATACCTTCAAACACATTGGATCTCTGGCCACCTTTAATGTTAGCATTAACTGCAAACATTATGCGATACTGTCGGAGGACGTTTAAGCTTGTGACAGAATTTTAAATCTGGGCAGCTCCACGGCTGAGTTCACATTTTTAGCAGCTGAAGGTGAGGAAGTCTCAAGTGGCAGAGAGACGCGTAACTGCACTTCAACTTATAAAACAGACCAGGTCCACACTTACTCACACTTTTGTGCAAGAATGTTTGTTATTTAGTCAATATAGCTGTGACATAAAAGGTACGTACTGTACACAGACAATTATTAATATACTGTATTCTGACATTCCTTTGAAGTCAAAAGTGTAAAAGACTCTAAAACAACAACCTTGCAGTCGATGAAACTGGATCATCACAATATCATTAGTCACTATTACACAGTATTTTGTGCCATCCACGCACAATTCCAAGAAACTGATCTCAAGAATCATACTCAAGCATGCCAAATAATCTAGCTCCAAGCTTTTACACTGCTGTAAATCCATTATTTACTAGGGCTTAATTTGTAAAAACTCTATTAAAATAAATTAGCTGTAGGTCCTATCAGTACATTTGACAATGGATTTAGTAATACAGTATCCCATCAAGCTCTGCATGTTTATGATTACAGCCCTGGTGACACAGAAACGATTCCAAAGTAATGGTTATGCACTTTGTGCACTTCACTGTGAATTCTGAAGTTTTGCTTGATCGTTGCCAACATAAAAGCTTTGACTTTGGCATCTGAACAAGCCTCAGCATCACAGACGCTAAACCAAAGTTATGAACCAAAAATTAAACAGCAAACAGCAGCTGCTTTTGTATGATCTCCTGTGCTGTTCTATACTTGCAATGTCCAAATGATACACATAATGTGGGCTATTAACATATTAACTGTAAGAGTATTACAGCAGAACTCTCGCTAACTGCCCTACTTACAATGGGACTCAAGTACCCCTTGAGGTGCTCGCGAGTCCTTGAGTATGATTATTAAATGTGGATGCTAATCTTATGTAGCACTTTCAGAATGGGTTGCCAAGCCTGTTGTGGACAGGACCTGATTTTAACAAAGCCAGCTATCGCTCTTTGAGAGTACATCTGACATTCTGTTTTACGCCACTGGAATGGAGAGTAAAAAGAGTACGAAGAGCTAGAACTAGTGGAAAATAAAACTTCAAAATCTTTTACCACCTCTAAGGGTGTAGTAGAAGAGAGGGGAAAGAGGCCAGGAGGAAGACCTAGATTGCTTGACATGGTGAGAGAAGAGTCAACAAGGTGGAAATTTATGTTGTCGCCTGGAGAGACAGGATGCGCTGGAGGAGGCTAGTGGGTGAGGCAATGGACTGGCTTTCGGTTCAAGACGCCACCTCAGCAGTAAGTAAATCAGGAGGGTTCATCCTGAACGAGTCATTTGTGGCTGATTATTAAATGCGAGTCGATAGCCAGATCTATGCGACTTCAACAAACATCACAATTTCTTGGGACTACTGCCCATTCTGGGTGACTTGGTCTCCAGATGATGAAAGAATCTGTTCAGCAGGATGTATTGTGTTCAGGTCTTTTCCCCTATACTTAGGGTATTTCCCATACTTGATCTGGAATATGTTTTTGCGAGCTGTAATTGTGTAAGCATTAAAAACAGGCAACAAAGGGAAGCATTCTTCTTGGCTCTTAATGAAGAGACTCCCACCACTGAAGCACCAGAGGAAATTCCACTCCAGGCTTGCACAACTTGCTCTCCCTAAAGCTCAGTTTTTTGTGCAGGGGGGCTGTTGAAGCATGAACTCCTGTAATTGCATGGGATGGAGGTGCACCTCTCCATTCCTCGAGAACCAAAAGGTTTTTCTCAACTCAGTTTTGCTTAACCTTTTTAACTGTGCAAACAAGTGTCTTGAAGCAAGGTTTCTGAGTCTTAGACAAGACATCAATAACACCCTCTACCAGAATAATACAATTCATTACTGTGCACAACGACGTGACATTTTGCATTTTGAGTTCTGCTCTTTTTGTGCAGTTTCTTGATATACAAACAATTCTAAGGTGATTCATTGAAATCTACTTTAGGTTAGCAGATAATCTCTATAGATCATGTATTGTATTACTATGTACAAAAAAAGTAGCCTTTTGCTTTTTGGATATGTAGAAAAGAAAATAAACATGACAAAGTCTTTAAGTCCATGAGTTAATAAGATATTACTTGTAAATTCTACTATTACACTTGATACTAGCTGCTCAGGTCTAGTTTATCTCGAGTTGTTCTAAGCATGTATTTTCAAGATTATAATCAATGCAAATTAAACTGCTAAGTGACAAATCTAGGTTTCTTCACACCCCCAGAAGGCATTAATAAAGTTGATAGACATTAGTGGAAGGTTTACAGTATGTAAATTGTTGAAGGACATACTATACATGTATCTAATTGTATCTAAGAGGATTTAGTATTTGCACAGAAGTGCGGGCAGAAATGAATTTATCTTTCTATACAGGCCTAGAAGTACTGCCCTTGAAAACACAGATGCAGTTCTCTCCTGCACAAAACCCAGACAACACGTTTTTATCAAGCTCCATCATGGTTAATTCAGCAAACTCATTACTTAAGACAAATGTGCTTTATAATGTCAAACCAAAGAAATGTATTGATACTTTTCGTAATTTAAAATATTATATCTGTAATATTCTTTAAACTCCAAACGTCTAAATGCTGCATCATTTTAACGGGGTTTTAATCGGCTTACATTCTTGAACTCATTTCTGGGGTACAGTACATAAGGACTAGTACACAAAATCTATGCTTTAGACTAATTTAAACAAAGATTTCGGAATACTATTATATTTTTTCACTATGTTTCCAGTGATATTAAGGACAAATACAATATTTATTATTCCGTTAAGAAACCGCATCCGACTCACAGTGTTCATCATATGTCTTCTATTAATTTCCCTTCGTTTGTGTAAACAAGGAGTTAATCATTGAAACTGAAGTGGAAAGGAAAGTTAAGGTTCACAAAAATACCGTGAGAAAACATGTCAGGGGATTTCTTAATTAGGTTATTAAATGCGCCTTTGACACGTATTGATACGGAACAAAAAACTTCACCTCTCTTATCCTGTAATTATCTTCCTCAGCTCCGGAAATAACTACACTTAAATAATGTGATGGAGGTACTGTACATATATTTAGAAAAATCAGAACATTCAATACCAAAATACGTCTAGTTTGTTTATGAGCAAGATTTAGACAGCCATAGCATGCGAAAGGCGAGGAATGACCCGAAGTTGGTCATAGATACAGTAAATACATAAGCAGCTACATTCAACGCGAAAATCGACAGCTAAATTGCCGCTCAATTAACGAATTGTACATTCCCGCATCGGCTCTATGTAAAACAGTCAAAGACTGACAAAGATCAGAAAGAAAATCGGACATGAACCGATAACTGTCAGAAACGTATTATTTCAATCAAACATCATTCTTTTTTATTTTATTGGAGTGGAAATATTTACCAGTAAAGCACGGTCTATCAAGATCAAGTTATATAAAATTGTTGCAAAGTGTACCAATACGACCCCCCCCCATTAAATAATTTAGACGCGGTGTGAACTCCTGCGTACGGTATGAAAGCATTCGTCAAAAATGCACAGAATTAAAAAAGAAGTGTTTAGACTAAGTGTGTTACTATATATATCAACGACAGAAGTATTTCACAAGTAAATAACATTTAATGTCGAGGCATAACGTAAACCACTTCCTTGTTTAAAAGCCTGGCACAATAACAGCAAGCCGGGTTACACGAATTGTGCGTCACAACAAGTCCTCAATATAGCAGAAGTTAAACCGTGAAAACAAAAACAAAAAAAGCCGAGCAGCGCAACCTTTAGCTGTACACAACGACGCTCAAAAACAAGACTTACTGTACAAGTACGTGCCTCGTCTCATTCAAAGCATGATGCCGAGTGAATGAAAGCTCTTTTGGCGTCATGTGATGTGGTAGTCTGCGCAAAGCCAGGGTGTTACAAAAATCTTCTAGCTGTGCAGATGTTGCCCTTCTGTGTCATCCTTTCTCTTTTTGCGCAAGCTGCCCAACCTGCACACCCGAGCGGCTTGACATACCGCTGCTTCTATCCTCACACCGCTAGAAAACGCCATTGCAGGCAATAGGGGGACCCGGCCATACGCAAAATAGGGGTGGCGGTCGACCGTGGTAGGGCTGATTGGTAAGCAGATTGAAACGCGGCGCAGGTTGTCGAGCTCGATTGTTTTGCTGCCGCCTCTCCGTCCTGATAAAATCTGATTACAATCAATTAGGCGATGGGCGTCCTTTACAGCTCCACGCGTGTGACAAGTGTTGCACCTTTCCACAGCCAATGGTTTGACCCGACAAGCTCCAAGCCATGAATTGAGTAAGGAGGGGTGAATGCGTATAAATACCAGCACATAAAGACTGTTGCAGAAATGATTGGTGCGCTGCAGAGAATGTGAGGAAGGTGGTTTGTCGTCAGAATTTTTAATACTTGTTTAGGGGGGGGACGGTAACTTGTATTTCATCCGTTTATGTAAATATGTTTTGCTGCTGCTGCTGTCTGGCGAGTGTTGCAACAGTAGTGTATTTTGTAACAATTGGGAGTCTCAAGGGAACTGTACTTTTTATTCTATGCTCCCATAAATCGTTTTCCTCAGGTGACTTAAAAATTGTTTTCATTTTAAGTGCACTTGTTATATTTAAAAAAAAAAGACATCCATTTCTTTAAACGTAAAGAGCAGGTATACTGCACAGTACACTGTGTGCGCTTTTCGTGATCATTTTCCTCGAGCGCTGCGACATCCCTGGTTCTCGGAAAGTAATTTAATACTAGAAAAACCTCATACGTTTTAATACTGTAGGTTGTGTGTTGATGAATTTCCATCTTAATGGGGTTTCAGTTTCATTTAGCGTTAAAGTGTGATGTAACGCGGTATTAGGGGAAGAGAATTTGAATACTTCAGGAAGCAATTTGGCTCCAAACGCATTCTTCTTCAGCTACCTACTGTAATGTCTAAGCGATTTTGGGATGTTTGAAAATTATAGGTTCTCGCTGAATGTCTAGTTGGTCAATTGCCGTGAATATGGGCATCTACTAAGCCAATGATAATTTATGTTCTGTTAATCATCGTAAAAAAAAAAAAATTAGACTTGTTTCAGTTTGTTTTCAGCAGCAATAAAAGCTTGCAGCCATTAAGAAAAAATACTGATTCAGAAAAGAGACTCAGAATAGTGAGTGTACAGTGTATATATAATTTTAAAGCTAAATTTCCGCAGTGCATTAGCAACTAGAGCTACAAGTACGAGCTATATGTATTATGCAGGAATTTGTATGTGGGGATCTCTCAAATATGTCTAAAAGATCGGTTTTATGCACTATTCATTAGTTTACTGGAGTTTAAAGTCACACAACACAACATATACCATAGAAGTCGCAGTAAATGTATTCTGGAGGAGGTGAGAAGACTACAGAAAGCATTCCTTGGCTGAAAGGAATGTCTTACACTAACAGAGTAACAGAACAGGACCCTTTCAGACAGAAAAGTCTATGAGAGAACTTGATTCAAGTATTCAGAATCCTCAAAGGCACTGACAAAGTTGACCAGCTAGCCTTCCTCAGAATTAACAGTAAAACGTGGACAAGAGAACGCAAGTGCGGATAAAACAGAGAACACTTATTTGCACAAATATTTGTGAGAGTATCGAACAAACTGCCCATCCATGCTGTTGAAGCAGGTACTCTTATTGTCCTTTGAGAAACAAACAAATGACATCCTCAGATCAATTAGCTAATAGTTTCCAGATTAGTTGATTATTCCACATGGACTCTGTAAACCTTTACGAAAGTTAGTGTAGAAAAACAAAACGTACTGCACCTTCTCTGTGAAAGATGGTGAATGTAGTGTCAATGTTTGAGTATAGTTGCCTCTGGAACTGTCTCAATTTTCCTTATTGATGACTTTCCAAAGGCCACTGTCCTTGTACATGCTGTAGATCGCAGCAGAATCTTTCTGTAAGGTTCAGAATTCATTTTGCTTTCTAATGTAGAAAAAAATGCTTTCATACTTATCTGGGGAAACTTTACCATGCAGCGTGACAATAACCCATAACACAGACTGCAACCCAAAATTAATCCAGTCTAACTAATACCGCATGTAATACCAGGAATATTGTGTACAATTTTGTTCAGCACATTTTGAAAAAAATATTGATGCTCTAGAATCAGCCCAGAGAAGAGTGAACAGATACATGTCTGGCTTAATACCCTGCATAGATCAACTATGATTATTAGAGGACCTTTAATTTGATTCAAGTACTCAAATTATTTTAAGATGACAAAGTCGTCCCAGTGGACTTCTCCAGCATCAAAAGTGAAAGACAAGCCACAGGACACCAGAGAAAACTATGCAGACTTGCATTTGAAACTTCAAACTTCAAAATGGGAGGCATTTTTTTACACAGGGGTTATGGAAATCTGACACAAGCTACCCAGTCATGTTGTTGAAGCCAGTTCCCTGGCTTCTTTCAAGAAACGACAAGATGAGATCCTTAGATCAATACACTACTAGCAGCCAAATGACCTTACCTTTATTTTATATTACTTAGTGAACCATAATATACAGTATATACCTGCAAAAATCTAAGTCGTAAGACAACATAATTAATTAAAAAAGTATAATTAATAAATTGAATCAATACATTTTGGATGTAACTTGAACCTGTTATGCAGAATGGCTGAACCCACTGTACATACTGTACATAAAAACATGTGCTTTATCTGCAAGATATAATTTTCTATCATGCCATTTAAACTGCTCTACAATTCTACCCAATATTCAGTTGGTCTAAGGAATTTATTTTGTGGTATAAGTATACTGTCTTGTTATAGTATAATGTTTTACTTCATTAAAATGATTATAAAAAATAATTATTAATACTGTACTCAGGGCTTGCAATGAAATATTTCCTATTGAAATAATTTCACAAAATCTTGTGTTACAGAAGCAGTCAAGACCATAGCATAGTGGTAGGACACAATTGTAGGAAGTGTGAGTAACAAAGAGCACAGCTATGATGGGAATTCATACCAGAAACATGTGGAATGCTTGGTTAGGGGTGCTGAATAATGTCAACTGATGTTGGCATGTGATGGAGTTGTTTGAAAGAAAGCTCTGTGAAAGCTTGCAGCAAGCATTTGTGTGCCTGGAGATACTGTAAAGAAAACGGCGGTGTTAATATACCCTGTAAATATGCAGCTCTACAAGAGGGCTCTGATAATCAATAAGAAAATTACATTTTTGTTTCAAACATGTTTTGAAAGAACGTGCTGTGTACGTGGAAGTGTAGTAAATAGACACAGAGAATATGTGGGATTGGTACTGTAGAAATACCAATAAGTAGACAACAGAGTGGAGCTTAGTCTGGTTTCAATCAAATGGTCTGTGACATTAAATTATGTTAGAACTAAATTTGTGAAGCTAAGAATATGAATGTCAAAATGACAATCTTCAAACGTTTAATAATATTAAATACCATAACTGCTTCACCCAATGAGAAACTCAGATATATTTCAGCATGTGGTTATTCAGGTTGCAGGAGTTTGTAAAAAGAGGTTTACCGCACAAACACAGATACTGTGTGTTACTATGAATGGCGAAGAACACGTGGATATTAAAGGAGTCCCTGTTATCTCCTACTTGACTTCCATGAAATCCTCTTGATGTTGCCAAGCAACCTATAAATACTTGTGCAAAACTGTGATGTCTCTGCAGAGCTCCAAACGAAAATGGCACTAATGAATTATGACAGCTGCTCTTTGCTGGAAGGATTCATTTTTTAAAGCAAATTCCTGCCTGATGTCTGTATTAAACAAAAACATTGCAGTTCAGTGTTGTGAGATACCTACACAAGACCTCTCACTGTAATTAGCAAATCATTGATTTTGTTTTCTGTTTCAAAGATGAAATGACATACTATAGTACGTACTGTATCTTGATGATTATGAATAAAATAAGATGTAGAATAAATATGTGATTTACTGTATGGAATAATCAGGTAAAAACATTTTTCAGTAAGCTTCACTCATACTGTCAGTCAGACTAGATTAGCTTTCGGTGATTCACTCAGATTCTTGTCCAGTTGTGCAGTATTGTGAAGAAGATGAGAACACCCTGGATCGCCATGTGTGCCTTCTGCTCACTTCACTCCCATGTGGGGGGTTAAATAGATCTTAATGGCCTCAGTTGTAGCAGATTTCACTGGGAAGGACATCTGTACACTGACTCAAAACAAAAGTATCACAATCCACCAGTTCCAAACTCAATTGCTCAACAATTACAACAATTACAACAACTTGACACAAGAGTAATCCTCTGCCCCTAACATCACCTGGAAAATGTAAATTTTGAAAATCATCTGCAACTGTTGAAAGAAGCTCCAGAAGGTTTAAAAGTTTAAATCTCGTAAAAATCTAATTTTTACTTACACATGCAGTATTAACTTCATGTGTATTTTATACACTTTACAAAATTACTTTAATACACTTTAGTTCCCATGCAAAAGTCAGTTCATGCATACTTTATTTTGTACTTGGGCACGTATGGACGTATGTGCACAATTATTTCATTAGATCCTTGCCACTATCATCATTCATGTTATCACCAGCTTCAGTTCATTCAGGTCTGAAAGATGTGAATTCTGAAAGAATAAACTGATTTTGTGTGGATAGGTGGTACTTCTACTGTATATACAGTACAAAGGGACAATGGGGTCTGGAACAAGCGACCCAGCCATGTTATTAAAGACACTTTACTGTACTTGCTTCCTAGAAGTGGTTGGACATTCCTTGTGTGAATTAGCCCCCTCCAAAAGCCTTCTTCAGTACTTTTGATAGTAATAGAATTAATTAGACCAGCAGGTACATGTACTATACCTGCTGGGAATATCAGGTCTAGATACTGCTTCCAAAACACAAAATACTGTATGACGTCTTGCATTTAAACATCGAATTTGCAAGTGCTATCAAGATTTTCAGTCTAAGTGAGCCATGAGATAGTTAGCCAATTTAACATTGCCTAACTTTTTTAGAATTGTCTTGTTAGTTTGATTGTTTTTCTGTCCTTGAAGTTGGCTTTTGGGCACAAAGCGTGCCTTAGCACTGACTGAGCTTCAGTTTCCTCACCCGAAGTTTAAGCCCCTTTCCTCAGCCTAGATTGTTTCAGTGTATTTACAGTATGTTTTTACTAATTTGCAATCATGTGTTTAAAATCCATTAACAACGAAGGCAACAACCGTGTTGAATCCTCATCGTGCTTTGATACCCCAGGGGCTTGCTTGTAACGGTTCACTTTATAGTTTTGATACTGAGCGAGACACGTTTTTAATAAGAATGTGAAGCGTCTTTATTCTACAGTCCGGGTTCGCAGAAATCGGCCACCAAGCCCAGCTCAAGGCGAGTCTTACACGCTTCTGGCACGGGACTCTGTTTCCTCCCAAAGACAGCATCTCATTTTCCAGCATCTGCGCCAGATGTTCCAACCAACCAGAGCGCAGCGAGCTCCCACAATGCGCTGGGAGAGGGGAGAAAGAGGAATGCGCTGTACAAGGGGATGCTGGAGCTGTCAAACTGGAGAGATCGCCAGCGATTGACCAGAAATACTCGTTAAATTTACAGCAAAACACGATGCGCTCTGTCGGGTGCTTCATCTGCCTGTCCGTCGGTATGTATCGAGTATTATTTCACACAGACTCTCTGCTGTGCTTCGTTATTTTTTCGGAAGGCATCTTCACCTTTTAATTTTTCAGTTAAGCAGACCGCAATGGAAAACGACCATTTTTGTGGGTTTAAGAACATTCTTTCTAAGTTAAAAAAAAACATTAAGTACTTTTAAAAGCAACCTTGTATGTTTCGGATTGTCGCTATTGTACACTCTATGTGTTATGGTTAAATATTGCCGTACATAGAGGGTGTTTCATTTTAGCATTTACAGAGCTATTGTAAGACAGTTTTAGTACAGGCGACTGCTGCTCTCCACAGTTTAGGAGACAAGGCCTACTATAGCTGAAGGTTTGCTTAAACAGCGTTGATTTCTGTTCATTATGCGGGTACGGCAAAGCTAGTTTGCTTAGAAACATTTAACAGTCTGCATTAAGTCAGTAATGGTGTTGTAAAAATGACAATACTACACGTACAGTACTACAGTGCGGAGTGTGATAATCCATTGACAGTAATGCCCAGGAATGTTGATTGTTTTATCTCATGTTTTATGTTGAAAACAAAAGCTTATTTAGTAAGCTCTGCTGATGTCAAAAGTGAAGCCGTAGCATGGAGGAATAGTCAAATCCACAGTTATTTCATCAACAGACAGAGAGCCGCTGTCCGCACGAACGGTGAGTGGGAATGCGCCCCGGCACGCAGCTCGGTACCCCCGCAGCCTAACAACACGCCCTCGCGTTACCAGCCCCTTCAGCTGCCCCTCCTGTCTTAACCCTCCGGCCAATTAATCCTCGCCTCTACCTTCTTATTGCTTTGTATTCTGATTTAATTCTTAGGCATGTACTGAAGTTTATATTCTACACTATGCGTTTAATGGGGAACCCATACTTTTTTTTTAAAGTCACATACGGTACTGTACCGTATAACGTCTTTGAGTATCTGACCTTATACAGTACATTTCAACGAATTAAAACGTACAGTACATTGATACAACGAGGATCATCTCACACAGGCCTATGAAAAAATAGGTTCATATGCTATATGCAGTACATGTTTTCTTTTGTCTGTGCAGTTCACAGTTTGAGTTAGCCTGGTTAGACTTCTGTACTTGTTGGTGATAAACTTGAGTGGCACGCAATGCACACTCTGGTTTTATTTTATTTTTTCTGTAGCCTTGGTAGAGATGGAAAAAATAGTAATGATGATATGATAGTATGACAGCTACTGTTGTAAGAGAAAACATTACATTTCCCTGTAGGAAGGAAGTCTTTTCTAGGAGTGCCTTGTGATGATGTGATGCACTGTACTGTATATTTCTTTGGTTTTGAAGTCTGGGTGCAGGATTACATAAAGCAGGGATGTAACTGATGGGTGGAGACTCATTCCACAGACCACATTATGGCCGAATGTGGCCAATTCCTTGAGCGGAAGCACTTAAGTATGACTCACGACACGTTGCATGGTGCACCTTTTGGTTTTAATTAAGACCAATTTACAGTTTTTATACCTTAAGAGGGAATAATATGTGAAGGTACATGCAAGTAAAACATTATCTGGTTCTACATGTCCATAGAAAATTTAAACTCTCACGTACACCTTACAATTTCCAGTAATATTTAACTTGTCCAAAATAGGGATGAAGTGTGTTTTAATATTTTAAAATATAGTTTAAATAGATTTTTAGAGCAGTGTTGCTACATTCTAACCTAATCTTATCGGACCTTAGAAGCTCAGCAAGGCGGGGCCTGGTCAGCACTGGGATGGGAGAACTTGAAGGAAAACCATGCTGCTCCTGGGTGTGTGTGGGTAGACCAGTAGGTGGCACTACTCCCTTTGGATCTGAATAATAATACTAATAATAATTATTATTATAATAAATAATAAAATATAATATAATAAATAATAATAATTGCTTATACTTATATAGCGCTTTTCTATAGCCTATATAAGCCTATATTCTGGACACTCCACTCGCGCTTTACAGGTAATGGGGATCCCCTCCACCACCACCAATGTGCAGCATCCACCTGGATGATGCGACGGCAGCCATAGTGCGCCAGAACGCTCCCCACACACCAGCTCTCAGTGGGGAGGAGAGCAGAGTAATGTAGCCAATTCATAGAGGGGTAAGGACCAATGGGAATTTGGCCAGGACGCCGGGGTTACACCCCTACTCTTTTCGAGAAACGCCCTGGGATTTTTAATGACCACAGAGAGTCAGGACCTCGGTTTTACATCTCATCCGAAGGACGGCGCCTGTTTACAGTATAGTGTCCCCATCACTATACTGGGGCATTAGGACCCACATGGACTGCAGGGTGAGCGCCCCCTGCTGGCCCCACTAACACCTCTTCCAGCAGCAACCTTAGTTTTTCCCAGGAGGTCTCCCATCCAGGTACTGACCAGGCTCACACCCGCTTAGCTTCAGTGGGTTGCCAGTTGTGAGTTGCAGGGTGATATGGCTGCTGGTGAATATGGCTGCTGCTGAATTTCAGAAGGAAGTCCCCATAATGGCCAGGGACACTGTCCTGTAAGACGTGTTGACCCTTCAGATAGAACATTAAGTTGAAGTCCTGACTACTTAACCATTATGAGTCCCGTATTGCCATTTGAAAGGGTAGAAGTGGTCTTGGCTAAATACCACTGTTGGCTTGCACACTCTGCCCTCCCTAAAAGACACCCATCAGTGTAAGAGGGCAGTGGGTTCAGACAAGATGGAGGTCTACCTGTCAACTACATTCCCCAGAATGCTGTGGGGAATGAACTGCTGTCCTCAGTCACCTGACCAGTTCTGAGAAGATGATTGGTCAGGTAATGTATAATTAAAAAAATAGTAATTAGACTGACCATGAAAGCTTTTATCTGCAGTCTAGGGATGGTGGGGAGATCCTGTGTGGCGTAAAAACCTACCTAGCATGTCATGAAGTGAGTGAAAAATCAAGAACTATGTGTGATTTGTGAAATATCAAAGAGCTTCTGTATTAGTCTCAGAGAAGCTTGTGTGTTTGTCATTTGAGAAGCCAGTAAGCAGCTTAGCTGGCCAGCACTATTGATAGTGAGGCTCTTGAAGTCTAGGCAGAAGCATAAAGTGGATGGGGGCTTTTATTTTGCTTTGCGAAACAGTCCTGCACAGTTTCACCAGATGGTCTCAAAAGTGCACTTTTCCACAAGACCGGAAGCTATTCCCTCATCCTCCACCAGAATGTGACATTCAGAGATTTAGAGGGGCCATCGCAAGTCATCTTCTAAAGGGGAGGGAAGTCTAAGACAAACAGCTCTCAGGTAGAAAGCAGTGCCGTTTATTTGTAGTGTGGGAAAATAAAACTGCAAAGAAAGAAAAGCCTAGCTCCCCTTCAGCCAGTCCCTCACTAACATCGCTGAGCAGCTGAGCAATACACAGAACCGTTTCCAAATTTCACAAACCTCATGCAGTTCATTTCCTCTGTGAGAAAGTTTGCACTAGACAGTACCTGCCCTCTTTCTCCAGATAGCAGATAGAACAACCCTAGAAGTCCCCCGATTCCTGATTTTCAGAACTGGCCAGGTGAGTGAGGGTAGCAGCTAATTCCCCACAGTATTCTGGGAATGTGGTTCAGGCATGGACCCATCTCATCTTAACCTGCGGCCCTTTTACAGCCGATTTTCTGCTGATTCCAAACTGCTGTGTGACTGCACATTACTTCCCCGAAAATGCAGCTTCTTGTCGAAAGTCTATAAATATGGAACACTGGTTATACATTTACCCCGCAAAACAGCCACCAACCTGTACTAAACACGTAAATCAAATCTGTGTAACCAAGCCTTTCAATTTGCAAATTAAGGAGTTTCACATTAACTTTTAATGGTTAATACATGAAAGGTTGTTCATCACCAGGGCGGCTTTAAATCGACCATTTAAGCTTCTTAAGCCGAGCGGATAAGGTTATGCACCTCAGTGGCATGTGTTGAGACCACATATACTAGCTTTGCTGGTGATCTTTGTTGAACGAGTATCTCAGCAGGGAGCATGTTTAACGCAGAATGCCATCTGCTCTGTGATAAGTGATCCATAGTGAGGCCTTTGGAATCTGCTGTACTAGATTAACAGTCATTGCTGCTCTCTAAATTCATTACACTCCATCTATTATGAATTCAGAGTATATGTTGAAACTGCAAATTTCATTTTTTCCTAGGAGATGTGCTTTCGGGTTTTTGAGCCTGTATTTTGAACTGTAGCGTTGAAGACTTGTTTGTTCGTTGAAAGACCCCTGCTTCTTCCTCCTTAGTTTCACAAGCAATTCCTCTGTTGATGAGGAAGAGGAAGCTCATGAAGCTTCATCTGTGTGCTGTAAATGACATGCGTCATTTAGACGATAGTTAGAAATTAGTACCAACAAGATTGTACAGATGAGTGATTTGTGGAAGTGTTTCTTATGATGAAATATAGACTAATAAGAATTTGCCTACTCACTGTAAAACATTCTTGCTCCTTAGGAAATGGTTCAAATGTGTCGTGATAGTTATATTAACATTGAAGACTAAATCGAGTGTTAGAATGAAAATAAAACTATTCTACTTTAAAGTTGAACAGAGATTATCATGTACCTGTTTTTGTAGATTTACGATGGCCATTTACATTTTGCTACAAAGCAACACTGTTGCTGTGAATATTGGTGCATCAGAAGCAGCACAGTTACTTAATTGTACTGTGCCAAAGACAACCTAATCTTCCTCTTGTCCCTTGTTTCATCGGTTTTAGTTCATCCCATTAATACAAGTGGGAGTGATTGGACTACAGTATAAAACCCGAACACACAAGGTGGCCATATGGCTTCTGATCTAGCAGGGCTATTTGATTGGTTTAGTTTTAATGTCATGTTGACGTGCATTATATTTATTTTAATTCTGTGTCTTGAAACTGTCTGTGGAGACATTATTACATTTTCTTTTAAATCAGCTTAGGCTTTAATTTTCAGTACATCACCATACTGCTGCTGCTCTTAGCACATGCCATGTTTGTAAAAGGAGCTCAAGGGTTGTTAAAGATTACAGTACTCAAGAACTGAACTACACAAATATATGAAAAACAAGAAATGTTTGTCTTGTCTTGTCTACTTTGTCATTTAAAACATCACACAGAGGGACAATATAGAGATTCCAGCTGACCTTCCCAGTACTGTATGTTTTTGGAAACCGGTGGCTCTGTGGCTCAGGATCTGCGCCTGTGGCTGGAAGGTTGCCGGTTTGTATCCCGCGGCTGGCAGAGGAATCCTGCTCCATTAGGCCTCTGAGCAAGGCCCTTCACCCCAACTGCTCCAGGGGCGCCGTATAAAAGGCTGACCCTGCGCTCTGACCCCAAGCTTCTCTCCCCGTCTGTGTGTCTCATGGAGAGCAGGCTGGGGTATGTGAAAAAGACAAAATTCCTAATACAAGAAATTGTATATCTTAAAAAAAAAAACCTGGGGAGAACATGTACGCTCCACACAGACGGCACCTCCGACGGCTGTACACAACACCCCCCTGTTTCCCAGGGCTGCAGCCTGCTGCTCTTAGTTTATTTAATGTGCCCTGCATTGCATTTACTGTATAGGAAGACCCAGCGTTCCACACAGAAGCATTCATTTGTTTTCAAGAAAGTATCTTTGGAGAAGAACGCGTTTCAGACGCACATTGTGTTTGGAAATCCGAAGTCCGTGGTTCTTTCCCTGTCGTCCTGGGACGGTGGCGCTGGTGCGCCTTGCAGCGACACTGTTGCCTCATGCATGACCGACCTTATTCCTTCTCTCTGTCTGTCTCCTTGTCTTCCTGCTGCAGTTTTCACTATCCTCTCCCGGGCGCATGCAGACCGGAATGTCTATCCTTCCGCCGGAGTGCTCTTTGTACACGTCTTGGAAAGAGAGTATTTTAAGGGGGAATTTCCTCCTTACCCAAAGCCGGGTATGCTGTTGTTAACACTGCAGTGAATATGTGACATTACGTCCTTATTTATTTTTAAATGTCAGCGCCTTATAAAGATACCTTTATTGCCCTGACTTAAGGCTGCATTAAATATCATCTTTCAACCAAGTGCCGATTGTAAACTCGTAATCCCAGGGCTTGGTGGCCAGTTGCCAGAGGCTTCTTCCTTCTATTCAATGGAAAACTGCTTTCAGGCACCGGATTTTTCTTCCGTGACTGATGAGTGGAAATAAGAAAGCTTCAGGCTGACATTTACAACGGCAGGATTTATTCAGTACTCCTTGGTCAAACACCTGGAGGGTACATTTTGCTAAACTGAGTCAAATTACTTGTATCCAACCATGCAAATTGATAGTAGAAATTTAAATATTAAATACTTTTTTGAGTTTCATAAAGATCTAATGTCTTTGAGAAGAGAATTCTTGATTTATAAACTGGGAATTATAAAGCCCGTCGTATATCCTTTTTACTATGGGAATTACAAAATGCAACTTGACATTTTATTTTAAATGTCATGTTTCTCTCTTAATTGCTCTTGACTGCATTATAAACAGTTAAGGGGAGACTGCAGTCAGATGAGTCCTTTATAGAATTTACATCTCCCATAAATCTCACTGTTTTCAAATATTTCACCAAGAAGTGAAATTTCACAAAAGTATGCAATTGTGAGTCAGATTACCAATACCAGTTTTAAAGGGGAACTGCAATGCTTTTTTTATATTTTGGTTTAGGAAGCATCAGTATTGATGAGTGCAATTCAAACCACAGTAAAAGTAAAATGTACATTGTAATGTATAAAACCTCCAATTTACAACACAAAATAGATGAAATTTCCAGGTATGCGCAGCGCCATATTCTGTGATTCAGAATGAGGCAATAAATCTTCCGGTGAGTTGTAGTGGCCTTATTGTAAACAAGCAGGCTTGTGAATACATCTCTTTTAATCAAGATAGAAACATCGCTCTCGACTTTGAAACAGTTTGGTTGACAAATACTACTTACTTGTTAACTCTGGATGCAGATCACAGTGGAACATTTCTGCGGTGAAATGTCTGCTGCACCACCTGTGATTATTTGCTGATACATCACAGTACATGAGTCATTATGGAAACTAGTGAGCAGGAAGGGCCGCATCACATAGCAGTTCGTGGGAACTCTCACTCTCACCCGTGGCGAGACTAGGGGCTTGTGACAACACGGTGACTTTCACAACGTTCACAGTTTTGTGCTTAATTCGAAATTTGTAAATTGTTGCTAGAATGTCAGTGATTTTATTTTGTTACCAAGACTTAATAATAACCAGCCTTAAAAATTGGGACTGCAGTTCCCCTTTAAGTCAGATGCTAAAAGATGGCTAACACATGAACATGATTTTATTGCGATTTGCAAATTCCAATACTAATAACACGCATTTTGTAGCTTTTGAGTTTGAATATTATAGGAGGGCAGTTCTTGTCTTACCCTACCACACTCTTACAATATACACAAATCATTTGAATGTTGCTTGATGTTTTGAATTGATAATGTTTCTATTATGTGAACAGGGGATGCCAGCAATGATCCAATCACATTTAATACAAATTTAATGGGATATCCAGACAGACCTGGGTGGCTGCGTTACATTCAGAGAACTCCTTTCAGTGACGGTGTCCTGTATGGGTCTCCAACTGCCGATCATGTGGGCAAAGCAACTGTTATTGAGGTACATGCTAGACAAAACCACTCAATTATTATAGTTTGCAATAACATTACTAATACAGTAGTTTCTCAGGATGCAGTCCTACAGCGTCTCCTAACCACAGAGAGGATGAGTATGTCATATCTCCTTGTATTTCCTAAATCTATATGAGACTTATGAACAAAGTCAGACTCTTCGGGTAGAAATGACCTGCTGGTGACCTCCTCACATTTACACAGTAACATCTGAAGACTGCTCTGTCATGATGATTAGGGCTACTGTGTTTGGCAGACTTACCGTATACTGCTGCCTATTCTGCCAGTACTGTGCACAGTCCGTTGTATTTAGTTTCATTGTGTCCAGATTTGTGAACCCCAATGACTTATAGAAATAAAACGAACATAAGGAGATAAGACAAGTAATCAAAGAGAGAAGGCCCGTGGAGCTGATGTTGTTATGATTAACTTCATTAAGCTGAGGATATTGTCTATATTTTTTTAAGGAAGCCAGGGATAAAAAGATGAATAGAAACTGGCTTGTCTATGCAGCTGTAATCATGTCTTAGAGACTTCACTCTGGCTGTTCTTTTGTTTCCATGGACGCACAATTATATGCCTCAGTGCTGTGTGCTTGTGTGGTTCCAGTGAAGTTGCATTATTCCACTGAGGTATTTTTCTAAGCTCCTCTGCTCATGGTTTGAACTTTCCCCCTTTTGGGTGCATTGCAGATTACCGCCTACAACAGACGAACCTTCGAAACGGCCCGGCACAACCTTGTTATTAACATCATTTCAGCTGATGGTAAGCACAGCAACTTGAGAGCGCATGAAGAAAACAAAAAGCACACAGACCGCTCAAGTTTGTGAGTTTCCAGGCTTTCTCAGGTGGCACTTGGGGACGACAGCCCGACTTTCATTTCTTTCAGGCCAAAGCAGTTAACTCAAGGTTGACGAGCAAGCGGGAGATTTCCAGACACAGAAGGCCAGCATGCAGGCTCAGCACTGCCATAAGATGAGCTGTGCCAAACTAGCAATGACTGCTGTCAACAGCGGTGTCAGTAGCAAATAATCCACCTTTGCTCTCATCTGACTGAATGACAGTGAAGTTATATCGTTTTCACTTTCAAATAATTTTTGCATGGCTTGGTATTCCTGAAGTCAGATTTTTCCTGCAAATCCTTCTTAACACAGAATTTGCAGACAACTTTGCTTGCACAGCTGCTTTCTGTACTCATCGTGTCAAATACATTTAAAATCACAGCTCAATAATATAAAAACAAATAAATTAATGCTTAGATAATTATCTAGTCGAAATGCTGTATTCTGTTATTCATGTGAAACTATGTGAAATAGAGTATGTTTGCTTCAGGCTTTTAACATAAAACTGTTGTTTTAACTGTGTTATGTTAAAGTGAGTTTTATTGCTTCAAAGTGTCGTAGAAAGTTTCCTATGTCCAGTTTCAGGTGTTGTTTCATTGCTTTAGAAAAACAACCTCATTTAACTCTTTCCTCTTTTTCCCCAGATTTTCCTCTGCCTTATCAAGCAGAGTTCTTCATAAAAAACATGAACGTGGAGGAGATGCTGGCTAGTGAGATACTAGGAGATTTCTTGGGAGCAGTGAAAAATGTCTGGCAGCCAGAACGCTTGAATGCCATTAATATCACTTCAGCTCTGGACCGGGGAGGCAGAGTCCCCCTCCCTATAAATGACCTGAAGGAAGGGTGAGCTGCGAAATCAAAGGCGACGCTGCATGGGTTCTCCAAGAGCTGCTGTTTACTAAGACCACATCTTAGCAAGTCGAGATCAGAGGATGTCGTGTGCTTCTGCTGCTATTCCAAAGTGAACCAGGCATAATTGTTCATGAAAATATTAGCTGTGGGAGTTACCTTGAAAGGTGAAAGACTTGCGCTGTAGCATGGGCTGCAGACGCAGTGCGGAGAGGTGTTGAAAACATCAGGCTCTCGTTTCTGCAGCGTAATTTAAAAACAGTGCAGCATCTTTCTGGCGTTTCTTTAATTCCCCCTTTCAGTTTTTCTAAATGAAGATACCGTATATGGTATCCCTTTGTACTTGACAGTGTCCAAGACTTTGCTTGTATAGCTTAACAGAATCCTTCTTTCTTTTAGCTGTTATCATTTTGTTCTGTTTTTTTTTCTACTGCAAACATTTAGCTGGCAGAATAGAATGAGCACCGTCCGTTTGACCCATTAGCTTCTATTCCCAGCGGATAAAGTGAGTGGTGGCAACATGTCCTTATTGCCCAGTAAAGGCATGCTGGAGAGATTTGCTGGCATGAAGTAATGGAAATCTCCTGAAACCCAATGAAAAGAAGCGGTTTATTGCTGTAATAAATCTTTTTTTAATAGGAAGACTGGACCTTCTGGGCATGGCACTGCTGTTGTACCTTTGAGTGCAAGGTCCTTCAGTCAGGCTGCTCCAGTAAAGGCCCTCCTGAATAAATGGCTCTCCAGGCCATCGTTGTACTTGCCCATACAGAGCAGCAGCAGCTTGTTCTGCTTCCCATAGTGTTCAGCGGACTGGAGACCCCATGACTCCCCTTTGCATGGGACTGGGAAAATCAAGGAATTCAAAAATAAACTCCTGTGAAAGGAATACGGATTTTCCAAGAGAGGCCAAACATTTTTGGTGCCTCTACACCAGAAATAACTGGGTTTCATCATGAGATTATTATCATTATTAACGGAAATGAACCACGCTTTATACAAGACAGATGTGAACCATTTGCATGAAGGGGAACTGCACAGAACAGTCGGGTGGGTACAGTAAGATCAAGGAAATGAATAAATTGGCAGTAAGGCTGGCAGAGTGGGCGAGTGGCACAAAGGCCTCACAGACAGGCGAGACCGAAAAGCAGAAAGAAAAAACACTTCTGCTGTTCAGGTATGCGCGCCTGATATGAAGGTGTCAGTATCAGGATATTTATCTTGACCCTAACATCTATCCATGCATTCGCGCAAGAGGAAGGCTTAAGTGAGGTACTCTGACACAGCTATCACTGCGGTGGTAGTCATGTTTTTCTGCTGGGATATGATTATTGATGACAGTTCTGGTCAGATTGGAATAGAGGCACGTTTAAACCAGGTGTGTGTCAGATGGCATCAAAACTGGAAATAAGGGAGCCTTTGTAAGCATCCATTTTTAAAGATGAGATAAAAAGTATTTTTAGTTGCCATTTGTCAGGCTTCGGAACTGCCCATATGTTTACTTAAATTGGAAACTCAAGTGCAGTTAGAATCACTATAGTTTTACAAATTAAAGAAAAAAGATGTGAGGTAATATATTCTGTAATATGAATATATGTCAATATACAGCAGCCAACAAACCTTCACGAGTTTAGTTAGGATCTACAGATACCATTGTGTGCCTGCTTTGTAAGGATTAAATTCCATAAACGAGTAGGGAGATACAGCTAACACGTAATGAACTGCTGATAATTTAGACCATGTCAGGACTCATCGGCCTGACATCCCATAAGAAGATGACCGAGAAGCACTGTTGGCGGCTGAAACTGAAACGTTCCTGTTGTAACTGCAGGGTGTACGTGATGGTGGGGGCCGACGTACCGTTCTCTTCCTGTCTGAAGGAAGTTGAAACCCCCCAAAACCAGCTGAGGTGCAGCCAGGAGATGGAACCTCTCATCAGCTGTGATAAGAAGTTCAGGGCTCAATTTCACATCGACTGGTGCAAAATCTCACTGGTAAGCCTCTCACATGCAGGTTTTGACTCCGTGTAAAAGTTTTTAGTACTGTAGTTCCCTGACAGAACTTTTTTTTTTCTTCCACTTTTCACACAACAAAACCTGATGAAAATTTCTATATGCAATCATTAGTCAGTTACACTGATCAGGACACATTGTTGTCTCAAGATGGCTTGTTAAATACTGCAAGAATGTAGTTTTACGTTCCAGTGATTTGCAAATGAAAAGAATGCTAGGATACATTCAGCCACCATTGGATACCATACATGGCAAAGTTCTGCACAGATTTTTGCTTTGCCTTGTTTGTAGGTGGCATCACAAAACATCTAAACGGATTTCAGTTTTCATCCAAATTTCTGGTGAGGTTTCTGGGCAGTGTGTCAGCACCTGTTGTGTTCTTGTTACCATTAATGAAGCTGGTTCTTCAAAAAATATTTCTGTATGATCATACAACAAAAAATTGGAACACAGTTGCATGCATGTGGTATGAATGCTTGTGCTGTTCTTCTCTCAACAGGTAGACATCACTAAAGTGGTCTCTGTTAGTAAAGAAAAGCCAGACCCTGGCAGTGGAGTGTTACCTGATATGGGCGAATATAACCCCCCTTCTGACTCACTGAAAAGTAGGGACTATTTCTCTGATTTCCTGGTCACGCTGGCAGTGCCCTCTGCTGTCGCCCTGGTCCTTTTCATCATCCTTGGTTATATCATGTGCTGCCGTCGAGAAGGAGTGTAAGTGTGCGCTTTTAGTGTTAACAAAACCTCATCAATGAAAACCCAATGTCCAAAGTGTATGAACACTCCGCTTGGCGTAAAGATATTTACGAGGTAGTGGTTTTTCAGCAAGTAACACACTGTACCTTGTGTTGTTAATGTCAAGTGTAACATATGTCAAATGCTCTGTAAAAATTTTTAAAAATTAATACCAGAGTAGGGAGAAGCTCAATACTAATATGAGGGCTGTTATCCAGAAGTAGTGAGCTCTACCACACTGCAGTGGGTGTGTTCCAGTTTCTTTTTTGTCAGAGGTTTTTGGAAGAAAAAAGGCTTTGAAGTCCTATAAACAGATCATAGCACAAAAGAGGGGAAGAAGGAGATAAATCTCAAAAGCAGCAAGTTACATTCTCTCATCATGCATCTGAATTTGTCCATGCACGTGCCATTCATCCTTCACATACAGTAGACGGATTCACCCCCAGGTGCTTTTTCTTTAGCTTTTATTTTGTGATTTCTTTTGCCCGCTCCCTTACCGTCAATGAGTGACTTGTGTGTCTCCATCAGACCTCCAGAGGCCAGAAGAAAACCATTTTCTGCGTTTTTAATCACTTCAGCCATTGACCCATCTAGCTCTCCATTAGCTAATGTGTGGATGTCCTACCTATTAATACTAGTATTTAATTCATTAATTTTGTTTTGTTCTAGGGAAAAAAGAAACATGCAAACACCAGAGTAAGTGTCTCCTTTCCTGTGGTTTTTGTTTATTTCTTTTTTGGTTTGACAGTTTTTTTTTCTTTTCGAGCTTTATCCTCTCCCCTCCTCATCTCTCAGAGCCTGGTCATGCTAATCCAGTATTTGTTCCATCCATCTGAATCATCCGTTCATTTAAGTGTGGTTCGACTCATCTTGTGAGAAGCTGCTTAAAGTAGGGAGAAGGTTTTTGTGGCCTCAAAGTGCAGACTTAAAAAAATGGGCAATTCAACTCAAATAAATTAATATCACTGCAAGGGAGAAAGGAGTATAGAGTTTGCACCTTTAACTCAGATTAAACACAAAATGATAACATATAATGCCTTTTAACCATTTTAAACAAAATAAAAGGTTTGTTGATTATCAAGAAAAATAAGTAGCAGTGATATCTGAATTACCAGTGTACCTTCTTTATGTGTTTTTTTGTGTTTTGTTTTGCGTTTATACAATTTTGGACTGTGCACGTGTTCTATTAGAGAAAGACATGCAACTCAAAACTATTTTGGGGTGTTTCTTCCAGTATTCAGCTGGTCCATCACAGTTCCATTCAGAAGTCTTCGAAGGAGCTTCGGAACATGTCCAAGAATCGGGAGATATCTTGGCCTCTCTCGACTCTGCCAGTGTTTCACCCAGTCAGTGGGGAAATTGTGCCACCCTTGCATCCGGACAATTATGAGACCACCAGCATGCCACTGATGCAGACGCAGACGTGAGTGATATTACGGCATTCTAATAGTTTCACCCCCAAAACCAAATACTCACGGATATCCCAAACTGAGAAGAAAGAGTAAACAAGACTCTATGTGTGTTAACAAATTCTAACATAGATACATTCATCCATTTTCCTTTATTTTCTTAGCCTAGTGTTCCAAAAATCGAATTTTGCAGGGATCTCCAGTTCTGTAAATAATCCCAGGGTAGTGAGTTCGTGTCCCTCATTGGGCACCAGGTCCTCCATGTTGGATGTTGGGCACAAGGCTAACAACCCTGTCCCGTAAAAAACTAATGTTACAGTAACAGCGACAGGATGTTGCTGCCCCTACATGCCAGAGGCATAACGGGAAAACTTGCATCCATTAAATTGTTGGTTTCTCAATATACAGAACAATTCCATTGTGATTAATTAAACAGGTGATTTGTTAAGATAAGTTTTTAGAGCTCATTCAGGACTCTTCAGCCCTTAAGGACCAGAGTTCTGATAACTGAAAAGGTTATATGCTTGATCTTATTATAATAATAATAATAATAATAATAATAATAATAATAATAATAATAATAATAATAAAATAGATAAATAACTACCTACAGTACCTAACTCACTGACTCACTAACTTACAGATGTACTGGCCTGTAAGATTAACTGGATGGACTGGGGTCTCCAGGGCCCTGCTTGGAGATCCCTGTCTTAGAAGTCATGTGCACTGGCACACATTTTGTAGGTGTCTTGGAGTCACAGTTTTCAGTAGTTAAAACTGAGGTTGGGTACTAGCAACAAAGTAGGTCAGATGGCTTTCTCTGCTTTGTAACTTTTTTTCACCTTTGAATTATAGTTTTCATATTTAAATGACATTTTGCTCACTAACATATTTTAATTATGATATGTACTGTAAAAACCTTTAAATACATCTGAGAAAAATCATTGTATTAAATCATTTCTCAGCTAGGAAAGGCTGAATTATGCCAAATATTTTTTACTGCCTGGCTTGCATATCTAGACATTTCATGAAAATCTGTTGGATTACCTCTCATCATTAATAAATGTAATGATCACTTTTTCTCTTGTAGGAATTTACAAAATCAGACTCAAATACCACAGCAGCAGCCTGCAGGTTAGTATATATTGAGTACCTACTTGTAATTTGTCAATTAAAAAAAATCTAACAGAAACTAATGTATCATAGTTGACCTATTCATGAGTTTAGTTTCATTGCTCTGTTTTCTGTCTGTTAACTGAGTTAAACCAAAGCCTTTTCTTAGCAAAGACTAAACATAGAAACTGATTATACTTGTTTTTCAGTGTTTTGCTTTCTTCCTTATTTGAATACTGTAGCTTACCACTTGTTTTGTGGGTCTCACCCTCAAAGAGTAGTAGATCGCCCTCTAGTGTCCTTGTAACTGAACTGAATTTTATTTTTCCACTGCTTTTTAATATGCTAAACAAAACGTTTGTTTATCTAATGCTAACATCAAAGGAGGTAATTATTGCATGTCGACATTTCGACGGCTTGAGGCAAGTATAACGGTTTGTCTTCAATGTGTATTCCTGTGCTTTATTTGTTATTTGCAGTGTGCTTTTAGAGAAAGTATTGTAAACTACGGCCCTAGTTTTATTTACAGATTTCATACCATGTTTATATTTGAAATAAAATACAAGGCCAGTGCAATGAAAGTAACTCCAGATTTTAGTATTCTAAATTAGAGTGTTTGATATATGTTCATATACGGTATATCATAGATATTGGATTGAACATATACATCAATACAGACTTTGATTTGCTAGGTGTCCTTTGTGTTTATGTCTATATCTGTTTTAATTCCATCATGCAATTGCTGTCTTTATCATGTGGCTACCAATCAGATGTAAAAGGATAGCTTATAACACATCCTTCTCTTCCATGTAGGTAAATGGTATTCCTGAAGAAAGAAAGCTTACAGAAGCACAGAATTTGTAATTTATCACCGCTATAATGGCCTTTTCTACAAATTAAAATATTGAGTTTGTCATGTACAGTATATGCTGACTTTGCATGAGCCGACAATATATCAGTACAGCATTCAATACTTCCATGTTATTGTGAAAATGTGTTCAGAATTGCCGTGGACTAATACATTTTAACCAGATACTGGTAGTATTAAAATTGAAAACAGTGACAGCTATATTGTAACATGTTTGAAGGATGTTTGGGTTTTTTTAGTATTTTGATTACACCTGTATTTTTATGAAAAGCAAAAAAAAAATGGAATAAAATCATCAGATTTTTTTTTTAACCAAGAGTGTGAAGCATTTAAGTACTGTATACGATGCTACGGCAGTTTTCCTCGCGTGGATAAAAATGTCTTCCTGCCTGAAAGAAAAGTTACAATATGCTCTAAAGACTGAGGAAGCTTTTTTTCATGCAGTCACACCTTGTGTCGTGTGTTCTGTTCAATGGTAGTGATGCGGTCAGCCCCCATAGCTGATGGACAGTTCCCCTAGTACATTAAACATACTGGACCTGAAGCAGTACTACAGTCTTATGGTATATAAGCCACAACAGCTGGATGCAGAGCCTTTTTGCTTTTTTTAGCTAGAACATCATGAATGTCCAGTTTTAAACAGAATGGGAGTTTAAATCTGTGCAATTGATAACTGGCCCCCAGAAGAGTTTTGCACAAGGGAAAACCTCTTTCCTTTGAAATATATTACTTTTGATTCCACCCCCATCTGTATTTATCATATCGGCACCTGTACACACATTCCCTAGTTTTCCCATTGGTAATTTAATTATTAAAAAACAGCATTTTTTTAAAAACAAAATAAACAATTTGGGTGTTTTAATAATAATAATAATAATATTGCTTACACTTATATAGCGCTTTTCTGGACATTCCACTCAAAGCGCTTTACAGGTAATGGGGATCCCCTCCACCACCAGCAATGTGCAGCATCCACCTGTACCATATTAGAAAATATGGTACAAAAATGAGGAGTTAAAGTGTGATGACTGATTTAGAATCATCACTTCAGGTATAGTAGTAAAACAATTTTAAATTTCTGATTTTACCTGTAGGATCTTTAAAAGCAGTCATCTCCAGTAGCAAAGAAGTGGCCTCTATATACTGTACATAATGTGGTGCCAAAACAAAAAACTGAAGCTAAGGACAGGTTTTCAAAGCAGTTGGAGAAATGTCAACTTGTATGTCTACTATTCCTTAATATGTTGGAAAGAAGTTACTCCAGTGAGGGGGTCTAAGTTATGAAACATTAATTGCCAGTTTTCTAGACAATATGGTGATTAATATCATGAATGGCATTATTTAAAATAAGGACAATGGACTGACCAAAATAACCACAGAAATCATATTCAAGGACAAGAGATGAACCAACTTTACTATGCAGCTTAATTTCTTACCTATTAAGCCCTGAAGTTCTCAAAAATAAAGCTTATCCCCAAACTAGTAATTCAAGCAAATAAGACCTTAACTTCATAAGAGTTTCTGAACAAGAAATGTATCACTAACATACATATGCATCAGAAAAAGGCATTTATAAATAGGAAATGGTCAAATTTCACATTATGCAAAACCACAGTATTTACTTACTGTAACATCTATTTGTGATTTAAAAAAAGAGAACAAACAAGTTCAACACTTAACTTCTGATTTTTGCAAAACAATACAATAACATGGGCAACAGAACATAAAACCAAATATACAAAAAATACTACTCTCTGAGTAACAAGACAGCATAAGGGGCCTGAAAATGTACATAAAGAGAAGTAAACAATTACTGTACATAAACATCTCGGTTTAATTCAACAAAAATCTCATTAAAGTGTATAAAAGCTTTAATTTAATTTCTGACCAAATTACAAATACCCGTTCAAGATACCTGTGGATTAAATACCACAATTTGCAGTGCTTTAATGTAGATCTTACTTGTTTTAGGACATTTTAACTAGAGTCCTATCCAGCTGGAGCTTTCAATTTAGAGGCAATTTATTCCCATTATAAAAATTCACATTGTATTCCTTGAGTCCTGGTGTGATTTCTGAGTCCTTCAGAACATACTTTACAGGAGGATAACCGACTTCACCTGTAGTTTTCTTTTAAACGGCATTTTGCAGCTTTGTAGATATCAATGCACAGCACAGTTATTTAAAGTGAATCAAATGTAAGTCTGCATTTTGAACCCCCCATTAACTTAAACCTGCCAGGCAAAAGAAAGTGACTCAGATCAGCTAGTCAGTAAGGCTTGGTGTGATAACACACGGTGACAAAATCACACTTCTCTGCAGCAAAGTCAACACAAGCTCAACTGCTGTATACCCCATATTAACACATAGAGGTTAATTCAATGCTGAGAAGTAGAAAAAAGTTTTTTTGCTGTTGATACTTCTCAGATCCAGGGGATGGCAAAAATATGTGCGGATATAAAGCAAACTCACAAAGCACAGAACATTTGAGAATGGGCAGATGACAAAGAGTGTCCAAATTAATGGAGATCTGCAGAAAAGGTGTGGAAAAATGAAATCTCTCAATTAAGAGGTTCTACAAAGGAGGAAAGTGATCCAGGTTGAATGATGATTCTTGGCTTTAGCTTTCTTTCTGGAAACCTTGTAAAGGGACACAGACAGAAAGATCCGTGTACATCATGAGAAATGAAATGGGGAAACGATCTGCATAGAGAAACCTTTGATCCTCTCTGCTCTGACAGTGATATTTCCTAATAAATTAAGCCAATCACCTTCATGTTTTGTGATTCTAAATGGCAGTGCACTTTCTGCAAGAGATGCAGTAAATGAGATTGCTGGCTAAGCACAATGCTCTCTGGCTGGTCTTGGAATGGGCTCAGGCTTGTGTGCAGTCCTGGAGATAGATGCAGGTGCTGCAGGGATTTCTGACATGGGTAAGTGGCTCAGGGGACTTAAGGAAACTGAGGCTGTGGAGCTGTGACTGGGCTGTCCGTGTTATGAGCTGATTAAATGATTGTGGGGAAAAAGGTTTCTGTTGCAGAGTCCTCCTGTACAATGGCCTTGGGCCTACTACCACCCCTGTTTCATTCTCCAGACCTATTATCATATCTGACCTGCTGTGTAAATCGCCCCCTGTAATTTACGAGCTTCATCAATGATGCATGAGATCTCAACTCAAAAATCCACAGAAATAATTTTGAACATTTCCACCCTTCTAGTCTGTCTTGAATCTGTTATGCAACACACACAAACGAATGTTTAAATGAATAAAGCCAATTTAACACATTTAGTATTTTATAATTCTCTTGGTTTACAAAATAAATTATTGGTAAAACATTTTCTAACAATAATGCAAGACCAAAAATTAAGAACCTAAAAAGGGGGAAGTATTACAACACTGTAGTCATATCATGGTAAACATGATGAGCCCGACAGGAGGCTCAGTATGAGACATTTATTTTCTTTTTACTTAAAATGTTTTTCGACTGACGGCACTTACGTTTCACTGACGACTCAAGTGCTCTGGGGCTACGTATCCACAAACAACCTAGTCTTATTACAATTGCTTTAAGAGACATATTGCAATTTAACTATTAAAATATTTTATCCTTCATAATAAATTACTGATAACAGGAATAAATACTTTAAAACCATCTAAAAAATAAATAGAACATTAAATTTAAATGTGGCAGAATAGTTAGCATTCACAGCTGAGAACAGTCCGAGTTCACAATAGTCATTAGAATAATGAAGCACATGTGGTTAGCTAAGCAGTCATGGTTTTAAGGACAGCGGGATCTGAATGTGCCAGAACCTGAAGTAAAATGCTCCAAATAAGCTCGTTAAGATGTACTGCGCCTGCTGATGTGTACAGGCCACATCTACCATATGCATATGTGGATTTAATTCACTATACATTAATGAAAGTGGCTGTATACCCTCTTTATGTTGGAAAACGACTGAACTGCTAATAAATGTCTTTAACAGTACATGAAAAGTGCATTTTCTGCATGATCTGAAAAAAAGCATTTTAGTCCGAAAAGCCATCTCAGGACTACAAGACACAAAGAACATTAAAGGTATAAAATGCAACCTTAATTTACACTTTTAAGTATTGTATTACCAGCTATGGTACACATTGTAAACTAACGTTAAAAAATAAAGCAATACGAGGCTGAATTGCTTCTGTACATGTATAAAAAAATCTGCAGTTTCTTCAGTGCCTCACTGCCCCTTAGAACAACTTCACAACCATCAAAAAAAGCATGTTTCCGCCAAGTCCAAAATTGTTCTCCAGAAATATGGAAAGCTCCTGTGCGTCACTTGCTACCTCCTCGTTCCGGGGATGTCAGAGCCCGGAGGTCGCCGGCGGGGCTGTTTAATTTCGTTGGGCCTGTTCGTGAGCAGTCAGCTGCAGGACAGCCAGAAGAAACACGGCCAAGCCCAGCAGCCTCTTCACCAGGGCCGAGCTGTCCTTCGGGATGGCCACCTGAGCCAAGTCATTGGTAATCTGGGAGATCTCATGTGCCACGCACACAAAAATAAAGGTACTGATAACAATGTTGAGCATGGGGTAGCCAGGAACAAGAACTAAGATCCCCTTGGTGTCTGCAGCCAGCCATATATGGTATTGACAGATGAAGAGCTGGAATAAGAAGAGACAGCCGATCAGAGGCAAATTTAAGAACTGCCTGATGACTCTAATTGCATTCATAGATCTTCGGCAAACAGACCCTGCCTGTGATAACTTAGTTTCTGAAGAATTAAGGTCTTTGACAATAGAAACTGTTCCAAATATGTTGTGGAAAAGGATATCAATTAAAACGGCTTGTTGCTCTAGTCAATTAAAAAAAAGCACTGCTTGAGTTCTGCAATCAAGGCGTTGCGAGTTTGAGCCTGGAACAAGCACCTAGAGAAGAGAGACACACCAGGTGCAGAAGTGTGACTGCCTGAGCGCCACTGAGAGGAGGGCAGGCTGGGATTGCTTTTGGCTCCCAGAGAACAGCCACTCTGGGGTCTTCCTGGGTGCCTCTGCAGGTCCGTGCTGAGTTACTATTCCAAAAAAAAAGTACTCCTCAGACCTATGACGTTTCTGAAAATTTAACAATGACCTCCTACGCGGTTTACAATGATGACGTGTTTCTTACCTCTAGACTAATCTTGCCAAACCACGCAAAGAATGAACTATACAACGAGCGGGCATAACCAGGAATATTCCTGATGAGAACAAAGGCTAGAATCTGCAAGAAACAAAAGAAAGCTAGTTTATGAAATATACATACAGTTGTATGCAAAAATGTGGGCACCCCTAAAACATTCCTAAAGCAAGAACAGAAAGACTGTTAGCTGGCTCCAAGAAATGTTTGGAGGCTGTGATTTCTACCAAAGGGGGTGTTACTACGTACTGACTGAAAACCAAACTTCTGCACATGCCACATTTAGTTTTATTTTTTTCAGTCTGTTAAATTCGGCAAATAAATAGTAACTGCATCTGCAGAAATATGTCAAGTTTATGTTTGTTCGCTGCAGAGGTTGTGTTAACTTCTTTTTTACTTAGAAAATCAACAAAACATGTAATTTGGCCAGGTGTGTCCAAACTTTTGCATACAACTTTACTGAAGGAAAAACATTTGTTAGACAGACTGATTCCTATAAAATAAAACTGATTTATTTAAAAGAGTTAAATAAGCAAACCAACATAGAAAACACAGTGACCAACAGCAGGATTGAAAAATCTGTAGTGTAAAACAATAGATGACTATTTTCTCTATATTTAGTTTGTCTTTGTTTAATTAGATTTTGTAGACGATATACCAATTAAAATGTTTTTAAAAACTTTTTAACCAATTAAACTTTTCAATTGCATACATAATTAACATGGATTTCACTTGATATGCTTTTCTGCACTACTCAACGTCACGCAATAGAAAATTATTATAAATACTACTACAATATACAGTAGAACAGGACGCATGGCATGGTGCAAACACGATGTGTTTCAGAGACTGTTTTTGAATTTCTCTATGAATACTCCATCAAATTTCACCAAAAACTTTAAAGGTAAACATTACCTGTACCACTGATATATACGGATGCAATTCATTGCACTCAGTTTTATCTTTACAACTGCTTGCCCATATGGAATATGTCTGCAATAAACAAAAGGGATGTTAAAAAAATGAAAAGACATCCTCAGCTTCACATACTGGACAAGTAAAATGCAATGACAATGGTCACAAAATCGGAAGAGCCTGAGTACTTTCATCCCAAGGCTTGTCGCAAAACAGAATGGCTTCATCTTGTAAATACAGGACGGTATACTTCTACATACAGATAAACACAGAAACAGGAATTGTGTCTAACTGCATCTAGTTTGGTACAATCCTGATATAAGTAGTGTAGACATCACAATAAAAAGACTGTAGGAACATAAATTGACCACTACAGTATATCAAAACTAGAATCAATCCAGAATAAATATGCAGACAAACATGACATAAGAATTGCCTTTTTTTTTAAATGCCATTAAAGTCTTTCTATATCAGGAAAAAAAACTATCCATAGCAAGGATATACAGTACAGTATTAGTAAAGAAGCAGGAGTACAAGAGAATGAAACCAGTCTCCCTACTTTTATATAAGCTTACCAGAAAAGAAACTACGGAAATGAAGAGCAAACAGTTGGACACTCTGTTGGAAAACAGTGGCTCTCCTTTTCCTTCTGAAAGCACCTGACATTTCTGTAGCACGAGGTACACAAATGCAAACAGCATTCCATGGAATACAGCCTGAAAAAGATTTGGTTAAGTTTCAGTAGGGAGCAGCATCAGCATGTGTAGGCTGCAAAAGGACAAGTAAAGATTTAATCCATGCTGAAAAGAGAGGAAAGGAAACACGATGTTTGGGCTGCTGAGCCTTCTTCTTGCCACCCAAAGAAGGCTCCACAGCCGAAACATCTTCTCTTTTCAGCATGGATTAAATCTTTACTTGTCCCTTTGGTTAAGTTTGTCAGGATTTATACTTGGCACTGTAAACAATCTCAGTCAAACCATACACTGTATAGGTCTGCTTAACACAGTAATACAAAGGTTTGCCAATATGGCACTCTCCAAAAAAATCAGAAACATTTCAAATTTATCTAAGTCTAAACGTAACATGGAAAAAAATACGTACAAAGCGATCCAGCTTCCACCTAAACCACCATTCGTGGCTGCTCCCATGCAATTCAAAGAGCTTCGATATTGGCCAGATGGAGAAAATACTGTTAAAAACACCCTGAAACAAGGAAAAGCAACTCTTAACACAAAGACAATCAGACCGTGGGAAAAAAACAGAAGTAGACACCACAAGAAGGAACTGTGCTGCCAGCCAACAATCTGCTTGTGTTTTGTAAAAATAAAATGGGTAAAAATAAGAGCCATTTTGCTGTATAGACTAAAAATCTATCAGTTTATCTACGTACTGAACAAATGTATGTTACAGGCCAGATAAGAGCCCTGTCCAGATCTGATGGGTCAGATCATGATTAGACTGATATAAGATTCCTGCTCATCTGGATTAATTAATGCTTGTATCTACATCAAGATTTAACTCACCCGTGAATAAGTCAAAAAGCATATGAACAAAAGCAAAGCCAGAAGCTTCAGCAGCAAACCCAAATGCCAGATCCCACTGCCTAAGAAAAGAGATATTATAGTTATATTGCAATATTCTACATTCTGTTCTGTCCATACAATAAATAATTGAATACATCATGAATTCAATACATCATGAATGACAAGGGCCAGTTAAATTTAATTCCAAAACAAGATCAGAAAGGTGTATCCTTTTTTCTATAACAGACCATGAAACCTTTCTGTTATTGTGCAGCTTGAAGGAGTAATTAAAAATTCTTAATTTCTGTCCATGCTTTATTAAACTACTTTCAGATTTCATTGGAGTTTTTTGTTGAAACACTTTTAAAACCTTTGCAGAAAACGGCCTTGTAAATGTGAATCTGTTAACCATGACGGCTTTATAATATAAGCTGTAAATCTGGCATTACAAAGTGGTCAAAGTGTGAACAAAAAAGAATCACAATTAGTTATTTTCAGGCGTTAAACCACAGTGGTAAAAGGGTGTCTAATAAAACACCAGAACAATATGAAACTTGAAGGCCTCAGCTTTCTTCATCCTAATTCACATAAAATACAACATCCTTTTAGCCCTTTTTCTTAATTCCCTTTTTAACATAAAAGGAAATCATTCAAATTTTTTCAAAAAAAAATTACCATTTGCTTTTTTCTGCAGAATCTGAGGCCATATGGCTAATGTGACATAGATGACAGCAAACCAGAATGTAACTAACGGCACAAAATAGTAGAACTGATAAGGCCGATCCATCACGAGACACAGCACTACCACAAGGAAGTTCAGCCGGAAGAGGACCTACATTGAAAAGAAACAGAACAAAACCAGGCACCAGCTTAGACAGCCTTGACAAATCCGTTCTATGACACTGCAAGACCCCATCAGGTACTGGTAACTCAGTTAACTCATCTGACTCTTCAGTTACGTTTCAGACCCTGGTGATGAAGCTTATTTAACAAGGACTGGTTAGAGCAAAGACCCAGAACAAGCAGAAACAAATGGAGGATCAAGGTTGCACACATGTCCATTTCGGACAACACTCTGGTTTGGAAGATACCACACTCATTTCAGGCAGCTCAAAAACAAGGATCACCAACCCGACTGTGTGAACTGACTAACTAGAGCCAGCAGTCAAGTAGAGTCAATCACAGTGGTCTCATCACATATCTGAGCTCGAAAGGAGCTCACACAGCTATAAGGAAGGCAGACAGGTAATAAGTAAAACACCCCCATGCTTTCCACACAGGTGTAACCATTTAAATACAGAGTGTCACAATATTAAGCTTTTACTAGAAAAACGCTTTTCCCTTCCGTTTGCTTCACACATTGAGCACACCTGCTCCTCGATCAAGGGAGATATCAGTCAGAAGAAGTGAGGTTTGGACAAGCTTTTGCACTTGCTCACAGATACTGGATATTTTGGTTACAACCTCAGCTCCTAGTTTTATCATTCCAACACAGTTCTTAACCATCTAAATTAGCTTAACGGTTTAATGGGGCCAATTTAAATGCTTTCCAGGCTCATGGTGGGAGGTAGAAGACAACGGTGTTGCTCGCTTTTTTAGTGCCCCTCACAGGTCACCTCATTCAATCACTTCAGTTCTCCGACTAAAGAAACAAGTGTCATAACATACATGTAAAGGCCTGTTTACTGACCTCCAGGCCACAACAACATTAATTATGAAAAATGAATGAATGTTTAGTATAATTGAGGAGCAATTAAGGGGTACTTTATGAGCCGTTTACTAAGAGAACAACACCTCATTGGTGGATTGGAGTAATATTTCAGGTGGAATGGCCAGCAGTAAAGCCAAGTCCCTTGCAGTAATCTACCAAGGAATTGAGAAGACCACCTTTGTGGACGTCAGTGAGTGTTTTGCAGAAATGCACAATGATACATTAGTTTACAACAGACCATGCTGAGGTCTCAGGGAAACGGTCTGGGAAGGAAACTCTAATACAGCCCAGGCATCTCACTCGCTGCCCTTCCTGCACACTCATCCTGATGTGACAACATTCTGGTTTTACAACACCAGTCCTCAAGCTGCTGGGGTAACAGTGGCTTTTCTGTAAGTTGGAAATGTGACCGTTAGGTTATGGATGCCCCACTCATTAGTCTTGAGCCCCAGTGAACAGTTCTGGCATAACATGTGGCATCTAGGGCCCAGAGATCAGTGAACAGACACGTTTGTCTAGTTTCAATAAGAGGAATGGAACGAAAACCCACAAGACAGCATTAACAAATGGGTTCAAAGCATGCTTCGCAAGTGCACAGCCACATACTGTATGCTGTTAGCCTGCGACTTTCACAATAGACCTACCCCCCCCCCCGACCAATCTGTTGTGAACTAGTATTACAGTATTATTCACCCATTGATTGAGTTTAATGAACATACCTGGCAAACTCTGTTAAGTCCAAAGTCTCCCTTCAGCCAAAAGAAAGAAAAGTGCCCATAGCCTGTTTGAAACAGATACGCTGCTACTAGGACTCGTACATGCATGTACACGGGTATGAACTGGAAAGAGAAGTGAACAATCATGAGAAGACACATACAAAATAGTACTGTACCACAGTGACATAGTTATATTAAATAGTTCAGGTGGGTAGCTGCGTCAGCATGTGTAGGCTGCAAAGGAACAAGTAATAGGTTTATTCCATGCTGAAAAAAAGAAGAAAGAGAACACAACGTTTCGGCCGTGGAGCCTCCACGGCCGAAACGTTGTGTTCTCTTTCTTCTTTTTTTCAGCATGGAATAAACCTATTACTTGTTATATTAAATATGCATGATTTTATATCATTTAATAGAGATACACTAAGTATACACAAAATCATTTAAATTTAGTGTGATATAAATAGTAATAACTGCTGATACAAGCAGAGAGAGATAAAGGTGGTTAAAAATGTTTGTTTGCACTTCTACAATATTTACAAGGTGTACCTAGATATTATCAGAGAGAGAGAGTTGTTGATAAGATAATAGCATTATTAAGTATAACACAAAACACTATTTTCAGAAGAACTAAAGTCCTAGAGTATCTATGGTGCCATATACTGTATACAGCTGCATTACACAATGTTTAGAAATCAAAATCCATTTACAACAGAAGTAAAGTATAATGCAGTTCTTTGGTTCTCTTTATTGCTGTTTGTCTTCTGACCACTAGTCCTCCCCAAACACAGGAAATTGTGATTTAGGTCCAATTTGACAAGATAATATGACATCTTTTGCTAAATGTAAATGAACTCCCGATTAAGTGTTTTCGGTTCTACTGACGTAGGGGAACAGATATGTTCCTGGAAAGCCAGGACAAAGACAAAGCTTGGGCAACATTTTTCATGACAGTTATGCCCATCAAGACTTGTTGAATTGAAACATGCTGCTCAGCTCCTGTCCCAGCAACCTCTCCACCTCCGCTGAGTGAACTTTCTGGGGAGGACCTTTATCAGCAGAAGAAACAAAAATAATGTGATGCTATTCTTTGCTTCAGTGGCCCTCCTCCAACTCCACTGCAGTGCCATGCCTTGCCTTTCCAAAACAAATAACTGCGGGAGCCTAGTCAGTTTGTATTTTAAATAAAGATGGCAACAAAAAGCTGTTTATACAAAGAATTATCCACTAAGTAAACTTCACAATACAAATTGAAAGCAGATAAGCCAGCAATATACTTTATGTACTTTAAGGGAGAGGTGAGCTTTTACTGCTGAGCACAACTCCTTAAAATTGAGAGGCTGTGTGGCCAATGTAAAAACAGATGTAATCTTAAACGCTAAGACCAACCCCTCCATTTATCTTTCAGTACCAGGTTGATAAGGGCAATAAAGTTTGAATAGTTTTGAGCTCTCCTTTCCCAGAGCATAGCTACACACCACTGCGTTTACACTGTTAAGACCACAGTGGTATATCACTATGTGTTATAGATTCTACTCAGAGCCAGTCCACATTTGAACCCTCTCGAATTAACTGCATTTGCATTTCTTTGGTTCTCTTTACTGTTCTCTGTATTCTCTCTGTTAGTCCTTCTTTTGTTGCAGGTGGCAGCTGGTTCCCCCTTTTTATTCTTGTTTCCTGCACATTTCTTTGGTAAACATCTGCTGCTAAAATGACTCCTGCAGGAACTTTTCAAACTGGCGTCAACCACAGAGAGCCGAGTCAGTTGCTAGGTTACCATTTCAGTCAGGTCCGGCCAGGGTGTTCCTGAGCAGGGCATCTTAAAATAAAACAGCCAATTTCACAGAACTATTTTTATTGCTGGTATTGTTCTTATGTTTGTTGGAGCACCATGATTTTTTTTAAAATGAAACACGGATCCCCCTGTGAAACAAACATGCAGCCACAGATTGAGGCCAAAGTGGATGTTTGCATCATATATGTGGTGAAAATCTCTGTCTGTATTGCTATGAAATGCTAGAATAACTAATGAACACCTAGCACATATATTGCCATTTCTGTTTCTTTTAAAAAATGTATTTCAGTGTACAAGATATGAGTTATACAAGCTGCATCATCCTCCAGTCTGTTAGCAATACCTTGACAACAACTGCTAAAATGTTCACAGGCTTTTTTTTAAATGTGCCCGTAGAGGCAAAAAATATCTACTTACAGCACTGGCACCAGATATGTGATAAATTAGGATAACTAGTTGCATCCAGCCTTTCCATTCATCTGTTTGTTCCCTGTTTAGTACCTTTGTCTGAAAAAAAGGAAACTTGAGTTCATACGGACATGTTCTGTGAAATATGAAGAATAAAAACAAACTAAATAGAAAGTACATCTGAATCTCCATATTTGTACAGGAAAATGAAATAAGGAAAATGCTTTACTTTTTAAAACTACAAATGGTGTCATAAAATTTATTTTAGGCCAATCTGTAACACTTGCAGCTTTTCTGTGGTCCTTACCTCTTTACCATTTTCAGTGTAGAAAACTCCAAGTACAAAAATGTAGATCAGAGGTATAAAAAATGTAGAGTGTGTGTAGAATTTCTGCTCTTTCATGAAAATGTCAGCTCTGTCACACAGGTAAAAGTAAACCATAATGAGCCCCAGTTTGCAAACAGACTGGAAGGGAACTTTCAGGCTTGCCATCGAAGTGGCAGCTGCAGGCCTTTTCTCCTCAGCGTTTTCCAGGTCGGTGACGTGCCTGCTTCTCCGATGCTTGCTGTAGCACAGCAGGTTCAAAACCAGGAAACTCATTATGGCTGAGGCAAAAACACCAGCTGTCAGCTTCTGCACGATATTTAGGGGAGGCCGGGGGTGGCAGCAGGAGCCGTCAATGGGTTTTAGAATCTTGTTGCAGACAGAGTTCATTAAAACCATCGCCCCCTGAAAAAAACAGCAGACAAAAACAGGATGTGCAAATCGACCAAAAATACCGTACCACACTGAACATACTGGCACAAACAGTAATGTGTGTTTTCAGGGTTGGTAAACAGACATTTATATCAGGTGAACCCAAGGGCATTATTTTCTTGACAAACTGAACTGGATATTACTTTCTGCGAGTATAGTATCTGAAGACATCTCAAACTAATTTCTGCACCTGATAATAGCAGTTTCTAGATCGACAATAAATTAGAATCACTCGAAACATATCAGTATAGTATAATGGGATAAGCACAGGGTGGTGATAAAATATTAACTAACGTTAATACCTGAAGAAGAATTACTTTGACATGTTTTTTTTAACATAAGGGTCAATGTCAAAATATTTACTTTATCAATACTTACGACATCCCTACTGCTTTCAGGTAGATGCAGGCCGTCCAGAGACTCTGAGATCGTCTCCTGTGCTGCTAGCCGAGAGGCACGGACAATTTTCACCCCGACTTTTGCGTTTTTTTTGCTGCCATTCAGAGTGCTTAGTGCTGCTTCATTGTATAAGTCTATCTGCTGATTAGTTATCATTTTCCGACTATCACTCAGCAGCTCTTCATATACAGGATCTAGAAGTAAATTTGTGGAAAACACATTGTCACAGAAAAGTACAGGAGACAGTGGATAACAGCAACAAGTGCAAGAAAAAAGCTGTCATTTTGCCAAAACATATCTCGCAAATGACCGTAATATCTATGCCTATAAATATATACCCAGTTAACACACAATACACAAATGCACTTTTGCTGCACGTGAAAAATATCTATTAATGTAATTAGTCATTGATGCTGCAGTTGTCTGAGATGCAATAAAAAACAACCTCTGGGGAAGAATAATACAGAGACAATTGTGATATATTGTCAAGGTAGGTCAATATCTGTACACCTTTTTAATTTAACGGAGTACAGCATGCTTAACCATTTAGAATAATCTTCAGAATCAAACAAATAAACGTTCACTTTTGGGCGGAGTGCTGGCACTGTGGCTAAGGATCTGCGCCTGTGGCTGAAAGGTTGCCGGTTCAAATCCCATGGCTGGCAGAGGAATCCCACTCCATTGGGCCCCTGAGTAAGGCCCTTAACCCCAACTGCTCCAGGGGCACCATATAAATGGCTGACCGTGAGCTCTGACCCCAGGTTTCTCTCTAAGTGTCTGTGTGCCTCATGGAGAGCAAGCTGGGGTATGCGAAAGACAAATTCATAATGCAAAAAATGTTACATGGCCAATAAAGTGATCTTACCTTATCTTATGTAAGGGCATTTGCAATACTATACACCTAACTACAAACATTTTAATTAGGGACCACCTGTTAGACAAACCAGGTTTACCTTGCAGGACCCAATAAACTTCTGTGTCTTTTGCCAGTTTCTCCAAAAGACGGGAAACAGCTGTGAGGTTGGTTTTGTACTGATTGAGCGTTTCACTGCTGCCATTGTGTAACTTAATAGACCACTGAAAAAGAAGGAGTAAGAAACAGTAAGAAGATCAGATTGCACTTTCAGATGTGAATTACTGTATATTATATGAGTATATTAAATGAGATAGGCTGATACTTACTGTAGCTGCTGCCACAATTATGATATCTGGTTTGTTTAATGAGATTTCCTGAAATGGAAGAGATCATAACATAAAAACAAATTTTTTGATGGCAGGATTAAAACTTTATCTGAATTGCATGTTGTGTAGATAGTGGCTTGAGAATCAGGCTTTACTGTAAAGGATATTTGTGTATGACATTTAAACTTTTCTATATAATTAAATACACAAAATGTAAATTAGAGCCTTAAATGTTTTGTCTTGATCAAACAAAATACTACCACTTCTTTGGACTGCAGAAATGTAAACATTCTATGTAAACCTATCATTCACACTACCTATTTACATAATGAAACAAATGCATGAAGATTGTTTTAGATATTGTTAGATAACATTTATAAAACCCTGAAGGCAAATAGTGTTTAAAAAAATAAATAAAACATAATTATTATTTTTCATAATCCTGGAATACTGCTATAAATGCTAACATCATCTACAGTGGAATAAGAAAACACGTTTAGGCCGTGGAGCCTTCTTCAGGTGTGAATTCCATCTACAGTGGAATATTAACTTAATTCCACAATAATTTAGATATACTCTTAAACAGCTCGCACCTTTACCGTACAAAATTTCATCACGCAATTCCTTGTCTCCTTCTGTTGTTCTACCCAAGTACGTGTTCACTAAGGAAAAACTTTTAAAGCCTTTTTTAAGGAAGAGATTTCTTGTTAATCCCTCTTGACAGATTTGTCCTTAAACTTTTTTAAGATGTATCGATTAGCTCTCACCTCGGTCCAGGACATCAGGCGATCCTTCATTGAATTGTTCACTTCGGCATACCACAAGAAATCCTATAAAGAAAATCTTGTTAGGCGTTCTCAGAAGGTAAATTAATTGCACGCTTTCAAACAAATGTTTTTTTGAAAAATTTAAAAAAATATTTACTGAAACTGAAGCTTTTATGAATGCATTATAAACTGAAATAAGATCATGCAACAGCTCAACATTTCCACCAGCCTGACCTTTCCTGAAAGTGAAAGAAGATGTTTGATTTTCCCTTTGACTTAAATTTCTGGAATACCTTAAAAAAAATGAATAAGTAAATTAGAGTGAATGCACACTGGTTCAAACCAGATGTATGTTGCTACTTTAGAGTTTACCCTCAGGTTAACGGATGAATAGGGGAGGAAGGGGTGTCCATTATTGCCAAAAGTCCGTTAAATCACAAATTACGTTTTTTTTTAGGCCCAAAACACATTACGATCCATATTCTAACCTCTTCTTCCAATGCAGGGTCAGGGAGAGCTAAAGCCTATCTCAGCAAGCACACCTTGAGCAAAAAAAAATATAATATATAGGCTTTCTGGATCTCTTTTCACTTTTTGTTTTTACCAATTGCAGTCAACAAAGTTGCCTTTTTTATCATAATTAAACAAGCTCTTTACTTCATGTGTCATAAATATACAGTATAAAATTTGCCAGAAGCATATGAAACACAACCAATCTTTTGCAAGCAACTGACCTACTCTGACCTACACCATTCCTGAATTTTAAACCTATGTATTACGTATTTTAAACTACTATGTGTTTGTTTCTCTATTATTGTTTAGGAAAGTCTGGTATATCTCTGTATAGACAACTCTGCTTTAGGTTTTATCCATTAAATTCAAAATCCGTTAAAGCGAGGGTTAACTGTATATACGCCAGGAATGAAAAAGAACTTTGCTCATTCTCATATTCCTAAAATAAATAGCTGTAGAAATGGATACAAAAATCAGTGTTGCTGGATAAAAGCATCAGCCAAATACATTTGGAACTATTTCAGCAAGCTTTTAACAACCTAAATGCTTCCTATACATCTAGAAGTTCTGCCATTTATTTGTGGAAAATGAGTATATAGTGTAATAGCTTTGATGTTAAAAAGAACTTCAAAATGAAATGAGAAAATAAATCTCACCACATTCAAAGAGGAACTCCTGTCTTCAAACGGAATGTTCTCATGCTAGATAGGTTTTCAAAATAAAGTATTAAACACTGGCAATCCCAAGACATAACAATTAAAGTGAATTCATACACAGGAAAACTATATATATCAAAATATGAAAAAGAAAAAAAGAAAAGGTTTTTACAGGGTTTATTACTTTGGCTAACTTTGAATCTTAAAATAATTTATAATGGACACCTGAATGATCACCTGCTTAAATGAGAAATGAATTGTAGAAATGAACTGTTTACTATAGCTTTGTCTATACCCAATATTATTTAATAGTGAATACATACAACTTAATGTTGTGCATGACAAAGTCTGTCAATGTCTTTCACTTTTAAAGGGAGACAATGGATCAAAAGCATTGATCCATTGCTTGACGACAATGACAAGCAATGTCATGACAATGACATTGACAATGTCAGTGACGACTGACATTGACGATAACTGTAATTGACGATGACAATGACGATGTCATCTGACAATGACGATAACTGTAATTTTATTTTAACATTAGATCTGGGGTGTTCAAGCTTTTTCAGCTGTTGGATCCCATTCTGAAGAGGATCCCTATAAGGAGGATCAATACAAATTCAAATCTGAAATTCACCATTCTGCACATCACAATATTTTAAAAGCAGAACAGCGGGTACACACATACAGTACAGTCCTCTGAATGCTATGTCAAAGCAGATCTGCTGTCTGAGTGTGATTTATTACATGACTGTAGCTTTTCCTACTACTACTTCCTACTACTTCTGGGGAATACCTAAACTCTATGGGAAGCCCTTGGTTGAAATCTCCCACAAAAAACTATTGATACTGTACAGTATGTCACAGTGTCTCATGCACATGGAATTAACACCCATTAAAACAGGGTGTATGGCCAAATCAAACATATATAACTTGGTATTCAGTGTTTATTTTTAATCCTGTACCATCCCTCTAAATGTGGCACAAGCTGATTTGGTTTCATAGTTACTGTAATCCTCTAACCACAAATCACAACAAACTGGCCTCAAGAGGCCTAGAAGACTACAGACACAAGACTAAGCAGGCCTGGTGAATCCTAGTTAGTGGGAAAGTGTTGAGCAGTGGTCAACTGTAAAGTCGTGGGTTCAAATTCCAGGTGAGTCCCTGCTGTTGCACCTTTGAGCAGGGACCATAAACTGAACTGTTACAGTAAAAACACTCCGCTTATAAAAGTAAGCAAACATAAGTCAGTTTGGGCAAAGTTTTGGCTTTTTACTTTAAACATTTAATTTAATAATAAATAATACCTCCTTAACATTTGTAACAGACTTATAGCTGTAACAGTAATGTAAAATATGTGTTATTTGCATAGTGCTGAGGCACTGTGTAAAACAATCAACTACTGTAAATTTAAAAGAATAAATCATTTGAATTATTATTGTAGATGCTTGCTGTGAAAAAATGACAGAACTGAATTCCTGACTACCAGGAAAGTTGCAATTGCTTGGAAGAACCGACACATGAATCAGCCAGGAAAATAATACAGAACAGTAAATGGGTACAGGAACGTCTCACTTTTTAATACACGAGTAAGATCACACAATCTAAATACAACACAGTATAGTTGTACAGTAATCATTTCCAAAACATCTACATCCGGCCAAAGGATTAACATTAACTTTGGAAAAGATTACCTTGTTTCCTTCCTCCTTGAGATCTGGGTTTATTATTCGGACAAAGGAATAAAAGAGCTGGCGAATTCTGGAATCTCCTATAAAGGCTATTTGCTTCTGGGCAAGGCACTCCTTTGCTTCACTGGAAAGAAAGTCGAGACACAGAAAGACCTAGAGTTACTTCAACCCCGATTGTACAAATTCAAAATTCTGCTTTGTGCACTCTCTCTAATCAAGAGAACATTGCTTCTAAGCAATGCGCACTATATCTTAATTTGATGTAGTGCTCAGGAAGTATATTTACAGCAGTGATCAACTAAAATGTCTCAAAGACCCGACTGCTCATCATTTGTGTGCCTTGTGCTATTGTAAGTTCAAATGACGGGTGAAATATCTTTGGTTTATAACAGAGGCTCACATATAAGTAGAATGCATTTAGCAGTATTTCTGGATAATGACTCTAATTACGTCTTGGATCTTGAGTGGACAAATTGAACTGGACTGAACACGCAATTAAGATTTCAAGCCTTTTTTTATAAACAGAGTTGACAGGTTTTAATTTGGCATTTTAAAATGAATCATCGGCTTATAATAGGAAATCATATAAATTATGCTGATTTACATTATGTGTCCTTGATACACACTGTAGGTCTTAACAAGATGGCGGTTATTTATGTTTCTGGCCAGAGGATTTGTTTAATCTTCACACGGACAGAGCCAAGAAGAAAGAAATACTTCCTAATATAAGATCTTTGTCTAGCCAAAGGTGTATGTGCTGAGGAGGACTCATCTATACTGCAATATTGACATGGATTCTTGAATAAACAATTTCGAGCAGAGAGAGTGCGCACCCAGTTGGCTGTTTTGTTTCAGTTTGTCAACTAGGCTATCCGGTGGCATGGTAGGACAGTTTGCTGCGTTCAGTCCGCACAACCCCGTACGTAAGCACAGTGGCTGGGTTTGTGGGAGCACGAACATAAGAAAGTGAATAAACCCATGATGGAACAGCTCTTATCCCAGCCCAGCTGCTGTCCTTGGGAATAATGACAGCCTTTTCCTCACACACAATTCATTTCCCACGTATCAAGTCCCAATCAGCTGCTCGACTTGCCTGCTTCGGTACTTGTGCATCATGCACCCCTGTGGCTGCCACACGTTTTCGCCCAGGAACCTGCCGGTGGAAAGGAGCCACTCACACGTATCGCCACCTACAGAACCCGGGAGAAAAAAAAACACACCGGTCATTACAGAAAGTGACACGCTTTCTCTTTCAAGCTTGCCGTGGTTCCTACAGTATATTCTTTGCGATTTTAACACCACTGACACTTCCATTTTAACATCCTCAAGTGCAGCTTGATAGATCTGCCACCTAGGCAGGACTAAAAGAGCTGCTGTCATTCGGTGGTCGTGTTTTTTTTTTTTATTAGGAATTGTGATTCTGCAACTTAACTGCACTTGGCACCAACGCATAATCTTTGTGTAGGTCCACCTCCCCCAACAAAAGCAAGCTTTTCCGACTCTCGCCGGTGAGAGGCATGTGCACAAAACAAAAGACACACACACACACGCACGCCAGGTGACAAACAGCAGCACAAACAGGAAATACCGTATGTCCTATAGGTGTGCAAATTCACAACTTTATATCTTTAGTCTTTCACTTTAAACGTTTTTAGCATCATGGTGACCTGTTCGCAGGTTTCAAAATCATCTGAAAAACAAAGAACTACACACGAAGGGTATTTTGTTTTTCAGCACAACGCGTTTTTAAAACGATATCAGCTTGTATGAATTTTTATTCCTTGCAGACGCATGTCTTCACTAAAGCAATAACTACAAATGCAAAGTTGTGCTCCGATATTATTCCACCGGTTCGTCAAACCCACGATTGAAATTACACTAGAAAAACAGGCAAGCATAATTGGCCGATGACCCGGAAAGGTCGCATTTATTAAAGACGTGTTTTGGACGGCTGTCTCAAAGTCTACATCAAAATCCGTCAGCTGACTCTAATCTAGGGGTTACTAAAACTAGTGAGTTTTCAGTAAAATAGGCCAACATTTAACGAGCTGGGACAATAATCGTCATCATATTCGCCGTTAACTACGAGGTGATTTGGCATTTGAATATGTGGTTTATTTGCTAATTAAGACGTGTACTGGATCACATCTCCATCCTTCTTTTATACAGCTAGTGAATGCTTGGATGAGCGCCATATCACGTTAGACAACCGCGGTGTGCAATATTTTTTTAATCTGAGGCTGGAGCGAGCTGCCAGGTTAAGGCTGGACGTTAAGTTTCACCGTTGCACATTTAGCGAGCCCGACGCACTGCAAACTGTCCCACAAGGTATCTGTTAGGCGATTTTCACGTTTAAATATATACAATATATATAATCTCCGCTGTGTGAAGCGCTGATCCTCCCGCCCGGCACTCGGCGGTTTGACAGCCAGCTCCTGCTCATTAGGACCGGGGGAGGCAGCTCACCTGCCCCGCCTGAAAACAGCGCTTTGCATTTTACAACATCATCTGCACCGCTTTTACTAATGGGACGTCCTATATCCAAGGCACACGCCGCCAAATCCCGAAAACCCAACCGCTGTGTCCCGGAGCCGCCAATTCACCCAGTATGCGTGGCCCGATCACAACAACATTGCATATCGAGCAGTACCACACACAATACTGTATTTCGCGACACGTCTCGGCCAGCCACCCCACACTTACCTCCATAAAACCGAGAGAAACAGTGGAGCACAGTGAGCACAAGGACCGCGGCGAACGCGAGCAGTTTGGCATTTTTGATGCAGAAATAGTGATTTATTTCTCGTTTGCCTAGGCTATAGGCCAGGAGCGCCATCTTGGCTCCTCCATGACAACAGGCAGACAGACGAGACGCAGCGGCGGAGGGGTGAAGCGGAGAGAGCACGTCGAGGCTGAGTCTGCCCTCGGCGCTCAGTGCTGCTGCTCCTGGCGCAGTGGCCGTCTCGGTGGCGTGTGACGAGCTCTTATGTGGCATAATTTATTCTGTAAAAAAGTAACGTCTCCTCTTGACTTTCTGCCTCCCCTCCCGAGTCATTTCACCCCCGTTAGGTCTGCAGATCCGAATGAACCTATTTCTGCGTGCTTTGCGGCCATTAGAAATCGGACTTTGAAGTGAGTTTTGAGTGTGTGCAATGGAGCTACACTAAGTTTGTGGAAGGGCACAATTGATAAACAGGTATTTCGTCTGTACGTCATTGTGTAAACTTGACCAGTTGAGCAGTGCTAATATTTAACCTGAGAATGAGTCATTGGCGCCTGCCAAGAAAATAAAAAAAAAATCTGGAAGATATTAATGTTGTGCGTTTGCTTAGCTGTCGCTATTATCCACGATGACATACAAAATACAGTTTTACGTTTTACACAGTTTCTAATGAGTTACATAAGTAATCTGATTATTTCTGATTATATAACATTATTCAAATACAGTACAAAAGGGACAAGAAAACAAAACTGCGAGGCAGTAATCTATTAGAAGTACAATACTTGTGTTAGAGCAGAGTCAAAAGCATGTCCAGCATGCTAAATATGGTAAAAGGTATCGTACAAGGTAAGTACGAATTTATAACAGAATAAAATGAATGCCACTGATCAGAAGGCACTATCGTTATATTTTATGAAGCACCCTCCATGATGCATCATCTCAAGGTGCTGTACAATAAAAAAAAATTAAAAGACAGGTATATCAAAATTTAAACACAATTTTTGAAAAGATTTGAAAAGGCTGACTGGAGTACAAGCTCTTGTATGGGCTGGAAGATCGTTCCATATGCTTGGAACAACAGAAGAGAAAGATGAATCAATGTGTGCTGTAGGTGCATAGGGGGGCTAACAGTTCACTAAAGTAGTTAGGAGCCCTACTGTGCAAGCCCTTTAAAACTGAGTTACTCTGAAATCTACAATGTGCTCATGCATTTTTGTTATGATCTGAGCATCTGAGTTATGATCTTGCTGCAACATCTTAAAAGCACGATTTTATACACCAGCATGCACTGTGATGCAATACTCCAGCCAGGAAGAGACAATAGCATGCATTGGCTTTTCTGTGTCAGATTGGGAGAGATGTGTGTGCATATACCCAATGTTATGAAGATGAAGAAAAGACACCTTCACAACACAGTAAATGTGGCCTTCAAATGCAGATCAAAATTGAGATACTAAGATTGCAGGCCTGAGTACCTGGACTGATTTCAATAGCGATACTAACACTGACACATTCGCAGAGTTAATAAGGAGAGCCAGTGAACGTAACTCTGGTCTTTTTGAAGTTTTTGTGACAAAAGTTTTTACCAGCTGAGCTGTAAAAACTTTCATCACATCTGTTTTTTCACACCATCTAAGCAGTGTGACAAGGCTGGTAGTGCTTGCCAGGCTTTGTGTGAACAGAGATTATGGTGTCATTAGCATAGAAATGAAAGCTGATGCTGTCCGTAAGAAGAATCTTCGAGTAGGACTGCAGCATGCCAGACACACAGCACCCATTACCAGAAACTACAGAGGCGTCAGGATGTAAGAAAACGAATGAGAGAAGGCCATTCAGCCAATCTAGCCTAGTTGGTAGTAGTAAATTGTTCCAAGGATCTTACCAGCTGTTTCTTGGAAGAAGGTAAGGAAGATGTGAATCCACGTATCCATTGCCTTCACTGAGAACTCACAGACTCCCACAACTCCAGCCCAAATACTGTCAGCTGTTTCTGTTATTCAATATGTGCAGAAAACTCAATCATTACAATCATTTCAGTTAGTGTGTGTGTCTGTCAATCACAGAGTCGGTCGGCATTAGTCTGTGGCCCAGTCTCTAAGTTCCAGTCTTCAGATTGCCTGTGTGCCCGTACAAACCTGCAGGCTCGTGTGTGGTAGACGCGCTGTGTGTGTGATGCTGGAGTGCAGCCAGTAGTCTGCAGCAGTGTGTGGTGATGTTGGGGGAGCAGGCAGTGACCGTGTGGGGCCGGGATCACCATCACCAGCCCCAGAGCTTGAGTCACACTCCTCATCAAGGTTCCCTGAGCCCTTTCTCACTCCGGTGCTCTGATTATCAGACATGCTTGCTCTCTCTCTACTGGCTCTGTCACTCTATAAGCCTAATAGAGGTTTTGGACACTTGCAGAAGAACGAGACAGACAGAAAGAGTTTGAGAGACAGGGAATCAGGCCAGAGTCAGAAACTGCAAGTTGCAGGAAGAATCTGTTGAAACAGCCCGAGACACTACAGAATGAGCACGCAGGGGGCGGCTGGTGATTCAAATAAAACTGAAGTTCTAGTCACATTTGTATTTATAATAGACGTGCTAGAGGCACTGTACGTACAGTAGCTCTCTTGTACATGTTAGTTTAAACAGCATGAAGGTGGCATAAAAACTTGACATCAGGGCTTGGTTTGGGAAATCTGTCATATAAGCAGTGGATAAAAATTATGCCTCGAAGTAAAAGCACACTGCAATCCTTTTCTTAGCCTAGAAGGACAAAACATCAAGGTGGTCTAGAAATATAAGGGACAAGGACAATCGGCTGCTGCTGGTTTTTCTTATCTGAGGGAACTCATGGGTTGTGCTCTTCAGAAAAAGCAGAGTGTGGTGAAAGCATGAGAGGAACAGCCTAGATATTAGTGCTGCTGGAAACACGCAACTGGTAGCCTGCCTTGTACTGAATATGTTATAGAGTCTTAAAGGCCAGACTTTCTCAGATGGTACCTTCTGGGATTAATAGCACTGAGTTAGAGAAAATACAGATTGACAGAATTGATGGATTAGTGTCAGCACTGATCAGTGGATTTGGAGAAATTTGTCAAATGGTCAGATGCATCTGCAACTAAATTTAACAATACAGAAATTTTAGCAAGGAATTCTGTGTAAACTGGTATATCCATGGGAACCAACCACCACTATTGTGCCCCAGTATTAATCAGAACCAAGGAACTTCCATCACCAGAAAGGTGATGAAACAGTTATACCGGATGATGTGACACTAGCTGTATCTTGACATCCCCATTTCATCCTCAGACCTCTGGGATAGCTGAGCCCCTGAAATTCAACCTCACAGATTTTGACAAAGCAAAATATTGGACAGAGGAACCCTGTGGCTTAGTGCCTGTACTAATTTGGTTTTTAAGCAGTCACACTATACCCAGAAGGATAAGCCTCCACAGATTATGGATTGGTCTAAGAGTATGGCACTAAAATCAGATCAGGGGACAATATTAATAATAATATGTACAGATGTCTGAATTCCGTAACTATGATATGGCCAAAACAATAATAATAATAATAATTGCAAAGCAGGACACATGTCACAAAGGGAAATCAAAAGTGCTCTCATGTCTTGAAATGTGGCATATTTTTATCTAAACTGCAGATCAGCTTCTGTGTCACTGGTATCATGAGCAAGGCCCTTAACCCCAGCTGCTCCAGGGGCGCTGTACAATGGCTGACCCTGTGCTCTGACCCCATGCTCTCTCCCTGTCTGTGTGTCTGTGTGTCTCATGGAGAGCAAGCTGGGGTATGCGAAAAGACAAATGACTAATGCAAGAAATTGTATATGGCTAATAAAGTGATTTTATCTTATCGATTGATTTGCTGATGACATTAAGTTCAGAATTATTACTCCCTCTTGTGGTTAGTGCACTCTGACTACTTTATGCAGTTCCAGTATAGTTCCACAAGAGGGCGGCCGACTACCATGTCACAGTCATGGTGGCGTGTCTGTTTTCCATTGCGCCCTGTTGGGCTTTGTTTCACCCAAAGTACCCCAGACTTCTCCAGCTTAGTACTTTGATGGAAATGGACGAAACGCTGAATTTTTCTAAACACGTATTTTGAACATTGCAATGTTAACTTGCATTACAATGGATTTCCTGTCAGACACCACCTACCGTGAATATCAGTCTCATCTTGGGTGATTTGAGGGCCTGTTAAATAGGCTGTTTAAGAGGGGTTTTCTGCTATACCCGCTGTTGATGGATGAACGAATTTTCATTTTTTTTTGGCAATTTGCATTTAGCATGCATCTGCGTACTAAATTGCAGACTAGATAATACGGTACTATCTGAAGGTCATATCCAGCTGAGTTCAATTGTAAGGAAAATAGGTGCGGAACAAAGCCGATTAGGATCAGCTGAACCCGCTCAGCACAGCGCTGAGGGTTTTGCATGGTTACTGTTCTAATTAGCACGAACTGCTAACTGAACATTTCAATTAATTTCATTAGTAGGTTAACATGTAAACCATAATTATTCTTTTTCTGTCTCGTGTTAGTATATTGCTGAATATCCCTGGCAATTTAATGTTATCTAATGTTATTTATAATTTAAGAACGGCATTTATGTTTAAATATACCAGATAAAGGATACGTACAGTAACTCCTAAGGCGATATTCAATTGCAATTAGGCACGAAACGAACGAGAACAGCAGCTGCATGTTTGAGTTTGAAAATGTATCATATGTAGCCGCTTTAATTTCCATTTATAAATGATATATAGTAGATTCTTACGGAGATCATTTAGACAAATAACAAATCACTATTTTATGTCTAAGCTGTATTTGCGTCTACAATAGTATAAATGTAGGCCCTGAAATTGTTTAACAATTACATTTGTTGCACTTCAGCTAAGAGTTTCTTAATTTCATTTTGTGGATCTTCTCCGTTTGAGGTGAGTTAGATCCATTTTAGGCATGTTGGGCGATGACAGGCATGTACTGTACATTCCTTACAGCACAGTTATCAAACTGTTTCAAAAAGTACCAGCTAATGTTCAAAAGCGTTAGGAATATGATCTCTTAAACAGAATTAACACTGATATACAGTAAGGTGCTAGTACTTGGGAGTGGGTTTCATCTACTAGTAAAAAATGACATTTGCCGCTCTAAAAGGCTAAACCTAGAGACTTTTATCACAGATCTTAACGTACCCTTACCTCTGCCTACACATTTGTTTCTCTGAACCCCCAGATTCCCAATACCCCTGCTTTCTCCAGAGAAACACGAGTGTAGACTCCCATAATAAAACAATACAACATATCTATCTAATTAAGACCCAGACTTGTAATATGCATTTCCTTAATTTCGGTTCTCTCCGCTCCCCAGCACATCTGGAAATTCAGTATAGCATACTGAAGTCTCTACATAGAGCTACTAATACAGATATAAAATAAAGTTCATTATTAATAAATGGCACGCTTATTAATACACACGTGTATTTATACACTTGTTTACGAATAAATGTGGTGTTTCTGGAAAGCAATTTTAAACATTACAATCATTTTCAACCGACAGATGCATAAATTAATTACTTAATGACGATATCATTTCCAGTGTAACCGGGAAATTTCTAATCTGATCCAGTGTTCCGTGAGTCCCTGAGCTGCTTGAACTACAGTATACTGTACGAAGAGGTGGTTTAAGTTACTCCCTGAGTCAGTAACCTCTTGAGGGCAGCAGTTGTTACTTTGGGCTCGTTGCAGCCGAGAGCTGCGGATTAATTTCAGCGGCCAAGCTCGTTGCAATTGGTTTTAAGGTAGCGCCCTAATTTAGCACGGTGCTAACCACAGGTTGAACTTCAGTTAGTACGCTGCTTTCAGTTCGTTGCCATTGATCGAGTGTGATTTCCTCTTTTTCCAAGGATCGGTGGGATTCAGGGAAGCATTGAAATACTAACAAATAACGTTGTTTTTTCTTTTAATTTCAAAACCACAGCAGTGTTCCTTACGTTTTTGATGAAACCACTTTGAAACTCAGTAGTACTGTTACAAAAAGTTTATATTTCTGAGTTTATAAAATGTGCACTTGGACTTTTGGAACAAACTCTGCAATGCCGCCCAATGTCCTGACTTGAATGTCACAAGTCTAAGATGTGTGATGGAGAAAACGTGCAGTACTGTTCGTTCTATGAAACCTGCAGGACAACCAACAGTTTTCAGAGCACACTTTGACTTCTCTAATCACGTTTTGTGATGCTACAACAAATCTGTCTCCTGACTTGCCGTGCGTATTTATAAATGCCTTATCAGTATCTGTCTTCTTAAGTAGTTCAGATGGGTAGCTGCATCAGTCTTTTTTTCAGCATGGTATAAACCTATTACTTGTTCCTCTGTCTTCTTAATATCACTAATTGCTAATTGTATAAAAATACAGTATGGGTGTGAGTGTGGAGCTTTGTCAGTGTGTTGACTGCAACGGAACAGGTAAAGATTCATTCCACAACGAACAGTAATGAAACGTTTCAGCTGTTGAGCCTTCTTCTGTGTGTCTTAACCTAAATACATCTTAACAGCCAAAATATTGTTTAATATGGAGAAGAAGAAACACTTTATTACACCAAGAGATGTAGGTGTTTGGAACAGGTTTCCCCATTCAGATTGAAGCCCAGATTTTGGTCTCAGCTATTAAACCACCCATTGAAAAAACTGGTCCAAATGTCCTGATTTCATTTCTTATATTTTTCAGTTTTGCCTAGACATCTTGAATCCCCTGAAAATGTTCTGAATCTACTTCAATTGGTTTTAAATAAAAAAATAATCTTTTCAATTCTACTTAATTAAGAAAATGATAGTTTTATAATTATATATTTAATGATATAGTTTTGCAATTGTAATTATATTAATCCACAGGCTTGTTTATATTTTTGTATTTCTGGTACAGAACACCTAGAATAAGTTTAGAATAAGGTCAATACCAGCACTACTAGAATATTTAGAATAAGTTTAGTTTTTCAAGACATCTCTGGGGTTTTGGAGAATTGCTCATCCACCAGATAAAAAGAGACAGATTTAGTGTGTGGCACAGTTTTGCCATGTGATGCAGAAGGGATTGTAATCAAAACCATATCGGTTTGCTTTTGGATCACTGAATAAAGAAATACACTCTACAGGTACTCCATGTTTCCAGAATGCTTGAATCTGAATATTTTAAAATGAAAGAATTGATGTAATGAAAAATGTATCTGTGTAAATCACCTTTTAGAATCTATAATGATGAATAACACATTTAAGAATATTTGAATATTGTTTTTTTTCCCATAGAAGTTCCAGTAAAATAGTGTAACATAAAAAAATCTAATAAATCTGAAAATATATTTATTATGCTTCATCTGTAAGGTTCATTCTAAATTTATGAAACCATTGTAATATAGCTATTAATTGGAGCATAATGTAAACCACTGAATTTGACACATGCAACAGTTCTGAAAAGAATATTTGTTTTATTTAGTATGAAACAAGATAAAAGGAAATTCAGTCATTTAAGTAAAATAAAAGACTTGAATGCAGAAAGTGCTATTTACCAGCATTGTGACTTTAAGCCTTTTTCTTGTAAGAGATGAAACTAGATGCTGCACTGTATATACTGTACATTGTGAATAAATTCTAAATTGGGATCAAATAGTGTAAGTGAATGTGTAAAACCCGAGGGAAACTAATGCAAATAAGTGGAGAGTTCATGTTACAAGACACAAAGCTGGACAGAAACAAGGATATAAGGAAGACAGGGCAAGGAAAGGGCAAGGAAAGTGTTCCTTGAGTTTAGGTGTCTTAAACTAGAAATTAATTCCATGCCATCATGGAAAGACTTTATCTCTTTATTAAACCAGGAAGGTTTCTACAAATAGCTACACCTGAATACAGACCGTGTTTCCAATTTGATTAGTGCTGGAAGATTGTTTTGCTGTTGTGGACATGAGACACGTACAAATACGGCCTTTTCAAAATATATATTTTCCCAGCCCCTCCCACGCCACAGCTTCATGTACAGTATGTAACATAAATGCACTTTACTCATGGAATTTTCTGTTTTGGAACATTGGACATGCTTTATTTCAGAACTTTTCACAATTTATTTAAACATCTCACATATACAAAATAGGTACAATAAATTTTTTTTTTGAGAAAGATGCCTCCTTTTACCCATTCAAATGGACGAAATGTGCTTTAAAGCATGAACACCGGGATTGAAGAAAAAGGTGGGGGAAACAAAAAAAAAACAAAAAAAAAACAAACAGGCCTAGGAGTGATCCACATGCTTAACACGGGGTATCAGAGAGAAAGGCGAGATTCCATCTGCAGAACAACACAATGTAATACAGTAAAGTGGTTTCAATCGCAGCTGCGTGTTTCGAAAAACACCAAGGAGTATAGCACCATACCACTGCTTCAAGTATCTTAAGCCGTGTAATACTGGATTTAGCACCTTTGATACAGGACCACGCTCAAAGCTTTCCTATTTTAGGCTATATTAAGGATGTGGATCAGGCTGTAGTACAAGTCTGAGGTAGTTTAAACCTTTGGAAGTTGTGGTTTTAAACTTCCTCTTTGGAAGATATACAAAGACCACAAGTGGTGCGTACTTTCATCGTTTTTATTTCACTTTTTATTTTACAAATGCTGACATGTCCCACAACAAGGTGATTCCCACGAGTCCTGGGGGTCTGTATTAAATTGCATTGCACAATGCTCCGTTCAGTCCAATGTCTTCTCCGATAGGCCCGAGCTTAAGCAAGTGGATGAGCAGAAGAAATCAGCATTCAGTATAAAAAAAGAAATGGCAGAGAGAATTTTGTTTGTTTTTTTTTTTTAATTTATCATGAGTCTATTTATTTGAAACAGACTGGGCCAATGTCCAAACCAAATTCTTGATCAGCTCCACCAATGTCCAAAGGTGCAATGTCCAGGATGGGCAGGCGAGATGGTTTCGTTGTTCTGTATTCGATGACTGTCTTGCCCCACTGGCCAGTGTGTCTCTGTGGAAGGAAGAACAGATCACATCACACAATGGCGCCATTTCTGTGTGGACTGTAGGCTGTATGATCTGACGTTCGTGTGTATAGTATGTGACCTACTAGTTCCAGACTTCCTCTGTATTCAATGGACTGGACAACGATGAGAAAAAAAAGTGTCATTTTTAGGATACAAAGTAAGACACGATCAACCAGGAAATTGAAATCATTGATGGGAGAAAGAAAAACTGGGCAGACAAGAACTGGGACAACTTTCATTCTAGCAAGTGTCCAGGGGGGTAATTGTATTAAACACATCAAGTCAGTTACTGGATATTCAAAAGTAACTTAATAAATTATCGTATACAGGTAGAAGCAATAACATTCAATCTATTTTCTACTGTTCTTATCCAGTACAGGGTCATGAGGGGAGCCAGAGCCTAACCCAGAGGGCAACGTACGCAAGGCGAAATACACACTCTGGATGGGACACCAGTCCATCCCAGGGCACCCGCCTAGAGGAAACCCACACGAATACAGGGAAACGTGCCCAATTCCCGCAAGACAGCAGCCCAGGCGCTACAAGAGTTATCTTGCGACTGCGGCTGTAAGCGGTGCTGTACAGTGGAGACGGCAGGACCGAAGAGTGACGTACCGTGCATCCGTCCTCCAGCACGCTGAACGTGAAGCGGCTGTTGCCTTCAGCTCTGAGCTCAACGTCGTTGGAGCCCTGCAGCAGCACAGCCTTCTTCAGGTTTCCGGCCTCAGCGTCCATGTAGGCAACGCTGTTCTTGCAGTGGTAGGTGATGTTCTGGGAGGCGTGGTTGGCCAGGAGGCGCATGAAGGCGAGCTGGGTGGCCATGACTTGAGGAGTCATGCTCTCGTCGTTGTACTCGAACTGCACAGAAACGAAAACACAACAACGGTTTTTTAGTGCACTTTACCACCGTTTACTTTCTCACTGTATTTTCTTTTCCCGAACTTTCCCTTTACAAAGGTTAACCAAGCATTTAAGTTGCTGCTAGTTGTGCTTCAGTCTGATGCCATTTTATCCTGCTCTCACCAGGACTGACTCTCACTACGCGTCCAATGAGATTCACTTCATTACAGCAGCATGCTTTCTTGGGGAAAGACAAGGATGACCATCTCAGCTGCCACTTCTTCCATTCATGACAGCAAAAGGCCAACAGGAAAATCCCATCTATATTTACACCCTGCCTCTGCTCCCAAACTCACTACAGGCACAGTTAAAATGGAAAGAAACAAATGAAAACATCTGCCTTGCTGCAGAGTCAACAAATTCTTTCCCTTTTTTCAGAAACACAGCACTGCTCACTGTAGGAATTATATTCAGCATACCTGACTGCCACCATTGATGGTCTCTCCAAACCAGACGTGCTTCTTGTCCTGAGCATTTCTGTACCAGTTCTTGCGTTCAATGGTTGCAGGGTTGGGGTAGATGCATGTCTCTCCAGTGGTGAAGTCGCAGTGAACCTTGATGGCATCCATAGTGCAGCCCTGGTTGGGGTCAATCCAGTAATATCCTGCAGAGGACAGAAATCTATGTCAGGGCCGGTCTTAAATGTACTACACAAGCACAGCTTCACTTCTGAATCCCCGTGGGAACCAATTTCCTACCAACAGTGCACAAGTAATGAGATCATTGATATACTGTATTAATCTGATTAGATTAGTAACATCTGTCATTAACACACAATAAATCCTCAGTATTCTCAAGAGCTGGCATATCTGGGATCTTGTGTTCAACTTTGTTCCTTGATGATCAAATAATTATATTTGTGTCACTCATTTTGAAATCTGGGTGACAGAAGTAAAATGTTTTACAGGTCCCCTAAAGGTATTCAGGCTAATCATTATTATTGCCCACAATACAGTATTTTTAAAATCTCTGATATTATCATATACTGTACTTCTTGTATTTAGGAAAATTAACTTGAATTCAGGGAAAATATAAAAAGCACAACTAGAGGATCTCTTGGCTTTTTAAAGGACAGGTCTGCCCCATGTGGCCATTTTTAAAGACTTATAATAATAATAATAATAATAATAATAATAATTGCTTACACTTATATAGTGCTTTTCTGGACACTCCACTCAGAGCACTTTACAGGTAATATGGACTCCACTCCACCACCACCAATGTGCAGCATCCACCTTGGGTGGACTTGGGTGACAGGACCAGCCATTGCACAAAAGGTTAAACAGGTGAAACTCACCACTGCTCCATTCTGGGTGGCTGAGTCTGATGTCACGGCAGGTACGAGCTGGGTTCTTTCTGGAGCCCTCGGGTGTGAGCAGGTTCTCGATCTGGGTGTTCAGGGACTTCAGGGTGGCGTCAACCTCGTAGTCCTTGGCCCTCAGGGCAGCCTGGTCAGCTCTGTACTCATCATAACCAGACACATCATAGCCACCTCCAGCAGCACCAGGGGGTCCGGGAACACCAGGAGGTCCAGGGGGACCCTACGGACAACCAGAAAGTCAGATTGGATCTGCTCAGCTCTTACAACAGGCCACTCATGCAGTCTTCTCATTTTCTAACCTCATTCCTAAAATAACCGTACATTTTACTTTTATATGATTTATCTCATTAAAGTAATACTTATTATTTTATAAATTCAGAAGACTTTTCAGATGTTTTCTGTATAATAATAGAAGACGTGTTATCTTGCAGCGGGATAATTAACTCCAAAACCAACGTCCCTTGCTAAGATTCTAACCCAAAATACTGAGCCAAACATTTTCTTTTCCGGCCTCAGGACAATGAACCAACAGTCAACTTTCATGACACAACAGGAATCCAGAGGAGAATGCTATTTAGAAACACTTCCTTGAAGATAGTGTAGCTCCTGCTCAAGGTGATACTGTTTTGGTTGTTGTCCGTTCAGATTTCCTCAGTTAAACCAGTGCAAACCCTGATTGTTTTTTGCAGCTTGACATTGATAGCCCCTTGGTGAGCGCATCAATATTGTGTCAGTCCACTACAGTTTGTACTCACGGCTGGGCCACTGTGTCCTGGGGGACCACGATGGCCAGCAGGTCCCATAGCACCAGACATTCCAGATCGGCCATCCTTTCCAGGGGGACCACTTGGACCAGCAGGACCCTGGGTGGTGGAAAGAAGTTACTTAGACCAATGTTACCTATGTTTTAACAGCATTTTGTAAGAACTTTACAATAATGTAAAACTTAATTCAATGTTACAATCATTTGTAAAAATTACAACACAATTGTATATTTTGGATAACCTACAAAGCCATGCAGGTACAGCAGTTTTCACAATGGATTACTTACTCTTGGGCCAGAAGGACCAGTTGCACCAGCAGAACCTTGTTCACCAGAAGGACCCTGTAAAGCAAATACAAACACTTTAACAACGGTGGTTTGGCAGAGATGAGTCAGGTACTCAGGGCTCAGGGAGGGCAGGAAAGGATTCAGCAATGAAAGAAATGATAGAATGTAAGTGTTCGTCCTAGTATATTTTGAAGGAACTAGTTTAGGTTAGGAGAAAACTGTGGAAAAACTATTAAAAGGTGTGAGAGTAACACGTGAGCTCATAAACTGATGGCATTCCCTTTGTGGAACATTTCCTTGATTTCAACTGCAATGCACGGGGGCTGAAAATAACTGGAACAGTCCCGCACATCACCGAAGTGTGGATTGTAAGTTCACCGAAGGATGTCTGCAAATTAGTTCTTCCATAGCATATTGGCAAATGATATTTTGAAATATTTTGCTCTGTGTTAGGAATGCTGCTTCCTTTTTCTTTGTTGCCGCCTGGTTGCGGCCGCAGGGCAGAGGCGACTCACCATGGGGCCGGGCAGACCCTGCAGGCCGGTGTGTCCTCTCATTCCCTTCATGCCTCTCTCACCCTTGTAACCAGCAACGCCCTTCTCACCACGGGGACCTTGAGGGCCCTAAAGGGAGGGAAAACCAAGGGGAAGAGGAAACGCGCTCATCAGGCTGCCATGGCCCAAGAGGTCCTGAAACAGGACCGGAAACATCTCCAGGGGTTAAAACACCCACTGCACGACGAAAGCTCTGATTTCCAGAAGACGTGAAGTCTGTGTTGTGCAAGAGCACTACTTACAGGTGCGCCTCTTGGGCCAGCGGAGCCAGAAGGTCCGGAAGAACCAGCGGGACCCTGAGGAGATACAGAGGTCAGTCATAAACACAGGGCACTGTGAACCTTTCATAGTCTTCCTGTCAGGGGTGGTCACTTCTGGTACATTAATTTAGATGGGGTGCAAAGGTGGCTTATATTTTGGTAAAAATACTGTGTGTTTCAGATTACTGGTCCTGAAACATGGCAAATATATTACGAAACACATATTGTACATGCAGTGAGATAGCTTTAGTTCCAAGTTGGCTTGAGTGTCACTACAACTTAATGCATTGAAGATATTTTGTATACATCTCAGACCAGCACTAAGGATGAAACCACTGTTGCACTATGTTTATAACGTTGCGTGAAATGTCTTCTTACAGTCTTATACAAATTTTAATGGAAATTAGAAATGCCTTTTGACATGCATGAAAAAAAAGTCAATCTACTGTACTTCATGTACCGTATGTTCTATTTGTACATCTCCCAGAATTACGTCTGATAATGGACTAGCTTGTGCTAACAGAACAACCTTTTATTACATACAGCAAAGTACATACAGCTGTATATGTGCACGAAAAATTCAGGAGGAGGCTACCGAAGGTTAAAGTATTTAACAGACAGCAGTGAACACCATGCCTTGATGGCATTAAATCTGGTCTCCTGTCTCTTCTGTGATTTAAAAAAAAGCCGAACAACGTAAAAGGCCTTGGACTGAATGGTCACCAGTGTTAGTGCTTCCGTTTTCTGTCCGTGAAATGGGAATCCTGCTGAAATAAACTGGAGTCCCTCATACATGCAGTGGAGTGAGAGCAGAGGACAGGCCGGGGGCCCTTTTCCAGCTTCTGTGACGCACCCCGAGTCTCTCGCGCACCTCGAAAGGGAGACTTCACAACAGAAGAGCGCTACTCACAGCCTCTCCACGGTTTCCAGGACGGCCAACTGCGCCAGCGGGTCCATTAGGTCCAGGAGCGCCAGCAGGGCCAGAGCTACCAGGAGAGCCAGGCTCACCACGATCTCCCTGCAGGGCGAGAAGAAGGACACAGTTGGGTTAGGAACAGTTATCACATTAACCTGGCAAGGTACAGTATCTCAGCCTGTTGTGTTCTTAGGAAGTTCCTTTCCAAAAGCTTGTCATTTTAAAATCACAGACTTATCGTATAATAGTATTGTTGCAGTCTAAAATATTACACATCATTTATCCTTAAACCAAGCAGCATGCATCCATCTGCTTTTATTGTTGTTTTTTTATTTTTGGCTTGTGGTTTTCATGCAGTTAAGCGGTCAACCGCAGTGTTGGTTTGGGTGAATCCAGAGCTGAAGAAAGGAAGCTCATGTCATTACCTTGACACCAGCAGCACCAGGGCGTCCAGGAGGTCCATCGTTACCAGGGTTTCCCTGTGGGGTGAAGTTCACACAAGTCAAAGACGGATATTTCAAGCGTTTAGATTGACACAATTAGATACTGTTTTAGACTGCGTGTGCGTGGTGCATTCTGGGAAACGCATGGTGTACATAAACAGTAAAAAGTTAACTTCATGTGATGTGATATCATTAAGACGAATTTATAAGAATTGCAATTACCCATTCAGGGCATTTTCTAGAACCTGGCCACGGGACAAGGGAGCACTTACGTCGCGACCAGCTTCTCCAGGTGGCCCGCTCATTCCAGGGGGTCCCATGTTGCCAGGAGGTCCGCGGGGTCCAGAAGATCCTGCGGGGCCCAGTTTTCCAGGCTCACCCTGAAACACAGCACGCATGGTCAGAGCAGGTCAGCCCTCCCTTCCTCACAGCCCAGGAACACTGTCTGCTCTGCTCTAACGTCTGTAGGTCTCTCTGTGTATATTGTACTGTATACAGTATGTAGATATGCAGTTATTAAATAGGACAATATTAAGATACTGCACACACACACGTGTGTTTTTCAGATTGCAGTGTGGATGGGCAACATTTAAAAAGGAATATACCATACTATTTTATGACCTCATCTTTCAACTGAATTGTATCTTAATTTAGATACAGATTAGACAAAAACCTTGTCCCTCCTGTGTGAATAAATGCTCAGTACTGGGCTCTCGGTTCGCCAGGAGCTTTGTGGCTCTATCAGCTGAAAACCTAACGTAATCCGGAGGCCTGAAGTCAAGGCTATGATTTTACTTTAGGCCTTGGTTTCACAAAAACGAATCGGGCTAAAAATTCTGAACGCATGCGGCTCAATTTAAAAAAGTTCTGAATTTCTGAAGTGGGTTCAGAAACTGAACACTGAAACTGAGGCACTGTTACAAGCACAGCCGGCACCGATTAACTCCAAGTGATTCAATCTTCATCCCACACCTTTTCCCCGCAGCTACTGTATTTACACCCTCTGCGCACTGCTACCGACGCTCGGTATTATGTTTTCCTCCCCCTCCTGAGCCCACCTCGCCCTCCTTTCCTGAAACCCTCTCTGCCTCGCCTGGATCCCCTCACTTACGACTCTGCGGCTTCGGATTTCTCGCTCCCCCCCTCTCGTCTCGCCCCTCTCGGATTTGTTCGCCTGACTATGTTCTGGCTACCAGGATTTGACCTTGCCTGGTAATACTGACCACCCTTCTTCGTCTCCCGTCCCGGATACCTTAGCTTTCAGACCCCGTCTTGAGACCTGCACAGGGTTTGTTAATAGCTCGGCGCTAACAGGCACTGCTTTACACAAAATACTGTTGGAGCCTGGAGCGGGCTACACAGCTCTGATGTGGAAGCTGAAGCCATGGCTTCTTTCAGTAACATCCCCAGGTCCCATGCTAGTGAGCAAAGCAGGCGGGTGGAAGCCTGGTCGTCCGCAGTCTTTCTTAGAGTCAATAAATTGCTGCAAGTGCAACTTTTCAAACTACAGCGGGATTTCAGCGAAGAAGGTTAGGAGCAGGCCTGCTGGCACGCATGGATGTCAGTGAAGCTTGGCAGTGTACTTACAACTGCACCTGCGCCGCCAGGGAGACCGCGGTCGCCTCTTGCGCCAGGAAGACCAACGTTACCAGGAGAGCCGAGGACACCCTGAGGGCCGGGGGTGCCAGGGGCGCCCTGTGGGATGGAGCAGAGAAAAAGGCCATGAGGAAACTACCACACACAGCACAGCAACCCCTTCACTGCCCTGAAGTGCACGGCCACCTCAGGGTCCTGAAAACTGAATACCCTGGGGGCTGCAAAGGCAGCCTGACCTTTTTTCAGACGCTAAGCAATCAGTCAGCACTGAAAGTGCTCTGAGGCCAATTATTCATTTTTGGCTTCATGGTTCCTTATTGAACTGCCTTACCAGAGGCACGTCTTTACGCAGCGCAAAAGCGCTTTTGATCTGCGAAAACCCGGCACTTCACGGCAGGGTCACAATATAGACTTCCTGCAGCAAGAAAAGAAAGGCCGACATCCCCACTTTTTTATTCCACATCCTATAACACAAAACAACGCAGACGTACGGGAGGACCAGATTCGCCAGATGGGCCTTTCTCTCCAGATGGGCCTGGAGGGCCTCCAATTCCTTGCTCTCCGGGACGTCCTGCAGGGCCAGAGTCACCACGGGCACCTCTGGGACCATCCTTTCCAGCTGGGCCAGTGGGGCCAGCGGGTCCAACAATTCCCTACAGTGGAGAAACAGAATCGTTTAAGTCATGACAGTGAAGGCGAAGACCCTCCAATACTCTTTCTAGAAGTGGTCTTCCATATAACCTCCTTGAGCACATGCCATGCTCAGGTTCACTGTAGGACCTTTAAGCAGACAGGTGGTTTATAGCCTTCTCCCCTCTGTGTTTAACCAAAAGTCTGAATCTCAGTGTCCGCTTGGGAAAAGTCCTTTGCATGTGGGGCACCTAATTAATCAATTAATCAGTCTGCAGAACCCATAAATCCAGTGAACCTTTAAATGAGCCTTTGCTCCGTTATCTGAAAACCTCCTGGATTGAGAAGATTCTTCCATCAGTGCTTGTGTTTTGCAAAGAGAACACCAATTGCCACCCTGAAGGGTAAAGTGTAATTCATTGTGAATAGCTAAGTGAGCCATGACAGATGGCATCACCTTCAGCTGCTTAGTTGCATGAAATTGATACACGTCTGGCATTTAGACCTTTACAGTATTTCCACCCATACGTTTTAAAATGTATTGAATTATTTATTTCCTTCTGAAAGCGGAAAAATACTGTGATACTTACAGAAGGACCAGGGGGTCCAACTCTGCCAGCAGCACCAGGGAAACCAGTAGCACCCTGTAAGTTAAATGAAGATTAGAGTCATCTGTAGGCCTGGTCTGTTCTGGACAGATGTTCAAATAAGTAACTGATGGAACAAAGTAACAGTTGTAATACTTACAGTAGGGCCAGCATCACCACGAGCACCAGGGGGTCCACCAGGACCAGAAGGACCCTGAACACAAAGCAAAGAAGATCATGAAAACGTAGTACTCTATGATTCATACCACACCACCATTCTGAAATGACACCAGCATCAAATCTTCCAAATCTTCCTCCATGACAATGTATAGAGGATTTAGAAGAATGAGGTTTCAACTCAGAGATGGGACTTATTCTTTAAAACCTGAACACTGAAGAATATTTTCTAATGTTTCAACTAGTGGTACTTGTACATAGTGACAAAGATGCTTAAAAAGTAAAAAATGGCAAATGATTTAATCTTAAATGGCTCTTTCTTTCACTCATATAGGGTGTAAATACAAGAACACAATGTATAGAAATACCGTGAGGTGAGGTGTTTTGTCTGAATTCAGTTATCCTAAAGAAAAGTTTGACGTACTATAGATCACATCTTGGGAACAAAATAAAACATCCAGGTATGTATAGAGAGCACAAACTTCACGGATGTTTATTTCTTATTAATGAACTTATCATGCAGTGTATTTGGAGAACTGTTTAAAGTAACCTGTGCACAAGGTGCAAAGATAGCAAACTGAATTCTGCAATTTCCCTCACGGGATCAATAAAGTATCTATCTAAATACCAGAGTTGTCAATGAAGGTTGTCTATGGCTCAAAATGAGAAATGTGTGTGTGTGTGTGTGGACTTTTCCTCCGAAGAGTGTGGTATCGAAAGGCACTAATTTCTTGTTCATTTCTGTCAGTACACGTAACTGATCAACCTGAAGCATATCTAGGGACGCCCATCGGTTCTACAGACTCATAATTTGAGTCCCTCTACTCAAACCTTTTCTTGCCTGGTCACTACAATCAGCACCCCAGACAGCCCACAGTGAGCATCACGTGACTGCGATGCCAGTGGGCCGCGAGGCCGTGGAGAGCACAAGCATTTTACTCACAGAGGGTCCAGCAGCACCAGCGGGACCAGCAGCACCCTGAGGACCAGGTTCTCCTTTGGGTCCACCAGGACCTCTCTCGCCTCTTGCTCCAGGCTGGCCATCAGCACCCTGAAACCACAGCACACTGCCTCAGCACTCAGATGCATAGGCACCCTTAAAAATGGTTAAACCAATACTAACAGTGTGCTACAGTACATGTAGTATATGGAGGTGCTACACAGTACAGTATATGTGTTTGAGAATGTGTACAATATGCAGGATCAATAACATTTTTAAAATGTACAGTATGAGACATATGATGTGCTTGACATTGTTTTTCAACAGATGACCATTTACTAAAATGCAGATGATGCATAGTTAGTGTTTTTGTTCAGAACACATTTTTTTCAGACTCAGTCTTTCAGTTACAATGACCGCTGCCCGTGTGTGGTTATACTGTATAGTGTAAAATGCTTTGTAGTTGAACTGGTAACTTACAGGAGGACCAGCAAAGCCAGGAGGTCCAGCAGGGCCGGGCTCACCACGCTCTCCCTACAGAAGACAAGTACATACAGATGTTTAGCAAACTCCCTGAAGTTCTCAGTTTCACTTCACAGGACCTTTTCTCTTATGAGTGCAGATAGGTAGAAACAGAAGCAAACACAATGCATGGCTTTAATGTATTACTTACTGTACATTCTGTGAGTACTTACATATTTTCATACTTAAATGTATTGCTTACATACAATTAAATTACTTAAATTACAAATGTTCGAACACAGACTGAATTATCAAAGACCTTAGATATTAAAATATGTCTCTGCATTTATGCCATACAAGTAAATACAAACATTGGGTAATTGTAGAGATTATTTTGTGCCACATTTGGGTTTTATTGATTATTTTTACATATATTCAAGTGACAAAACCAGTTTTATGTCAGTTTTCCTTTCACTGAATGTCTGTTAAAACTTTAGTAAAGGGATTAAGATGCTTTTTCCCGCGAGACGTATAGAACGGTATGATTGTTGTCTGCACATTGCAGTAGAAAAGGCCCATTTCTCACTGACTTTATTTAGACGTCATACTCACAGGGGAACCACGAGGGCCAGCAGGGCCGCTAGGACCAAAAGCACCAGCTTCACCCTAAAACAGAGAAGAAGGGAACTCAGCACTTTGACAAAAACATTGTCAGCGCCTGCAAACACATCAGGCAATTAATGGATTCATGTACATGAAAACACTTTTTGTTCTGCTTGCATTTCAAAGGCAATAAAAATGTCATCTTAATGATAACTCTATATTTAAAAGGGCTTCATGGCAGCACAATATACTTTGATGTGTCTAGCCCTCTTCTTAGATATAGGACTGGTTTGTCATTACGGAAATATTTCATGTTAGAAAAGGTCATACTACAGGTGCTCAAATGTTCAGTGTAGACTCATACACAATTTAGCAATGGCAAAATATAATGACAAAAATAATATTCTATATCATGTCTTTAAATCTCATCATCCTTAGTTGTATCAAGCTGTATCAACTACTGCTATCTAGTTGAATCATTTGATCCTGTGCAGAGGAAATGAAATCCCGTAACCATGGAGTTGGTGTTTACAATAGGTCTTGTAGGGACTGGTTACAGCTAGTTTAGGGTTAATGGGCCTGAATTAACCTTTGGGAAATTTCCAAGCAATTTTTGCATCTAATGTATTCTGGGACAGTGTGGATTTCCTCTGGATCAGCCCATGTCTGTTTACAAGCTGGCCTGTGGCATACACTTCCTATTATTCTGTATTATCACTTAGGATGCCATTTTCTATAGGTTTACTGCCTTATGTGAACAGAACACAAGAATGTGACTCCACTTAGGGAAAACTGGGTTTTATTAGTCTTCCGCTGTCTTCCATGAAGTTTGAAATTTGGCATTCAGAATCATCTATGCAGAATTATGTTTTTGCAATGACTGTAGCAAATCTGGTTTGTTGTTACTCTCTGAGTGCACAATTGATAGAAATTTGAAGTGCATTAAACTGTACATCCAGGGCTAGGAAGTCATAAGGACCACTGTGGTATAGGAAACTGAGGATACTGAATAAGACCCAAGCTCAGTCACATCTGGCAGGACTGTGTGGGGAATTGGAGTTGGCTAATGTAGTCCACAGATGATTTGGCAACCAGGTCTGGAATACAGGGCTCATTGCTTGAGCAGTGCCTTCACTGGTTGAGTCAGTCTGAGTTCTAGCACATTTTTAAATGTATTTGGGATAAAGTGGTGTTTCTGCCAACAAAGATGCCATGAGCATTAATGTTTGACAATAAAAGTCCAGTGTCTTAATTCATTTTTACTTCAACTTCTATTCACTCCCTTCAAAGGATCTCCATTCTGCAAACACCTTATTAATCTTGCCTAGGTGTCTGCTCAGGGATTTATTTGAGCTAATTACTATGTTACGAACTGAAAATCATTTCAAAGGCAGTCTATTTGCTTCTGCCACTTTTTATTGTGTTTGTACTTCCTTCAACGAGAAAACATCCAGCTCTCTCCAGATGCAATTTACACACAAATGCCTTATTTGGGTTGTTGTATTAACAAGGAAACTGAAATCTTATATGTTTTTAGATCATATATAATCATAAATGGTTGTCTTTAATTATAACTCTTAACAATGCATATGCAGAAATCTCACACAATATGTATTTCATGTTATTAGTGGGATTCCATATGCCTATCATAAGACACAATGAAGCTTTACCAGCCTGAAGTATATATTGCGTGGGAGTTTTGGATATTCCTGGATAAGGGCAGGCTAAGTTCTTGGCAGAGTAGGTAGTGGCCAGGTGGCTGCTACTGTCTTTAACATGTGCCAAGCAAGGCTCAGGCCAAGTGTTCACACTGACCGAATGGCCCATCTTCATGTTCAAGACAAGCAGGGATAATTTCTGGCTGTGTGCAAGCATTGCCGTAAAATAAAAAGAGGTTTAGCGAGACTGCACCTGAATAAGATGTCAGTGTCAGGATGAGGATCTTATCTCAGGACCTAACAGCAATGAGAGTTTCTTTCCAGATGACATGAAGTTCTATCCTACCGATTCCAGCCCACACTATGACAGCAATTATTGACTTCCATGACATAAGAAACCCTTTTCGTCGCTGTAATAATTGAAATATAGGGTAACATAAGTGACCACTCAATAAATGACTGTGTCGAAATCTTAGAATTTTTTATATGTAAATAATTTCTTAATTAATATTTTAAGCATAAATTGTGCCCGCATTTCTATGCAAAATCTGTTTGGGACCTTTTGGTTTGTTACTGTATGCCCTGTTTCGGATATCATGGCTTTTTGTCATGGTGTTAGCTTCTTGATTGCTCTCCTAAGCCCAGTCTTGCATACGTGTACGTTTGCACAGTTTTAGACTTCCTGTTCCACACTAGAGAGAGAGCTCCCACAATTCTGTGTAATGTAGTGCATGCCAATTGTCCTGAAGGGGTTTACCTTGTCACCATTAGAGCCTGAGGGTCCAGGGGGTCCGCTAGGTCCAGGAGCTCCCTAAAAACCAGGGAAAGAGACATTTCACCGTCAGACATCGAAGGATATTGTAAGACACAAAGACACAGTGCCCTAAGCTCTGTCGAATTAAAAACATATACAGACAATGGGGCACATACAGTATCATCCCTGCCCTCTACAATAGGGATGCATATGATCTTAAAACATTAAGAAAACTAATTCCGATAAAAATGTCCATAAGGTAATGCAGAGGTTATTCATTGTGGTTGATTTGATCTTGACTTATTATTTGTCTATTGTCAAGTAAATGCCACTAGAATTCTTTTAAAAATTCTAACATAATTATGCAAAAAAAAACAACAACAGAAATGTAAAATATTACAAAAATACTTACACGGGCACCATCTCTGCCTGGGTTACCTTCGTAACCTCTTGGGCCGGTCTCACCCTAATATTCCAAGAAAAAAAACATTTGTTTTGTGCCCATAATAATGTTAATGATACAGAATCAATTACAGTATGCAAGAGTAGCTATTGGAAATCACAAACTATTCAATATATTCAAGAAGAACTACATTGGTATATGTTATGGAATACAACTCGATTACAATAAAATGTTGTTGATTGGGTGTTAGATTGTTTCCTTTCTTTATCACTGATTAGGATTGGATGCAAACACAAACACAAATTTGCCTTATTAAAATTATGTAAAATTACTTGCTTATAATCATCTCTGCAGTTCACTTTCCACAATACTGTTATTATGAACTATTTTCTCTGCCCATTTCATTTCCAGCTTAGTCACAGACTCACGAAGGAGCAGAAGCTTCTTCAAAAGACTGAGTGTCTTCTGAATCCCACACCTACAGTAACTGCATCCCATGTTTATCAAGTAAAAAGCAGATAGCAGATTCTGCTAATATATTAAACTTGGGAACAGCCTGCATAAAGAAGATGATTTCCAACAAACAGCAAACCATAAAACTAATTTTTCTCTTTTTTTTTGTTGCCTCGTGTCATCGTTAATTGATCCATTTGAAGATAATGCTGATCCAGTGTACCGCGAGCCTGTTCCTGCATCTGACTTACCTTTTCACCCTTGGGACCAGGAGTACCAGCACCACCACGCTCACCTGGCATGCCAGAGGCACCCTGGGGACCAGCAGCACCAACAGTTCCAGCTACACCAGGCTCACCCTGAAGAACAACAGAAATGGACTCTAGTACAGTGTCCTGACATGTTCACTTCACAGTGTCAGCATCATTGTCTCTTCTGTGGCATGGTGAACACACAGCTGTCCTCACCTAGGATGAAATGTTCCCACTTTTAAGACTATTTAGGACACTAAATAGTGGCCCATGTAACCTCCAGGAAATGCATCAGAATTCAACACAGTGTTTGCCAGCACAGTTAAATTTGGTCAGTGTCTTCTGGGATGATCAGAGATGTCTAGATGAGATCCTCAGTAAAAGTAGTAAGAGCCAAATGAGCAACATGGGCCAGGTGGCTTCCTCTCATTTGAAACTCTTCTTGTTTTCAGTGATAATACTCCCAATACTAGAATCTTGGGATCACGATCAGGATTATTTCTTAAAGATATGCTTCTGTAAGAAATTCTACCTTTCATCTATAAAGTAGTGCTCATGGTGGGCATTCTTTAAAAGCCCTGTCACAATTCATTATTTGTAGGTAGATCATAATGAATGCAAAACAAACCAGCATTGCGCTGTCTTTGTTTATTTTTTATCTTGTGTCGGAGAATAACACAATCGTATACTTTTAAGTATGAACTTAATAGTATCTTTAGCTTCAAACATTCACTGGCAGCAGGATGCTTTCTTGAAGTTTAGTTTCAGCATCCATTTTGGCTTACCTTCAGAATGCAATAAAGACAAAATCTAAGAACTACAATCAACAACAATAAAGTGTATACTGGTTGTTGTATGGACAGCAAGTACATTCACAAGGAATGGTCTCTTGTGTTCCTTTTTTAATTAGGCTTTGACCTTTCTTAATTGCCATGTTTTATAAGAAAGCTTAAATGACTTATTAGATTCCAGGCAGATAGAACTATATGGCAGGGCGTTCGAAAGACTCCAGTAAGCAGCCCTGCCACTAGGGGTCACCAAAAGGGAGGGTCTAACTCATGTAAATAGATTCACTGCATGTGTGTATAAGTCACTGACTGTATTATTGATTGAAGGTTTTAAATGCACATTCTCACATGAAAGTAAAAATTGTTGTTTGGGTAGAGAAGGGCTTTTAGAGCATAGTGTTGGTTGAGTTAGGAGACAACAAGGTGGTGATTTGTGGGAGTCTTTAGTTGCCTGGCCTAGATGTGCAGATACTAAAAGGCCCTTCCTGCAGCTTCAGCCCTGTGCCAGCCCCTGTCTTTGCAGACATAGAGCAATGAAGGGTTAAAAATTCTTTCCCCGTACAGCATGTTCAGCAAAACACCAGCTGCAATATTAAATGTATCTGCTGCTGATAAGACACCAGACACAAAGAATGCTTGTTTTAAGAATCCCAAAGAATCATTTTTGTGTAGGAGGCCGATTGTAACTACCTGCTTTTAGAAAACCCTGATATACCTCAGTTACGTAGACATCTTTTGATGCAGAAGTAGAAGTTTGCTTAACCAATAGAAATTAATAAAGATTAAAATAATAAAGTTTTTCTTTTTCTTCTTGAGACGTAAGCTCTTTGTGTTCCTTATCAAGTAAGGGTATAAGAGGTCAGCTGCAACGTTTCTGGTTAGAACCATCCTCCTAATTTGCAGGGAGGGAGCTTCTCTTTGGCCAAATATACAACAAACTCCTCTTCTGCTCGACACAAAGGTCTCCAGCGGGGTTTGACTCTTCAGCGAGCAGGACCGGTAAAATCGGCGCAGCCTCTGATCTCGCCGACGTTCCCCCGCCCCCCCCCCGCGCGGTTCACGGCGGCGGGCCCCGTCGGCCGGGAGGCCTACCTTGCTTCCGTCAGGGCCAGGGGTTCCGGAGGCACCGCGTGCGCCGATGGGCCCGGCGGGTCCCTGAGAGCCGGCAGGGCCTGGGTTACCACGCTCACCCTGTACGCAGGGAGAGGACACTGTCAGAACCCACACAGCGGTGGACAAGGACAACCCCGGCTGCCCACCTGCTGCACACCATCCTTCTCCTGCTGAGACTGGAACTAAAACTGAGAGCTTTCTACCCCGAGCTCACACAGCACAGAGCTGAAGTTTTACAGGGTCTAAGACGAGTTATACACTCCATGTTGATCCTTTAACAGAAGCTTAGGACTTATTTTATCCCCTATATACTGTAGCTCTATGAACTACTAAGTAAATACTACGATATTGCTAAATTGTCATCTAAAAATTAAAAATACATACTGTCATAGAGCAAGCGTTATTTAAGAGTTATTAATATAGTAAATATATTACTGTTTAGCATTTTTTTCCACAATAATTCAACTATACTGCATATTCACTGGTTTACAGACAATCTGGCACTTTTTTAATCTTACTGATTGAACACATTTGTGCCACACCAGCTGGAGGTTCATTGCTTACAATTAAAAACCGGTGTGTTGTGTAAGACATGCATGTCTCCATATAAATCAGCAGGAGGGCGCTGAATAACCTGAGGAGAACAGAAGACTTACTCTTGGACCTGCAGGACCTGGGAGGCCAGCATCACCTGGGATTCCCTTTGGAACAAAAATAGCTTTGTTATATTGGAACGCATTATAGGAATTATGACTCGTCAATGGATAAAACTGTCAGGGATTTGAGGCACAGAGGCAGTCTAGTTACTCCTGATCAATGAAAAAGCACCTTCCATTCCTAGAAATCCTTATCTTGGAAAGGAACAAGTAAAGGTGTATTCAATGCTGGAAAGAGAAGAAAAGAGACACAAGGTGGCTTGAAGGCTCTACAACCGAAACATTGTTTCTCTTTTCTTCTTTTTTTCTTCATGGAATAAACCTTTACTTGCTCCTTTGCACCCTACGCAAGCTGACACAGCTGCCTACAGTACCTGAACTACTATCCTTATCCTGGTACAATCTGCTGCTGTTATCAATGTGTCAATGGTATTTTTTCTATGAAAAGTTGGGTATCAACAGCAGTTTATTTAAAATTTTGGTCATAGGCACACTGACTAACCAGGAGTATAATGGAAGATGCATTACTTTCCTATTTATATCATAAGTTGGAAATCACAGGGTAAATATCTAAAAATCACCAGCATAAATATCTGAGGGTGAAATGAGGTCTTCTGAAAATACGGACATGGGTACTACATTCTGTTTCTGCGTTGTTCATTAGCAATAATGGAGTCATCAATCATCACTTTTGAAAATACCCACTTTACGACATTACTGTGTTGGGACTTATATTGAGTGTAAGGACTTCCACTGAGAATATGACTATCCAATGAGATTAAGACTATTCACTACAACTAGGACTATCCATTATGATTAGGACATCCACTCTGACTATGACTTTGGACATCTACTTACTCTGTCTCCAGCTTTACCAGTCTCACCAGCAGGGCCAGCAGGACCAGGAAGACCCTATTAAAAAGCAGACAAAAGATGTGAAAAAAGTGATTGAACACAGGGATTAAATATTGTAAATAAGATAAGTGATTATGCAATTTAACATCTATAACATCTATCATCTAATTTAAAACTAATTTAGATTACTTGTATAGGATTTTTTGTATTCACTTGAAACAATGAATATGCCAGAATTTACATGCTGGCACTACTGATAACAACTACGTTACAATATAAATTTGGTTTCAGATTTCTTTCTTATATAGTCCTTACTTCATCCATATAGTTAATCACAGGGATATTATTTTCTTGGGGAAAATGCGTGAGTCTGGTCAACTGAATTTAACATGGACAGATGAAATAACACAACCAAAGATTGCGTCCTTTTTTTGTGTTGAATATAATCTACAGGTGTATCTGACGCTCGCAGCTTTTCCTTTTTTGTAACGGCGAAAGTGTTATTAATCATTAGCTGCCCGTGCAGGTGCAGCATTATCTTCACATCCTTCGTCACTAGAGAAGAAGAGATGTTTTCCTTGTCTCCTAGAGCGCTGTGCCAGAACCTCACACCCACACAGTGAGTCTTTCCTCCAGGGACCAGCAATCAAAGCTTATTGTGAAGTCCAGTAACTCACCTGGAAGCCAGGGGCACCAGAGGGACCTTGTTCTCCTTTCTCACCAGCGTTACCCTGTCATAAAACACAGTGGCTTTACTACAGTGGCTAGGTGAAGGTAGGCTTGTACTGTACCTGTACTTCCTGTTATTTAAAAGGTCAATTTCTTATACATCTTCGAACTGCAGCTTTCAAAATACAATGAGATAACAAACAGTACTATCGACATATACTTTACCTGTATACAAGGTCTCATAGAAAAGTTTTTTCTTTGTAAAACATATATCTATATGGTATTGTATTATATATTTAATATTCTATTATAATAACTCTATTATTTATTATAGTTATGCTGGCCTTTGTCTTTGCACAAAGGATGTCTTACATCGTTCCTGTGACTGCACAGGCTGCATGTTTGATTTTGGATTAGCTCTGATGGTGGTCGGTCGTATTTCTCGTGACAGACTGGGAAAGCCGGTACTCACAGAAGGTCCAGGTGGGCCAGCAGCTCCGTTGTTGCCATCAGGGCCAGCGGCTCCCTAAACCACACAGGGAGATCAGATCAGTTCAGCTGCATTTGGCCACAACCTTCAAGTCTCACAGTAGACCAGGACGAGATACCAAACTGGTGCAGCAAATTAAACTAACCTTAATGACTGACTGTCTGATCTGAAGCTCACTCTTTACCATGGGTTCAAAGTCAGAGCTGCAGTTACTCTGCAAAAGCACCCCTGGAGCTACAGTATATGTGGGTTATAGAAGACTGGGAGTCTAACAAACTCATCAACAGCCACAGAAATGCCACTAGTGTTGGAGTAGGTGCTTAACCCTGGTCATGTAGTCACAAGCCCTTACTCCGTTATGTCCCAAAGCACACCAATGACGAGATACCTACTCTTTGACCGGCAGGGCCAGCTGATCCTCTCTCTCCAGGCTTGCCAGGCTCACCCTGAAGGCAGAAACAAAGAAAGGATGAGGGAAATGCCAATACATTGCCAAGTGAATACCTCAACATGGAGGTCTCCACCTCAAGGCTTGACAAAAGACCGTCCATAGAGTTAACAACACACTTGCTTATAACACTGCCTGTCAGCGTCTCTGAAGAGGAATGTTATTCAATTGTAATTGAGCATCCTCCACGTAAGTACTGTATCTACACTCTGCAAGCTATTTATCATATTTGGTAAGTAAGGAGTTCAGCATTTTGAAAAGAATGAATGTTAGGTTCTAGTGCAAACAGAAGAGACAGATCATCTCTTGTCCCTTCAGAACTAATTTACAGTACAGTACGAACACGGTAACAATGTGGTAGCAGCCTCCAGGTGCACATTGCATACAGGTAAAAATATTCTGTTTTTTAATTTGGCGCGGTACATGACCATGACCAGATCATTTTCCAGGTACATTGTTTGCTGGAAAGCCAAGATTTCCATTGTCACACCAAAAGGCACAGCTTGTATTATTCCACTTACAGCAGGGCCCTTAGGACCAGGGAATCCAATGTTCCCAGGCTGACCTCTGGGACCAGCAGGGCCAGGGGGACCGGAGCGACCATCTTGACCAGGAGCACCCTGCGCGGAACAATCAGAAATCAGAAATATCACTCCGTCTGCCAGGCAAGCTTTCACATCACATTCAATATCTCCCCCACCCCAAATATCCAGAAACTCACAGCAGGGCCTTCCTTTCCTGCAGGTCCAGAGCTGCCAGGGCTGCCAGGGAGACCCTGAAAAAGAATTGAGGTTCATTTCAAGTATCATCCACAGCTCATCCAGATTTCCCCCATTTGCTTCTATTTGGAGTGAGCAAATCCAAGCGCTCCATCCTGTACATGTGTTTGCGTTCTTATTTTTGTTGAATAAAGCTTTGCGAATTTCTGAGCAACTGCTGTCGTTCAATACATTTTGCACCTCTGACAATAGCAAACCTCCACACGCAGTTACAGTGTGTGCAGCACGCGGAAAAGGGGAGGTTTTTACATATTTAAACTGACGGCCATGTTAATGACTCATTTCTGATAAAGAGGAAATGTGCAATTGTGGCAAAAAAACAAACAGTGCCGACATTGACTAGCTTGTTGAATTGCGTGTACAAACGGTGCTCTCTGTCAGAGACGCCATTACCATCCCCTTGACTTGAATAAAAGCTGGAGCGGGCCTGTGCCCCAGAAATAAAAATGGCGCCACGGCGCGTGAGCCACGCGGGGCCCTACTGTTTCCTGAGCCGGTGTGCCGTGACGGTACAGGTGTGGGTCAGACACTCACCCTCGCGCCAGTTTGACCAGGCTCTCCAGGGCGGCCGCCATCGCCAGGGGGACCGCGAGGACCACCAGCACCAGTAGCTCCCCGTGCTCCAGGCATGCCCTTTCAGAGAGAACGTCCAGTTTAGGCAGGGAGTCACGGAGCAACACCGATGCAGTGACTCAAGAAAGACATTTGTGCATTTGTGCTGTACTCACGTGCTTGAGACGAGATTGACTAAGAAAAGCACCCCACAGCACTGCTAATGGAAGTTCTTAACTGAGGTTAACCAATACTTTTTTTGTCACAGCTACTTTACTCAATTCTGAACATCATTCCTAACATCATTTCTCAAAAGCTGTATGTATCATACTCAATACGTACTGAAATCTCTCTTTTCCTCATTTCTCTCTCCTGCATCACTTCCTCCACCCCACCTCTACCTTTACAGCCCCCCCGCTGGTTCTCTCCCCACTCTGCAGGGGGTCCCAGTCTCTTCATTCTACAGCCAGGATGCGCCCCCAAGCAGATTAAGTCAAAGCTCACTATACTTAAACACTCAATAAACATCCTATAATTTATCTCATTTTTGGACGTGTTATTCCTGCTATTAATAGTGAAATACCATTTGTATTATTGTTTGTACATGTAATGTTTATTATCATAATACTTTCTTGTAACCAGTACAGAAGTCAGGACAAATCGATTGGATAATTTTAAATTAAAATTTAAAGAACTCCCTCTTAAGAGCTACGCTTACTGTATCTGAGGGGTGGTCCATAAGTTTGAGAAAAATACCTCTTTCAGGAAAGGTTTGAAATTGTATTTACAGACGTACCATAGGACCAGCTCTGCCTTCAAGTCCAGGGAGACCACGAGATCCAGTCACTCCCTATTGCAAAGCAAACAAAAATCATGTTATTGAATATTTATTTTAAAGTATAACCTGTGCTCTCAGAAAAATAAAAATATGTTCATTTGAGCCTGAAAGCTTCCAAACCCATTTTCATTTTCATTTTCAAAATGTAAAAATATATCTGTGAATGTTATACCTTTTTAACATTGTGTAATTGAAAAGGATTCTTATTGTGTGCTTAGAAAATGAAGCATCACCTGTAAAATGTCAGAAAATACTGTATACAGTATGTATTTTAAAAGGTAATAGAAAGGTAATTTTCTGACCTTTACAAAGTCCTCCTCACCCAAATTACAGAAGTTTTTCAGCCTAACTTTCTGTACATTAGAGGAAAATATTTTTATATACTTATGTTTTTGAAAACGTCGGAGGCAACGCTGGTGTCAATTTAGTTGCAGTTTTTTTACATGAACACATGCATCGTTTTTGTATTTTTTTCTAAACTGGAATCCTACATACTGTAATTCACATCCTCTCTCAAAACACGACGTGCATTCCATACCTGGACGGCCCATGGCTATTACATCTTTGGAAGCTAATTTCGAAAGCCACTAGTTCACAAACTCATATCACAGTGATATCATCAATGTCTGCTACTGTATCGCACTGAGTGGATCCGTAGGAGGAGACAAAAAGCCGACAACTGGCCACAATGTCCCTCATATTAAACCACTGCTGTTGAGATGCTCATTTCAGGCACTTCCCTGGGGATGTTCCTGGATGTTCTGGCAGACGTCTGCTGTTTGAAATCCTGACACCCTCTTAAATGTATGAATGATCTCTAACATGTCACAGACCATCCCCCTGGGCTCAATGGCAGAAGATCCGAGGGGGCAGAGCAGGTGTAAGGAGGAGGGCACTCACTCTTTCTCCACGGTTGCCAGCTGGTCCGGTGGAACCGGGCTCACCAGTTGGACCTCTCTTTCCCTCTTCTCCGGCAGGACCAGGTGGACCATGGGCACCGACGTTACCCTGCGGTGGCATCACAATCATCATTGTAGCAGGGAGACAGAGGTGGTACTGCAATGTGAAACTGAATGGCCCAAAGAAGAATACTTACGGGCTCACCCTTGGATCCAGTCTCACCCTTGGGGCCAGCGGGGCCAGGCTCTCCCTGCAGCGAGGAAGCAAACACAAGCGAGTCATGATGACTGCAAATGACCTAGAGAGCTACAGTCTCTAGAGGTCACTGACCCTACAGTAAAGGCCAGAGTAGCTTCAAAGACAACTGTACGGAGAATCTTGTTAAAAATTGGCCGTAGAGATTTCATCCTGAGGTTATGTTTAATCTCTATGTAGGGTAATGCTTCCAAAAAGACAAAACACGTACACACAAAGTTATTGGGGTGCTATTCAAAGAAATTCAACCCATATATACAGTATTTCTGCAGAATTCAGTTTTAAGACTGTAAGTTAGCTGGGAAAAGGGGCTAAATGGTTAATGTAAAAATCTGAACGTTCAATGTTTCAACTAAAACATATACTACAGCAGAAAATAGGGATGTATGAAAGTACTACAGTTGATGCTAAAAATGCTTAATGTTATTTCTAACTATAGAAACTTAAAAAAAACACCATTCTTTTGGAGTTAATAATTGGGAAATGAGTCTGTCATTCTGCACCATAGACATATTACAGAGTTCATCATAGACAGAGGGATATATTTTGTTAAATACTGAGATATTCATTTGTTATTTAGCAATTTGAAACGTTTCTCACTGTGTCGGTCAAAATCAGTCTGTAAATTGGCTCTGTGTTACAAGGATTAAAGAGGTGGTTTGCCTTCAATTTGTCCACAGAGGGAAATACTATACTTAGTTTTAGTGTTTAATCTTTGAAAACAAACGCACCAGTTCCCTCCCACCACGTGCTGAACAGACGCTGTGCAGAAGTTACTCACACTGTTGCCTCTGAGTCCGGCGGCACCAGAAGGTCCTTGTGGGCCAGGGCCTCCTCTGGGGCCTGGGAAACCGGGGGCTCCAGCAATACCAGGGGGACCCTGCAGAGAACAACACAGAGCCCCACTTCAGTGAGCTCACAGCCGGTGCTCCCTAGCTATCGAAAACACAGCACGCTCCTGCTGAGACTGTGCCCCACTGAGAAGAGCATGATGGGACAGTGCCTGGTAAGATGTGATACCCCCAAGGACGGGGGCTTCAGGATTTAACTGGTGTAATCTTTAGTGGTCTGGAACTTTGATCAGCATGATTACAGTAGTTATGACATCACAGCACACAGCATCAAAGAAGCCCATATAGCAAAATACTTTACTGATCAGAAATGATCTAAAATACAGCTATTGGATTTTGGTGGCATGCATGCCGCCCATCTGTAAGGAATGCATGTGAATGAGTGAACAATAATATGTGGATGAGATTGGGAGTAAAAGTGTTCCACAATGGCTTCATGTTTGTAAGTACTGTACAAAGGAGATTCCAGTGTTAGCAGGAACAGTGTGTAAAATCCGATGAACGTCAAATTAATTTGCTTGCTTCACATATTTCCATGATTGTCATTCAATGCAGTGACAATCATCCATTTGAGAAAAGCTAAACCACTTGGGTATTTGGAGCCATTGATGCTAACTGTAAGATTATACATACAGTATATCAAGATCTATACAGTATATAAGATTAGACATTTCATCTTGGTGAGAAAAAGTGAAAAGGGCACTGTAGCCTCCAGGACTGGCTGCCCTCAGTCCAGTGTTATACAATCATATATTGCAGATGTTTACTTCCTGACAGTAGCGATGCGTTTGTGTTTTGTTGCTCCAGGTAAGAGGAAGCTCTTACATCCTGTAGGATTTCACTGCGCGTAGTCATTTATACAGCAGTGTGTTGCGAGCAGTTCTGACACTTGACTAATGAGAAGGTTGTGGGCTCAGATCCTGAGTGTGGCACTTGAGCTACAGGGCTGTATGCCTGAGCATGGTGCTTCATTCTGACTGCTCCAGCAATCCAGTAAAATGCTCATCCAGAGCAAAGTGAAAACTCATGGCTGTTTTGTTTTCTTTCCAAGCAGTGTTTAAGCTGTAAGCTGATGTTTTCCCAAGTTTATAAAGTCAACGGTAACAGTATCCAGCTGCCTGGCACACATTGCTCAAATCCGCCTTTTAAGACGTGAAGCCATTGTTTGACACTTGGTAGAGATGGCTAGATGTAAGCTATAAAGCAGCTTTATGCCACTCTTCCTGTTTATTCATTTTTAATAAAGCTTACCTGGATAACTCATTAGATGTCATTTAGAAAACAATTATTAATGTTGCCATATTCATTTTAATTCCCACAACCTTTATTATATCACGAAATACTACAATGAAGAGGGTGGGTGGGGATTAATTTTCCAGTCAGGATAAAATTGAGCGAAGTGGTTAATTTAAAAAAGGTGATGAACTGTGATGATGGTTCCTGGCACCGTAAATAAAACGAACTGTACATTCAGAAGAGATCTGCAGTTTCTGTAACTGAAGTGTGTTAGTCTGTGGTCTGCTATTGTACTGTTTGCCTCCATTAAGCTTTAAAACAGTGATCTCGCACATTTCTAGAATTAAATTTCCAGAAATGCCATTTATTGCCCTCATCAGGGCTTCAGCTGTAATTTCCAGAGGAGATTCTCAAATCTGCATGTGCCTGCTACTCTGTCAGGATCTGTCCTAATATGCAGCTCTGAAACAAAGACAAAGGAAGTGTGGATTACTTACAGCAGCTCCTTTAGCTCCAGACAGACCATTGTTGCCAGGATTTCCCTAAAAGACAAGCAAAAAGGACCAGTGAGGTACGAACTCATCAAAGTCAAGGTGAAGCTGACACGGCAGGAGACCTGACCCCCATGAATACTTACAGGAGGACCCGCGGGACCCACAGCACCAGCAGGACCTGGCTCACCACGTGCACCCTGAGGTCCAGTAGGACCATTGGCACCAGCAGCGCCATTCTCTCCCTGAGAGAAAACACAACATGGAAGAAATCTTCAGGGATCATGAACTACAGAATCAGATAATGACAGTCATGGACAATCATAGAGGCCTAAAAAAACTTTTTTTTTTTAACTTTCTTCTGCAGTAAAACACCACACACCATTAAATACAGTATATACATCTATGTTTCTGCTTCACATATCCTTCTTCCGGGAGCATGTTTAAATGCACACAGTGGGGATATATTTACAGGTTTCTGGTGATGCTAGGAGTACAGCCCTTTATTAAACATGTCCTAGGGAAAATCAGTTAAACACTTTTATAATGTCAGCAAGGATAAATGACAGCAAGGAATAACATTTAGAGAAAATACCATTACAATTTACAATGGTATATTTAGAAAAGTGTTATAATACTGTCTGCTTGTGTGAGTGCGATCTGATTATAATTAGTTATGCTTGTGATAACCAATTTGTGATGCGTGATCCTGCTACAATCAATTAGAAATTACTGTAAATAACCCACAATATCTCAACAGTCTTATAGTAAATTAAAACAGTTTTTTACTTAATAAACAATGTCCTCCTTTTATAACCTGTAATTAGAAGGTTGTTACTCAAACATTGCAGTGCATTCCCAAGACAATACAGGGTAGCTACAGAAAAGCTTTGCCCCTTGAGACTGTCCTGTACTTTTCAGTTTTGAGATCAGTCACATTACTTTTCACACACTGACTATGTCAGAAATAGTGAGACAAGTTGACTGGCACATCCATTAGGAAGGGAATTTAGGGAATATAATTTGAAACTATAAAATAATCCATGAGTGTATATTGTGACGTATAATGATCATATTCCCTCTGAAGCGATATTGTAAGTATATATCCTAAGAGAAAGCTGTTCTCTTTCTTTCACTCCACAGGGAGTTTTGCATAAGGCAAAGTGATTAGAATACTGTAAAAGACAATGACAGCAATGCTATTCAAGAGACAGGAAGAGGCATAGTCAACTGAAGCATTAACATACTGTATGTGAACAGCAAATGTGTGTCATGGTTTTTCCTTGTGTTCTTTTCAGGGCTGTGGACCAAATGAAAGACAAAGTAAAAAGAAACAGGATATTCAGATGAACTCACCTTCTGACCAGGGGCACCAGGGAATCCTGGAGGACCTGCAGCGCCAATGGGACCCTAAACAAGAAAAAAAAATTGCAAATGTAATTTCCTACTCCGGGAGTCTTAATACAGTGTAATCGTGCAGTCCATCAATAGGATGCCGTTCTGCATGAGTTTAGAGACCTGCACCAGAGATTGCCAAGCATGTTATGTCAAACAGATAAAGGCAAACTGACATGACACTCTGGCCTACAATACAGTATGGACTTCAGCAGGTTGTTTGAAGGCACACCGTGCCATCTGTTTCGTGATTTTAAAATATTTTTTACCATCCCTATTTCATAATACTTGACTGCTCGGTACAAGAGCATCCAACAGCCACTTGCATATTGATTGCTAAGTCCCTATTACAAGACTATGGCAATGAAACATTTCTAACTGTATATCTGAGCCCTATAGAGAATATACAGTTCTCGACCAAGCATTTCTTTCATGCATGCACTTGGCTTTCTAAAGCTTAGAAACCCCCTATTAAATCCCCAGTTACTCCACTATGATACAGTATTTTGTGATTTTATGTAACTGTGCAATCTGCTAGTCATTTCATTGGCTTCCTGGAAGTCAAATGATTTTCTTTTCAATATTGCACCGTATCTTTTGCGCTCTTGAGTCTGACCTGCGTCTTCTGCTGAGGCGGGGAAGATACTTACAGCGGGGCCAGTGGGGCCAGCGTTGCCATCGCTTCCACGAGCACCAGCGGAGCCGCCAGGACCAACGCGACCTCTCTCACCCGGGAGACCACGAGCGCCCTGGTGGAACAGATCAGGCACTGCTCAGGGACACTCACGCCAAGCCAAGAGCACTGGCACCCCAGTGTTCCTCGTCTGAAACTCCTTGATGCTGGGAGTTTAGTTTGCACCCTTCCTAAACTGCCGCTTAGACTTCTGCTAAACTGCCATTGTAGCATCCAGGGTATTTTTATTGCTGGATTTGTGGCTATTACTTATTAAACTATAAGACCCACATGTAAGTTTTATACACAAGATGAAATTGCATAAACATTCTACAAAAGGTGAACAGTCTGAACCTCATCCTGTCCAGTATACTTAACAACAGGAAGATCGCTGTCCTGAATGGCTCACACACAGAACTAGGTTAAGCTCTTAGACTTACATGACACACAATTGTGGGTTTTTTTTTGCTTAGTGCTTTACAGCCAGATAACAATTTTATTAACTAAAATGGTTTGATCTCCCAGTCCGCTATAGACTTTCCATGGACTGCACTGTGACACAAATTATGTAATCTGTGATTATAACTGTTTACTGAAACTTTGTGATTTTCAAGTATTTATTCTTAGTGTAGCAAATACAAAATGTATCTGCCTGTGAGAGGTGGAGGGGCTTTTGTATCTTTTATACACTTTCCATTTCAGATTGGAAGTAGTGGAAATTGAACAGAATGTGGGAATAGTATGGGCATAAGCAACTGTGTAAAATTCTGCTTTCTTCACAATCATTAAAATAAAAAAAATGTTAGAATTTTTTATCATTATAAATGCTATGGTAAGACTGGATCTTTGAGAAAAACTACTGTAGGAGACCACGAATGTTCTCAATCAAGTGTAAATAACTAACCTAGATGGAACCCCAAATGTATAACCCCATCTTTATCTGTAGTTTGTATAGGGAGGAAGACTATTATAATTTAGGAGGATACCTACCATCTGACCAGGAGTACCGTTCTCACCATGAGCACCAGGTTCACCCTGTGGGTTTAAGAGAAGTAATTATTATAACATAGAACCAGCAGAACAAAAGGGATTAATCATACTTCATATGTGTACAACAGCCATCACATATTGTGGTATTCATATGTTACAAAAGATGCACTATTACCCAGTGAACTATTGAACACTACAGTAGAAGTTACTACACTCTGTTATTCGAAGGTCTACAATTTTGAAGCTAAATCTTTGTCCTTTAGTAAAATCAAGCTTCACTTTCTCCTCTGCTGTTCTTCGTCGAACCGGGCCGATGAACCCAGCAACTGCTGCTGTCTCTTCTAATAAGTGTCATTCTGAGATCGAGAAGAACAATCAGTCCTCTGCTCAAAGCTCGGTTGTCATTACCTTGGATCCAGCAGCTCCAGGCTCTCCTTTGCGTCCATCCAAGCCAGTGTAACCCTATGAGAAAGACAGAAGGACAATATTCAGGACTTGTCTCTGGTACAGTACGTGATACAGTATTACAGTATAATTCACACTAATTGTTACACTGTAGGGTTTTCCTGGAATCCATGACATATTGTCAAAGGACATGGAAGGTGAGTCTTAGAAATACTCCCTGTATCTTGCTGTTTGTTTAAGATTGATATTTTTAACATTCATGTGTTAAGAGCCACTTGCTTGATACTGTATATTAAAACAGCTCACATCTTGTAGAACACATAACTCAATTTTGATCACCTTCAAAACATTGTATTAGCCCTTGGAATGTAATCATATACAGGAGTTAAATATATGAAAAGCCTATATACTGTACATTATGCATATTTAAAATGTCTTAATACGCATTATGATACACAAGCCTTTTCATACATTTGATTCAACAAAAGCATGCTTCAATTCCATCTAATCAATTGGTCATCATTTCTGACGTCACGCAGTTGCCAGAAACAAGGTAATTCTATCATGTGCATTATATGTAAATATACAGTAAGTGACAGATTTGTGATTTGCCAGCAATGAGAGCTGTTTAAGTCTTGTGTTATGTGTTTAGGTTATGTGTAGATGTACTTTTCTGGGATTGTATAGCAGGGCCTGCTACATCTTCTACACAATGTTTTTGAAAGTGTTTATTTGTTCAGGAAAATACACATTTTCTACTTCGCATAGTTGTGGTAGGCTTGCATTCTTTTTCATTACAAATATTCATAATATGAGATGTTTTAATCAATTAATAATTGAAAGAGATTTACCACTTATAGGGGCATAATGAAATGTAAGGGTATTTGAAATGAGAAAGTGTTTTCATCTTTAACTTGTTCAGCTCTACAGGGCCTTTTTTGGTGTTACCTTTTTTTCTTTAGAAGGAATTCTGCATCATTTGGTTTTCAAGTTTGTATTTCCTCGTTCCTCATTGCACCTGTCTTTTGGAAAAAGACAGAGGAGGCAATGAGGAACAAGGAAGTAAACATGTTCCTCTGTAGGATAGAGGGAAATAGTACCAAATGGTTCTATAGAACTGAACATGTTAAGTTTCACTTTCCCAGTCCTAATAAAAAACAGCACTCACTCTGTGTCCCTTCATTCCAGGAAGACCAGGGGTTCCAGGGAAACCACGAGCTCCCTGCAGGAATGAGAAAGAAAAGATGTTTAGCCAGTGTTTTGCAGCAGAAGATCATTGCTTCATAACGTATAGATATGGAAAGGTTGAAGGTTTTGAAACTGCACAATGAAATATCCCAACAATATACACAGCATTGTCTGCTGATAACTGCTGTGTCCCTTAGGTCAGAGATTTTGAAACCATATCTACCGTAAATAAATACTGAAAACTTAAAAAATGATATCGCCCATGGAGTATAAGAATGGCTGGAAATGAATGCATTTTTCAAAGGAGAATCCTAGACAGACATAGAAGGGTGACTTTCAGTATCATTTGGTATTCATTGACAAATCTGAGTTTTGGTTCATATTGTACATGTTCTTCTTATGGCTACATATGGCTACAGTATGTACTATTTCCTGGCAGCAAAGCATGATAGAGGCTTCTACTTGTGATTTCTTGCCAACTGTGCGTCTGATGTGGAATTCCTGATCAATTCCTATAGTTCGAAAGGACCAGGTAGTATTCCTCAGCATCCACTACAATCAGTCAGAAACAGGCAGGATAGCCACATGATAAAGACAGAGCTACTGTCTACTCTGCTACATTCTGTGTCGTACCTGAGCACCAGCGGGGCCTCTGTCACCAGGTTTGCCAGATCTACCAGGGTTGCCCTGCAAAGAAAAATAGTAAGGTTCACCATTGTTGCTAACATACAATGTATTTGCACACAGCTCTCTACATCTGAAAGCCAAAGTTCATGTACAAAGAATAGGCAGGTGGGTCCGAGAGTTATCTGTGGAACAAAGAACCTGCAATAATACACAGAAGCACAGAAATTACTTACGAATTACCGCTACCCTATATTTGTTAAATTTACTATTATTTCATTACATTCAATACCTTCTTTTTGTTATTTAATAAGGGCATAATCTTAAAGGTTTGACTTTGCAAAGACCTCTATGGGAATGGGAGTCCTTTGACTGCTGACATGCACAGCAGCATTCAATTTCCAAATGATACTGAGCAAAGCTAAACATTAGAAAGCCGTCAGAAAATTCAGTTCAATTGCAAGGACATCTTGTAACATGGAAATGCTAAGGTGTGGATTGTGGTAAAGAAGGAAGACTCACCTTGAGTGTTTTTTAAACACATATAGTGTGTGGTAGAGAATAAGGAAACAGAAGAAATCATTTGGCTTGCACAAACTGGGTGCCAGTGTTCTGTGACTGTCTGCATGCAGTACAAAGATGTATTACAAGCTTCTAACAATACTTACATCTTCACCAGGTTTTCCAGATGCTCCTGGGGGTCCACGAGCACCAACTGGGCCCTTAACAAATACAGAAAATGAAAGTCATGATTCTAGGTCACCTCAATGGTGGACTGACCATGCAGGCAAAAACTGACAGAGCAGGCTGTACAACAAAGTTGTTCTTACGGTCTGTCCTGGTTCTCCGGGCTCTCCAGGGTGTCCCTGGAAACCTTGAGGACCCTACACATGGAAAAGAAGAAGACAAAATGTTAGTTTTGTTTAATGAGGTCAGGCTTTGCTTTATTACAATAGGCTTCCATTAAAACTCTCATTGTAAAGTGGGATACTTACAGGTGCACCTGGAGGTCCAGCAGGGCCTCTAAGTCCCATCAGACCCTGGTAAAACGAACAGCAGAGAAGAAGGGTGAGGAGCCGCCACTGGAATAGGTAGCCTGGAGAACTATCATTTCGGGCAAGAGGGCAACAGCCTGTTGTATTCCGAGCTGGTAAGACTCAGGGCAGCCTGGAGCCCATCCTGCTAGCACAGGGCACATGAAGGGTCTGTGCCAGTCCATCACAGGGCATATGCACAAACGCAGAGATATACAGACACCGTGTTATACAGACGCCATGTAAACCTAGCCTGCCACCTTTAGGAGGCAGAGAGGAACGCGTAGCACCTGCAGGAAACTCAACTGGATATGGGGAGAACACACACATAGAAGGGGCCCCAGGCCAAAATCGAACCCAGGACCCAAGAGCTCTGAGACAGCAGTGTTAGTTGCCAAAAATCCATGCCACTCATGTTTAAAAAAAAATCCCATTACATCTCAAATGGATAATTGCTTTAATAAGTAATCAGATTACATCAAAAGTAAGGTACTGCATTGATTATCTAACCATGTATACCATTTTAGACATGGACTGCCAAGATTCTAAGGTAAAATAAACTCCTAAAAAGCCATTGCATTTGATTAATTTTCTTTTCTAATGTTTATATTAGAACATATATATATATTAGCTAGTTTATATTTGAACTAAAGAAAAATAAGACGTTTGGTGCATTTATCCTTGCAGTGGTATCACATTCAGTTGCAGAATATCATAATGTAGCTGCACTATTATGTAACGTCACTGACCAACAATATAGTTTGTCTGTCTAAAAGGCTAATTAAATAACATTACAGAGATCATATATTAAGTTTCTATTAGGGTCTGTGGTCCTTATTGATGCTCTTGGTGAACTCTTCATTTCATGACATAAGAACTGCATGAACAAAAGTTTAACTGCAAGAAAAACTGGATCTTCTATCTTGTTCTTGTTCATATTCTCAATGTATAGTATCGAGCTTCTTGTATGTCACTATTATAAAAACTAAATGACATTTCAGTCTCAGTTTAAAATATATTGTTTAATAATTGATACACTAGTTGTATGTTCCGTTCAGAAAACAAAGTATATCTTTTCTGAGACTAAATCCCTGTCAAGTTAGTATATGCAAGGGAAAACACTGTTTTGTCCATCTCTGGAATGCAGCCATGGAATTTTGCAAGGGTCATAACTGAACAAATCCTCAGGCATTTCCTGAACAGCATTTTACTGTAATTAAACCAATCCAAAAAGGAAGGCAATGCAAAAGACAAGGGTGCGTGTGCTTTGGGGTATTTACAAACAGCTTGCAAATAATTCTGCTGTGGCTCACATTTATATTATGTTATATTGTCATGTTATAATTATGACAGATATAATTCTTCACACACTCATTTACTTTGGGCCAAATGAATGTATATATCAAATAAACAATCTTTTGGTTATTGAAGTGAATTCTTCAAGGATCTACATAATTTCATGGTAGCGAGGTGGGATTGCAGTATAGTACTGTATATACTGTACAGTGTTTGTCTGACCAGGGAAATGCAGTTTGATCAGAATGTACTCTTACCATGGGTCCTGGGCCTGGGTCTGCGGATTTTGTTTGGTCATACTGAGCAGCAAAGTTCTGTTAAAGAAAAACAGGGCAACGTAAACACATTTGCAAGGTGTTGCTCAGATATTGCAATACCAGTTTCTTATGTTATGTAAGCTATCAATAACATGCCTTTAACTACTTATATGTTTGCATATGTATACAGGCTACCATGTAAATCAGTAAACAGTAAAATATATCAGCAAGAGATAAAAGGTTTTCCTAATGTCTCGTTAAAAACTAAATAACAAAAGAATATTGTTCTCAAGACCTATAGCATACATGTGCACCTATTGGCATTCCAGCCCATTACTGAAATTGCTGTACATGAATATTAGGCTACAGTACTGAAAATGCTTCATTTGGAAGCATGGATGGGCATTTTATGTGGCTCCAAAAATTAAAATATTGATTAGGGTTAGGTTGAGCTTCAAAGACAAGCTCATCTGGACTAATGGTTAAAATAATAAAAATAGCTCAATAAAAAAATAATGATAAGGGCAAATATTGTTTTATGGAATTTGCCTACCAACAATAACTACTTTTTATTACTCACTAATTTTATTTATAATTATTACTACTTATTTCATAATTATATTAAAAATAACAGGATATTTATAAAATAGTTTTTAGGATTTATTACTTTTTAAAGAATATTAGGAAAGAATGATGTATAGCAACAGCCACAACTGCTGTTATTTTAGAACAGCATTTGGATTTGCTAGTTCTTAGTTGTGAATGAGGATGACAGAGACGCATGATGTCAATTTAAAACTACTCAGAAATAATGATCTTTTAAGCTCCCTGATGGAGCAACAAGACTGTAAAACTGCAGGTTTGCTTTCAGAAGTAATTATTCTCATTTATATTCCACATTCTCAAAAGAAGTCTGTAAACTCTTTAAGGAAAAGTGAAACCAGGCCCGCACAAATTCTTAACACAGCACATGAGATCATTTTAGAAATTTAGAATTACACCATACTGTATTTGGTGTGTGAGAATGCAGGAAAATGGTCTTGAATGAGAAGACTTAAATCTTTTACAGCTGTTTTTTGCATTTCATTGTTTAAATACAAATGTAAGCGAAGTGACTACATAAGGCCATTTCATCAAATGATCTAAAAAATACAACTTAATGAGCCTTGAAAAGTGAAACAAACCAAATAAACTCATAAGATTAAAACGGGGAGTCTAGCTTTTATAACTTTCATAAACACTCAAAACCCCAAATGCACTGGGGATATGGCTGAAACAATGCTCACTTTATATCTCTTGGAGACAACCAATGTCACTAAGCATGTTTTGAATCACTATTGGTCACACCCTACTGCATTAGTACATTCATTTTCTGAGTTCTTAAAGGTACTGTGTATTTTACATTAAGCATAAATGCATTCTTACCTCTGGTGTTCCAATAAATATAGAAACCACTGTACATGTTTAGACAACTAACAAGATAGGCTGCATCAACACAAGCAATGTAGCCTATGCTATGATAAACTGATTCTACAATACTGTAGTTAGGCTTTCAGCAGCTTACGTCATCACTTTTCTGTTATTGTATTCAACAGATATGACTAGGAGTTTAACCACAGGCTACGGCATTGCAGGGGAACCTGAACAGGTGTTCCCAATACCCTCTTTGGCCATGTGGGGTCACTGTAAGGGCAGAACGTCACAGGAGGTGGCACAGCCTACTGACGGACATGATGGGCACACTGTACTTCAAGATCCCCAGAGGAGGGAGTCTGTAGGGCCTGGGCTTCTTGTTGTGGAAAAGCAAGATATTGTGAACTTACTCCTCCGAGGCCAGGTGGGCCAGGGGGGCCAGGAGGACCAGGAAGACCGGGCTTGCCATCTCTACCAGGGACACCAGGAAGACCCTGCCAGTGGTGCAGAGAACAGATCCTTGTGAGAAATACAGGCGGAGCCAACACAGCGACAGCATGGCGACATGACTGCTAACATGGCTGGAATCGACATGCGTCATAACCTTACTGAACAGCATCGGGCTCACCAGTGTTAAAACTATATATTCAGAAATAACTGAAATAATGAAGAAAGGACAAGAGGCTTGAGTACATGTAAAATTTCAAGAATGTTTTTGGTATAAGACAATAGCAACATATGGGGGTAGATTTGAATAAGAATGGAAGTTTGTTGGCCAGTCTTAATTAAAGGCAAGGGTTAATAATATTTTTAATTCCACATAATATAATCAGTTGAAAAACAGGTCTGAAAGGATGAGAAAGGCATGGCTGAATTGAACAGTGTACACTAATTCTATATTTTAAAAATGTACAGCTATCACTGTGACCACAGGAACTATAACCACAAATAACAATAGCAGTAGGGCCAAACACATTTCTATAAGGAAACCCAAAAAGAGAAAAAGCAAGAGGTGAGCAAAAAGATTTCCCATCTGTTTTGACACAGTTATACTGTTCTTAAATGAGGAGGTGGTGTATCGATTCATCCAAGGCACTGTGCATGTTTTTAAATTTTCACTACTGTGTGTACTTTGTAGTCAGTCACCACAGTGTGTACACTACAGTCAATCACAACAGGGAGTATACTACAGTCAATCACTACAGTCAATCACTACAGTGAGTACATTATAGTCAATCACTACTGTAAGTACACTACAGTCAATCACTATGATCACAACAGTGAGTGCACTACTGTCATTCACTACAGTCAATCACAACAAGGAGTACACTACAGTCAATCACTACAGTCAATCACAACAGGGATTACACTACAGTCAATAACTACAGTGAGTACACTATAGCCAGTCACTACTGTGAGTACACTACAGTCAACCACTACAGTCACAACAGTGAGTGCACTACTGTCAATCACAACAGGGAGTACACTTTAGCCAATTGCTAATGTGAATACACTACAGTCACAACAGTGAGTGCACTACTATCATTCACTACAGTCAATCACAACAGTGAGTACACTACAGTCAATCACAACAGTGAGTGCACTACTGTCATTCACCACAGTCAATCACAACAGTGAGTGCACTACAGTCAATCACAACAGTGAGTGCACTACAGTCAATCACAACAGTCAATCACAACAGTGAGTGCACTACTGTCATTCCGTACAGTCAATCACTATAGTGAGTACACTACAGTCAGTCACTAGTTAATCACTACAATGAATATACTCCAATCACTTCTGTAAGAACACTATAATACATGACTACAGTAAATAAATCATAACAGTGAGAATATTACAATCTATAACGACACAACAGGCCATCATTACTATACTACAGTATACACCAAATAGAATCTGCTTCACCCTTAGATTCAGTGTGGAGTTTGGAAAGCTCCAACAATAGAGGCAGATACTGCTACTTTGTGTCGTGTTTATTCAGAGCAAGCTTCCAGCAAGTATGAAAATTGGACAGCTATTTCCATTACAGCCGTACAAATTCGCCACAGCAGGTGCAAGTCTAAACACGTAACGCCCAAAGGTAAAAATCTGCAGCTGCAGGATCTCTGAGATAAAATCAGAATTGTTTCTCCTTACCCTGTCACCTGAGGGCCCTTTGTCTCCCTGAGGACCCTATGGAGGAAACAATACAAATTTTAAAGACAAAGAAGAACAAAGTGCAGGTATACTTTTTTAAATTCAAATCTAGCAAACCTTCTAAGATACTCATATGCATTTGTATTCTTGTTTTTTAAAACTAGGGGTGCATAATTCAGACTGAATCCAATGTTCAGTCACTGAGATTAGACTTGACCATTGATTTAATCAGATAATATTAGTGATTTAGTTTCATTATGTGCAAATCTATCATCTTTCCGCAGTCAGTGTAAGATGTATATAAAGGCCTTTGCGTTTTCCTGGTAGGTATGCAATCAATCATGCATATTACGTTTCTTATCCACAAGGCCTGTTCTTAACAGTGCTTTGTGGTGCTACACATCACATGTGAATTCAAAACATGATACATTATTTAATATTTTATTTGAAATAGTACAGTGCTTACCTTTGGTCCCTGTTGGAAAAAAAAACAGTTTGAGTTAATTATTAATAATATAGCACTTATTTTAATACATTGTATTTATTAATAAGCTGCAGCACAGTGTATATAGTTGGAATTGACATGGATTACTCATTATAATCCATCATTATAAATTACTTTAACAATACTGAGAAGGATATTATACCCCCCAGTATCATCCACACTAAAGATTTACTACACTAAGTAACTGTAGTTAAAATGGCACAAATGCTGCAGAGAAGAGATGTATATCAGTATTCAGAACTAATTTTAAAAGCACATGCAGAAAACAGAAAAGACAGAAATATGACATGCTGTAAACACTAATTTCCTTTTTTCTTTGAGTTTTTTTAACTATTATCGGTTAATATCTTATGCACATTGCCATTAGAGTAACCATGCAACAGAAATGTATTATTTTTTATTGAGTCTCAGGATCAAAACTGGTTAAAAGAAGTCTGACCTCAGTATATCCATAGTCCTCGGCAAATGGTTTATGGTAAAGCAAAATCCGTCTACCAGTTGCACTTTCCTTTTAATTTTCGATGTTTTCATCTGTTTTTTAAGTCCTGAAATTCAGAATGTCCAGCCCCTTTAGGGGACTGGGCCGAGGGTAGTCTTCACTATTTTACAGACATTTTCGCTGACCAATAGACGTCTGCACAGAGAACGGGCTCTGATCTAGGCTGATGTCATTATTTGAATGAGAAATATTAAAGCCAATATGGAAATTAGTTAATTTGACTGGAGGGCCATTTCAACCACTACCACCGAGGACTGATAAGAGAGGACAGATGTAACTGTAACTAAAAGGTAAAGTATCTCTAAAGACAAATATAGTTTAAATATAAAAATACTGTCTATAACAAATAGTATGTACTAACCGTTTGGTCTGCAGCATTCAATACGAGATGGGAAAGAAAAAAAAGAGAGAGAAATGGTTACAATGTGAGATGTGAACACTCCAAAGCTTAAATTTCTAAAAAAAAGATGACTGAGGTTTGTTAAAAATACAGTTTTATCATCAATATACTAAATATGAAATCACTCTACATCAAAGTACAGCATTTATTAAAACATAAGGCTGCAGAATGTGTCTCAAGTAAAATCATGAACAATAAAGAACACTGTTTCTTCTAAAAGAGGGGCAAAAATGCATTTTCAATAAAATATGACAATGATTAAAATTGGGATTAAAACTATCTGCATTAGTAGCCTCCAATATATCTGCTAGTACCCTTTGCTTAGTTTTCTGTTAAAACAGTCTTAGGTCCAGAACAGATAACAGAAATAATATATATATTTTTTTAATATAAAGTCTTTAGGCCCTTAAGTCAAACACTTTGACACCTATATCTTAAATGTGTCTTACAGAAGAGGAAACATCCAAGTGTTTTGAATACAAATGCCAATAATTGTAACCACAAAAAAACACATCAAATATTTATCTTTATCTTTAATTTTGTGTAAACTGCAACTATTATTATTATTGCAAGACACCACTTTTATTAAGATATTTGTCGGCATTGTGTAAGATTGCTCAATTTATTTTAACTTGCATAGATGAGTATCGAATATTCCCAATAGCAATAATCATATAAATTTGTATACGATTATATTCAATTTTGTATCTTTCGTCCTAACTGCCCAAATCTTAGTTTACTTCAACAGGAAATTTCGTTTTTTAAAGTTTTTTGTCCAAGCTCCCTACCGCTAGATGGCGATTAATCGAGTTCACTTTCTCTGATGTCCAATACACGACAGCACAAATTATAGATGTCCCGCAGTAGGAGACACCACATCCTGTAATCAGCATATCTGGGTTTACAAGTACTTATTAAGTGAAATACTAGTCATTTATATATAGATTTGTAAGTAACTATTTAAACTACCTAGACAAATACCTACATAGCTTTCTCTCACGTAAACTGCCACTGTGCAGGAACCGGTAATTAATCAATTAAAGATAACCAATGGCTATTGTACTGAAGCGTCTAAAATATTTTAATAGAAGAAGGGAAATCAAAAAAGAAACATAAATATTTAATTTCAACGCGAGACCACAGAAACCTAGAAAAGGAATCCTTGAATGTTTGATATTTATTTTTTTGCTTTCCAACGCATTCCAAAACTCTAGTGTGTCAAAGGACTGCCACCTTTAATTAGAAATGCCACCGCAACACGTTTAAGAAATATTTACAATATTTACAATCGCTGTCTTCCACTATATCTGCTCCTCCGTTTTTCTGGATCCTAAATTAACTTCTTTTTTTTTTCGTGATGTTCAAATGTTTCATTGGGTCTCAGATGACAATAACTTAGATCTGATACAGAATCAAATTATAATCCATAAATGTATAACTAAAAAGTAATTTAATTGATCATCCAAGCAGCGTTGTAGACATTTACACTGCAGGCAAAACATTTAAATAGAAATTAAACTTTAAATCGGACAAACTCCCTTTCTGCACCAGGCCCACCAGATGGCGTCTGAACACAGTAAGGAATGCAGCTACTTCTTGGGTTAGGTTACCACTCAATTTCACAAAAAAAGGGAAAAATAAAAAAGGGAAAGAATGAGAAATAGATTTATGCTTAGCCTAAATTATGTACTTTTTAGTTTTTGAATACAATGTGATCCGTAAGTGGGATTTACTTCGCGTATTTTAGCTCAAATTACGGTCATAATATGGATTCAGCTAGTTTCTCATACTTTAAAACACGATAAATGGTGTAAAAAAGCATACATGCAAATTATACATCTAATCTACTGCAGATTGCTTCCTGTAATTAAATTTAATTTGGCCTGCCGCCAAGGTTGAAGTCCGAAAGAGGTCTTTTTTACGCCACCAGGGGGCAGATTTCAACCTGTTTGTAAGAACACCCAGAACTTCAAAAGCCTTGAAGAAAACCATCAGTACAACGCCCAAAACTTTCTTCACTACAAACAAAAGTTTCTGAAACAATCCTGAACTTCAAAGGCAATTCTTTTCTCTTTTGATACACTATTCTGATTTTTAGAAGCGTTATTTTTGTCTGCCACAATATTACTGTAAGATCGCGGCAAAAGATGTACTGTAGCCTACTTTTTACTTCATTGCGTTCATTCCTCGTCTAGGAATGAGCAGACATGCCAAATTATTAGAGGGTCTGATCAACTGTATCCTGAGAGCAAAAGAAGAAGCCACCGACCGCCTCAAAAGCAAGCGAATCCGTCTCTTCTACGAGATGGCCATAGGATAATTCACTTTAAATCACAGCACTCTGTCCATGTACTGTACATCTTTTATTTCATGTCCGCGGCAATCAACATTATCTTATGCGCAGTAAGCTCCGTATGGATTCTCTTTATAACAGAAATTGGCTGAAATCCTCGGTAACAAGAAAGTACATTGAAAACTTACATTGGCATGATGCTAGGTAAGAAGTTACTGCAAGCAGCAACACAATCCGAGTATCCACAAAGCTGAGCATGTCTATTGATTAGACATGCAGACTCCTTGTGCTGCAGACCCCCGGGTTTTAACTACAACGAGCAGGCATACAGTTGTGATGACAAGAGTAACTCCAAACTTAGCAGAAACCTGCTGCCGTGATGCTAAAATAATAAAGTCTAATCAGCCCTATTTATATGGCAGGAGGTTCCTTTGTCCGCGTGTCAAAAATCAGCCTCCAGACCAATCGGAGCGCAGCAATCCTAAACTTACTCCCATCCCTGAACACATCCACGGAGTCATGTGGTCCTTATCTCCAGCCTTCCCAGTTCATATTGGCAATGCTGTGGCGATGATGACGAACGCAGGGTTTTAATTAGATCCATTCTTTTGAGGACGTGGACAGTCTGAGGCTTTAAAAAGGAAAAAACTGACTTTTTTTTTCCTGATGCTGTAGTCTCGTCAAACTGGGATGTGGCACATTTGGGCTTCTGACATCTCGGAGGGCAGGAGCTGTCCAGCCGCTAGTAGATACAGTACCTCCGTACCTAAAGCATCACCTTAGATCAACACCTCCTTCGAGGCGCGCTTTTTCGGGGACCGAACTTTGAACGTCGGTTATTCAGAACCAAAATAAAACAAAACAAAAAAAGAAAAACCGGATTTGAAAGACTTGACACCATGAAATAAAAGAGCAATTTCGTTTTTTATTTTTGAAAGGGCTGTTGTTTTTAAAGCACAAAGATTTATGTGTTATGTAATTATGTAACTGTTTTGTGTTTTTAGCCATTGTTTTTTCAACGACCAGGATCGATCCGCAATTAGCTTTTCCTGAAAATATCTGTATGTTTTCAAGAGTTTATTGTCAGGCTAGGTTTTCTTGCGAGATGTTTTCCCCTAACAGATCGTTTGGGCAGCTCTTCAGACCATACTGTATGAAAATATTGCAAACTTCGTAATATGCACGAATCTCAAACGTGCTGCAGGTCAGATATTGTAATTGACAAATTATTTGTGATTGGGATAGCTTGGTAACAAAAGGGAAGCGTCTTTCGCAAAACTGGTTATTTTAATGTAAATAAATTATTTAAAGGAAATTAGGAAATTTATCGAATTATTTACAAAAAAAATGTTTCAGGTAAAGCCTGACAACGCGACAATTGTTTCCTTACAACGCGATAAACAAAGCCCAGAATTATACTAAAGGTGCAAAAACCTTAATTTTAGGCTTCATAAAATATGTTGTTATTAATGACACAGATATAGTTTTATTAGAATACCTACTCCTAACTACAGTACATACTGTATCATATACAATTTTATTTTCCCGATAATTAGAGCTATACGCAAAGGCCTATTATAAAAAATCCAGAATAAAGCGCGAGAACGCATTATAATAACCTTCCATTAGAAATTTCGTCGATTTTTATAATCAGCATACAGCTGATTTTATAAAACAAAACAAAAACGCTGTGATGTCCTATTTTAACAACAATTTATGTGCTATTTTGTATCAAAATTAAATGTTAAAAACTTTGAAAACCAGATTCGGTTTTCTAAGTAAAAGTATACGCATTGCATTATCGCAGCTAGGATTTATACCATTTTCAATAAAGAAAACGCTACAAAAAAAAACTTTACGGTTAAAACGAAAAGACAAAAGTAGAAAATTCTTCTGCTGTTCAGAGTGCAGAAGACAAAAGGCTGGTCTGAGGCAGATCTTATTTCATTTTTTTTTCAAGGCAAATCCATTCATGCTAAAAGACGTGAAAAGACACGTTGCTGATGGTAGGATTTGTTCTAAAGCAGCGAAAGAAAATGAACCATCTGCAGATCAGTGTTTTATAGGGATCAACAACAAAGTGGATTGCACATGGTCAGTGCAGTATTTTAGTTTTCTGTAACCATTACTCTGCTCTAGAAAAAAAAACGCGTTAATAAGACCTTACGTGGAAAAGAACTACTGTAAAAACGTTTACCAAACCTTTTGATCTAAAAAAAACAGTTGAATTTTATTCACATTGTTAAATTCACAAAGCTGAAAAATCCCGATCATTTGCGTTTTGATTGCAAGTGCATTTGTAAGAAACTGCAGAATAGCAAATAATTGTGTGTGTTTTTTTTCCTATAGTACTTTTATCCCCGGAGTGATTTAGGCATAGGTGGGGAATCATTTGATCCAGCACTGTAGAACAGAGCTCACCTGGCCGACTTGGAGCAGTCCCCCTGCACAGCAGATCAGGCCAAGATGCAAGGCATCGCTCCAGCAGTTGAATTAAGGGGGAATTTTAAAGAAGCCAGGTTGTAGAAGCCCAGTACGGAGTTTAGCCAAGTCAGAAATGTTTAATACCCATTCCCTTACAGACAGTGCCATGACATTGTTAACACCAGAGTACTGACGGCCTCGGTTTCGCACCTCGTATGAAAGAAGGTGGTCCTCTGACACAACTACTGTACTAGGGTATTTGTCTTGGAAATTCTCATCCAGAGGGATGAATGCCACAAACTGGTCCACCATTGTACATTTAAACCTCAGAACGGGAGACACTTCTTTACACAAAGTTTTTGTGGGAATATGGGACAAGCCATGTCGTTGAAGCTGATCACCTGGCAAACTTTCACATAATGGTTGGATGAGATTCTCGGTAGCGGGATCAATTAAGGACCAATAAAGTTAGATGAGCCATGTAAAGCCCTTACATACCACCTACTGCAGCTGGCTAGTTTTTCCTCGAAGGTCTCTGATTCCAGTACTTACGAGGCCCAGCCCTGTTTAGCTTTTGAAATCTGACCACATCAGGTCAGAAGATGATTATTCTGCTGAGTGCATAAACCTAAATAATAAACCATTATTCATTTCATAAATGCTGTGAAAATAGGCAATTATTTGTGCCCATTCTGTCTTTTGATGTAGAGCTATCAGTGCTGTTCAACATTGGTGAAGAACCCTATAGCAATTTAGAATGTCTCAATTTTGCGTAAATGTAAGACAGACAAATAACTTATCATTTTCCTCCCAATGAATTGTTTTTTGTTTTGTTCATGTCAGGCTTACGTAAGTCTTACTTAGGAAAAAAGATGACAGTCTTTATGTTCCTTAGTAATACCCTATAGTTATACTTATTTTCCTATATCACAATGCTATCTTGTAAATACACCCTTTAAACTTCTTAATGCCAGTTTCTTCTTCAGCTCATGAAAGCTTTGATCCGGGTCATAAATGTCACTTAGAAGCAGATATATGTTTTCCCCACATGGGTTAGGAATACCACTCAACATCTGGTATGGATTTCAGAACCCGGCCATGCAGGTTTAGTCCACAGCTTTTGTGATTCTATGTTGTGGAAAAACACAGAACCAAAATAAATTCTGATTTCCCTTTCTTTATGTGGGGATTAAGATTACACTGAGATATTAGGTCACATAATAATATAATGTACAGCATATGTACAGTAACCTTAAACAACCTTCTGATTGCTCCACAATTAATAACTACAGGCCTTCACTTGTTAAACAATTAATAAATATTATTTCTTCTTGAGGCACTCCCAAATGTCTAAATACAGTACGTATAGGTCTATGCTTAGATCAGAGATAGATCTAGGGCCAGAGACTACTAACCAGAGCCTAGATTCACTGTGGATTGAGGATTATAGCTGATTTTGAATTGGGATCCTGAAGAAGCAGAGAGAAACTTGTAAAACTACTGGGTTTGCATGGATTAGACATCGGTCAGGAAAATCCAACCTTGCAGCCCAACACAACAATTTACAATTTTACAATACTGCACTACAATTTGCCAAGCACCTGTCTGTTTGCAGTGTTGTCAGCGTGAACTGTGACAGTTCAGTTACCATAGGTCAGCTGCTGATATGCAGTGTGAAAGACTGACAATGTTCAATTGTTTATTAACCAGATCTACAGTATAAAAATGGATTATGAAAACAAACTAAAGTGATTGATATTTGGTTATCAGGTTATCAAGTTTGGCGGGACTTAAATTAAATATGCTGTCATTTTTTGAATTTTTATTTTCTTATACGGTATCCTTGCCAGAATTTATATCATGCATGTCAATATATTCTGGTATTTTTTTCAGTGGTAACCCATAATACTGAAAAGGCCTTCTGCATTTGTAATTCATATGTACATTTCATGTGTATTTAAACAGAAGGCTTACTGCCTGAACATTGAACGCTTGGCTAAGCAAGGGCAGACATCATGGTTTCATAGTGTCACTGCTGTTGTACTGAGGTCTCAGTGACCTTGGAGTATGATGTTTCTGGCTCTGATGGGCCCCTGCCTACGTTCTGCTATAGTATGGGGATGCATTTTAGTAAATATGTTGGTTGGCCTAAGAAAAGCAAGATTGGATGTGTCACACAGTGTGTCTTAAGTGGCTCAGTAGAGCTTTGACCTAGTCCTTAGGTAACCAGGTAGTGTTTCTCTGCTTCACTGACCACTTTGATTGCAAAGATGTTTTGGTGATATAACCCTCCTTCATCCATGTTGTGGGAAGTCCCAAGTGTCTGTACATTTCTTCTAACTGTTACTAACTGCTGTATGCAAATGCAGGCGCCTCTCTTGGTTGGAAGCCCCCTGTCTAGAGGCATCCATGTTGTGGCTCAGTGGAGTGGTGACTGTGGCTAATGATCTGTGGCTAGAAGGTTGCTGGTTCACAGCTCCCTTGACCGCCCTCAACAACCATCCACACCAGGCACTTTCCCCTGCAACAGAGCTCGCTGTATCACCTGCAAGTACACATCCACCAACACACTCCTTCAAGGCCCCTCAGGATAATTCAGATCACTCAGATGACATCCTGTACCTCCAGCAACCTTATTTACTGTATCTCGTGCAGTAAATGCCCAGCCATCTACATTGGAGAAACAGGAAGGAGACTCGGAGACCGCTTCACAGAACACGTCAGAGCTGTGAAGATTAAAGATTTCTCCAAACCCATAGTTTCTCATTTCACCTCAGATGGCCATGATCACACTCATCTGAATGTCTGCATTCTCAAAGGTGGATTTCTTAACTCCTATAGCAGAAAGACATCCGGAACCAAAAGTATCCTGAAACTTGGTTCACACCTTCCCCCTTCTCTTAACGACAGACTTGTTTTCTTCTAATCCTCTCTATTCTTTTGTAGGTTTTGACTTCACACCTCTCCTCACCTC